TGCTAAACCAAACTAGTTCCACCTGCCTGCTCCTGGCTCATATCCCTCCAAACCTTTCCAATTCATGTACTTATTCAAATTTCTTTTAAACAATTAAATTGTACCCACATCCACCACCTCCTCAGGAAGTTCATTCTACACGTGAACCACCCTCTGTTTAAAAAAAAAAAAAAAAAAAAAAATTGCCTCATGTCTTTTTTAACGTGAGAGGAGAGCGGTTTAAAAATGTGCCCATAGTCTTGAAATTCCCCCATCCTAGGCAAAAGACAACTACCATTAACTCTATCTATACCTCTCGTTATTTTATAAACTTCTGTCAAGGTTGCCTCTTAACCTCCTACCTTCCAGTGAAATTGGAAGGCCCAAAAATCATGAAGCAGGGATTCTTTATTCTGCTGAAATCAGATCATTGTAAATATGAAGGGAAATTAAAGTTGAATAAGGAGCCTGTGGATTACATTGGGTTGAGGAATCCTTTTTGTTTGCTGCTGCTTCCCATGAGGCCTCCCTCCCCAAAAGATGCCCATTTTGCTTAGAAAGGGTCCATTTGACTGCTCCACCTGCCCTCCTTCACCAACACCATCTGTTGCTGGAGATTCTTAAATAACTGCTCGAACTCCCTCCTTCAGCATCACCAGTGTCATGGAGGTTCCGTTACATTGACCTTATCCAAGATTGACTGCCTTTTGGTGTGAGAATTAAATATTGGCTAAATGGAAAGCTCCTAGCACAGAGCTCTCTGGTTAAAACATATTTGGCCACCACAAACCTATATGACTTACAGTATGTGGATGACCACAGTGTTGTTGCCCACTCTGCACCAGATTAGCAAGTCGGTTGTAATCTCTTCAAATTTGCAGAGACTTGATCTGTCCTCGAGTGTTGCCGAACAAAACTCCTATCAACCCATAGCTGGTTAGTCAAATATTCCAGAACTATATATAAAACATATTTTACACTTACATATTTATACATGTATGGAAGGAGAGACACTGGAATGTTGAGTAATTACCATTCCTCGCAAAAGGTCACCATTGCTGAGCAGATCCAACACTGGATCAGGTATGCCAGCTCAGCCTTCTATCAACTACAGTAACGTGTCTTTGAAACAAAGACCTCCACAAATAGTATGAGTAGGCATTTTGGTTGTTGTGACCATGATTCTGTACTGCAGTGTGACCTGGAGTGTAGCAGTGATGCACAAGACCGCTAGTGACATTCAATAGGAAGGACCCTAAACAACACAAGCATCTTTCCTGAAGTCAGGTCTACAAGCATTCAGACAAAACTCTTAGATAACGAATAATGATGGACTGGACACCGTACTCTGGCTGAGCAGCATTTCCTTTGCCAGGTCCTGTTTTCTCAACTCTGTTCTGCATTCCAGGGCAGTAAAAAGAAGACACTACACAGGCAGTTCTCCTTGAAGCCTGCCATTATTAACATGAAGAACTTTGAGGAGCTTGCTACAAATTGTTCAAAATGGTGACAAGTTGTCCATCAAGTGCCATCCTGTTTGTATTTCAGTCTACAGCCTTAATGATGTAGCAGTATATCAGCTGAAAAAGAAGCACATCTTGCTCTCTGGATCCCACCATTGTATGGGACAAGCTGCTGCATTTTCCCAAAAATTTGCCTGTTTAGTCACAAGATGGCCAACAGCAGGAGTTTTTGACCTTAAATAAACATCCTTACAGCCACTGATTGGGAACAGTTCAGTTGTGTAGATTTGGGCTGGGCTGGGAGAAAGCAGGGATATAAAATGAGTCCAAAAATTAATAAGTGAGCTGGGGCATATATGTCTGTTTCCCCACCACCCCAGTGAAGTTTCTCAAGTATTTCCACATAATTCCAATCCTTGTGTAGCACCAATGCTTCAATGTGTTCTTTCCTTCTCAACAATAAAATGGAGGTGTAATTTGACTAAATGATTGTACTAGATCATTGAGCATGTTCAAAACAAAAAGCAATAGGTTTCTGGAGATTGCTGACATTAAGGGAATAAGCAGAAAAGTGGCATGGAGTTGACGTTCAGCCATGATCTAAAAAAGCATAGCAGGTTCAGTGGATTGAATAGCTTACTCTACTCCTGAAAGAATCTCTCAAAATCATTTGGTTTTGAAATTGTAAAGTTTTTCTTAAGTTTTGTTTTAGATTTGACTGTGGAGTCAATATTTTTACATCCTGAAGCTTTTCACTGAGTTATTTCTATTCAGAGAAATTTAACAGCAATGTTACAAAGTAGTATCTGCATCTTTTTAGCCACGGCCAATTAGCTATCCTGAACTCAGAGTGACAGTCAATGGATACACATATCCTCTGCTATCAGCAGCATTACAACTCTTAAAGGACCAATATATATACAAAGCAATTCATATGAATTTCAATCCTGGTGCTCAAAGATGTTTTGAACACCGTTTTTGAAACAAAGTACGCATTAGTTCCCTGACGTAAAATTTCTGCAAATCGTTTAAATGGTGAAGTGGGCATGCTGGTTAACTGGGAGGAAGATACAAAATTATTTTAATTTTGTCATGTGTCTCGTTACTGGAAAAAATTATGTTGCAAATAAACAAAAGATATTCAGCAGCAAAATAGTCTACTACTTACTGAAGTTGTACGATTCTACAAAGAGATTATTAGGTGATACTTTGCTGCCATCTGCTGGTTCTTCCGTAAATGGCAGCTCTTCCCAGACTGATGAATCCTGATCATGCAGTGTGTTCCAACAGGCTCCAATCAGTTACCAAAATGCCTACCTAACTCAAGGGGCATGTATGTTATTAATTTAGTCTTTTCTTTTAGGGAGCTTATTGATGGTTGGTGTTCAAATTGCCATAGTTCCAATCCCAAATTATGCTGTTCAATTTTTAAAGTGGCAGCACATTGTTGGTCAGAGTTGAGGGAACACGTGCTTGCTACTACCATTCTATGTTATAAATTGTGTTTCAATTTCCAACTAATCAATATCCCTATTTGTCCATTACAATTTTTTTTGTCAATTACAAATATTTTAATTAATTTTTATATTTTAACTGAATTGCTTGCAATAAGATCTTAATAACATCCTGGGGAAACTGTAGTAAAAAGCAATCAACATGCCTTGAAGTTTATTCCATACCAAACTTAAATTCTAAATACAACGTGATGTTCCTTTTACATAATCAGGCAATATTTATTTAATCAACATTAAACATTTCATCATATACCAAACTTAACAGAATAAAGAAATGCATTATAATATTTATTATAATATAAGTCTGGTGTCAAACAATTATTTTAGAAGAAAAAGCAACTCTAATTGCTTTCTTTGCGGAGAATGCAAAACTGCAGAAATCCATCTGATACCCAAACATGCTCCATTCACAGTCAAGTTGACTATCTTTGTGTGTGCATCCCTGATGGCTCGGTTCATGTGCACAGGGCCTACTGTCGAACTTGCCATGCGGACCAAGAAACTCCATCCAAAGAAAGGATGAAAGAAGGCCATTAAACCCTTCAGGACTGTTCTAACATTCAACTAATTAATGGCAGAATTTTATTTACTCAATTTACTCTAAACACTATTTAGTAACCTTTGCTCCATATCTCTCGGATATCCTTATGATAATCATTATCTGAGCTCCATTGAGTGTCTGTCACTCGACCCAGTATCCAGTCATTTGGGAGAGAGGATTCCAACTTTCTGATTCCAAATCTTGAATGACCAGGCTCAAGTTCTGAAACGATGTCATATTTGATTACAGTTGAGCAAGTGATGTTAAATTTACCGAAAAGTATAGTGTGGATATTAAAAATGACCAGGCTTGGCTGTGATGTTATCAGAGATAAAACAGTCTACCATTGTTCAATGTCTAGGCAGCTGTGTGTGTGTGTGTGTGTGTGTGTGTGTGTGTGTGTGTGTGTGTGTGTGTGTGTATGTATATGTATGTGTCTGTGTGTGTGTGTTGCGGGATTAGAAAGAGAGGTCTTTGGTTTTTTGGATAGTGTTAAACTCCAATGTTTGTTTGCTTCTTTGACATGCTACTGTACAGAACCAAACCGTGTTTGTGACTGTGTATATATACAAAGTTTTTTTATGAATAAAGTAAACTTTTGAAAACAAAAAGCTGTGGGCCAAGGGTAGGGGTGTGGGGTGGAGGATAGAGACTGTCACACATCTTCTCGAATGTGCCTTTGCAAAGGAAGTATAGAGAAAGTTGCAGAGGTTTTTGTCGAGCTTCTTCCAGAGCAGCTCCGTAATGCAGGGCTGTGCTCTACGGCCTGTTTCCCAGGACACACACCAAGACAAACATCGACTATGCCTGGAGGACCATCAACTTGGTGAAAGACACTCTTTGGTTTGTTGGTCTTCCAGAACAAGGAGTCAACCCCGAATGAACATTCAAACTGGCACATTCCAAGAGCCAGGACTACGTGCTGAGAGATAGACCAAAGCTTGGGGAAGCTGCTGCCAAGGTGCAGTGGGGAAAGACCACTGGCTGACGTCTTCCTGCTGAAGGTAAATGGAGGTCCGTTTGGTCCGCGGACCCTCCCGGTGCCTCAAATGCATGTAAACATAGTCTTGTATGTGTAAGAGATGTCTTTTTGTTTGTTGGATACAGTCAAATGCCAATGTTTTTGTTTCCTTGATTTGCTACTGTACAGAATCAAACTCTCTGACTGTGTATATACACGTAGATTTTTTTTTATGAACAAGGTGTATTTTTGAAATAATTAAAATACCTAAACATATACATTAGATATAGCCATTCAGTTAAGAGGTCTGAAGGCTGTCAATTCCTGCGATATTCAGAAGTATCAATTCAAAAAACTTGTTTCATTTGATCACCAGCTCGTTATTACACTATTATGGATAATGCTAGAAGTAGTAATGTATACCATCTCAAAGCATTATCCAGCCTCAACTGTCTGGGTGAAGGAAATAAGTAGTCTTGGAATTATTTGAAATAGCTTTCCTTTGTGTACATAGAGTCTGAAATAGCTGCAGTAATTGTATTTTACCAATCCTGATTTGATTTCTGTTTGACAAACCTTAAAGACACATAATAGAGGACCAGGAATCCAAAACAAATAGCTATCAAGATGGCATAACACATGTAGAGTGGTTCTGAATCCATGTCCATAGATTCAATTATCTAGAAAATATATAAAAATAGAAGTTACGAGCTGTCATTGGATCATGTTTAAATTTTGCACTTAACATATAGAGAGATACCATCAAAATAATAAAACCATACAAACATTTGGTAGGCACTTAGCTTTGGTCATTTTTAATCTATTTGGATTGATGATATGATAAAGTTGAACTCTGAGCTGGATTAGAACAATTTTATTCCATGTAGCACTTTAATTTCAGTAAACTGTTCCTTCTGTTAAACGCTAACAAACAATATTTTTCTCACTAATCTTTTGATTTGATTTATTATTGTTACATGTACCAAGGTATCATGAAAAGTGTTTTACATGCTTTATAGGCAGATCATACAATACAAGTGCATCAGGGTACAATATCATAGCAGAGAGAGATCATCATTAACATTTAAGAGCTCCATTCATTAGCCTGATAACAATGGGGAAGAAGCTATTCTTAAGTGTAGTCAAACTTTTATATCTTCTGCCTGACGGAAGAGGGTGAAAGAAAGTATAAGGGGAGTGGGAGGCATCTTTGATTATGTTGGTTGCTTTCTGGGTGCAGCGGGAAGTATTAATGAAGTCAATGGATGGGAGGCTGGTTTGTGTGATGGACTGGGCTGTGTTCATACCTCTCTGTAGTTTCTTTTGAAATCCATATTTGCCAAGCAATTTTACACCCTTGGGGATTGGGGTGTCTTCAATTGATACATGGGAGCCACAAAGGAACAACCCTCCTCTTGCCTGACACTACCCAGTGCCGTTGAAGCTGCTTGGCTACCAGCTTGGTATGACCATTCATCAATGGTGGCCATTCTCTCAATGGTAAGCACAAGGATGGCCATTCATCGGCCACTTAAGGGTCTGGATAAGTCCAAGAGCGAACTGCCCCATGCTTCCACCTCTCCCATTAAACAGGAGACAGCTGAAGACTGCGCAGGTGGGCAACAGACAGGTCATATCCTGCATTTCACAATCTCCCATTACTGTTCCTTCATGACAGTCAGGGCACCTCTCTGATACACTTGCAGGATACTCACAAAGTATAGATCTGCATTGTAGGGCAATACTAGTTGAAAATCTGACATGTCTCTCCAATACAGGCAGAGTAGTTGAGCGGCACAATGATTTTGCAAGTTTACTCAGGCTGTTTCCATTATAAATGTTAAGGATGAATATTGTAATGAAAGTGCAGTTTGTAAACTATTACATGACTTCACTCACATGACCTTGTGTTAATAATTAATATATTTGAACTCCAAGATCTTTGTGCTTGGTTTAAAATCTGTGTATATTTATTTTCTCCTGTTATTCTTACTTTCAAAGTATACTCGTTTAGTTTCTACATTAATTTGTAAGTACCACCTAAACATCCATCTCTTCCCGCAGTATATTCCCTTGCCAACTTGGTTTTGTATCAAACAGATTGATGTCATTCCCTTAATTATATTGCCAAATGATTTATGGAGATGAGCAACGTTAATTCAATCTCCAGCTCACCAGAACCTTTTAATGTAAGAAAGTTCCTTTCACCTGTATCCTTTCTCTTTTCTGCTCCAAACTGTCTATCCTTGCAAACATATTCCTTTTAGTTCTACATGCAATGGTCTCTGCCACAAATATTTTTAAATGATACCTAGTCAAATGCAAATGCTAAAAAAATTTCTAATATGGAAATTCTGTTTTCTAATTAGCAACAATTTTGATTGTTTCAACACAAGTTCAGCATAGCTCCTACTTACATCTGTGCCTTTCACTGGAATGGTGATATTCCCTATCGTAAACGAGTACAGATGTCCTGTGAACTGAACTTGTACCAGACCTTCAAAACCCCAACGGAGGAAGGAGATCTTGGAAAACCAGGAGGCAACTGTGAGTAAATGCAAAAACATGAAGTTAATTCTCAAATTCAATCCTTTTCTCCTTTCCTCCCCTCAGTCTAGGTTGGGAACACAATGATGGGTTAATTTCTCACTCATGACCCTGTGCCACTTCTCTGTCTTCAAATATAAATAGTCTAGTTGGGCTGGATGCATGTTTAGGACCTAATTAAGGACAGCGTTAGTCAGTTCTAGGAGATATTGTGGTGCAGTCGTAATGTCACTAAGTCCAGATGTCCAGGTTCAAGTGCCTCCTGCCATGAAAGTGTCAATAAACGTGTCTCAACAGGTTAAGTAAATAAAAGAATTGAAGAGGTGGGAGTTGCCTGTAAATCAGGATTGTTACAGGTATATGGAAGCTGTATTCTCGAGTCTGCTGCTTCCTCGCAGAAGACAGAAGTCAGCAGCCTCAATGTGCAGAGCAGTTATTAACTGTCCGACTGAAAGTACTACACCCAATCTCATACAAAACCCCTAATGGTAATGGTTTCATCAAACAAATTACCTTTGTATTCCCAACATTGAGTCTAACAGCTATGTATTAACATGCACCATACTGGTGGGTTTCAGTGGTTTGCAATTTGAAAAAAAAACCCCTTGGTTGTCTCCATTCCAATGAGTTTAACACTAGAGGTGTGTTCACAGCTTCAAACCCACCCAAAAACCTCACTTTGAAAATTCCAGTGCATCCTGAAGGAGGAAGGACATGCCCAGGCAATTGAAACTGTCAACCAAGACTTTTTCCACCTTGGATTTATTAGTAAATATGTTGCATTCATAATCCCTTGTATTGGATTTTCCCAAAAGTGGAAACATTCTCTCCCATATCAACTTGTTCATCACTTTAAAAATTACTATCAAGCCCCATCTAAGTCTTCTCTTTTCCAAAAGTGAAAGCACAAACCTTTCCCAAATATCTAAATTAAGGTACCATATGTCTAATCACTTTTTATACTTTCGTCAGTGCTTCTGCAGCCTTTTAATAGTAGGTAACTAAAACAGTGCCCAGTACTCCATGTGGGGCCTGACCAGGATCCAATGCAAGTTTAATGTAACTTCTCTACTTGTGAATTCTATAGCCCTGCAAATAAATTTCAATGCTTTGTTAACAATTTTAATTGCTTTGCTAGCCTGCAATGCTCTTTTGTTTACCTGTATCCTGCAATCCCTTTCTCTTCTCTACCATTCACTTTCTTATTTTCTAAGCTGTAGGTGATTTTGCCAATGTCCTACTCCACATTTTCATTTGTTAAAAAATAACTAGGCTACTTAACTGCCCAGTCTGCAAGTTTTCCAATAGCTTATGTATTTTCCCCTTCTGTTAATTGTAGCCCCATCTGTAAAATGTCATTAAATTAATTATTCTAAAGTCTAAATTATTAAATAAAAGTGATAAATAACTGTATAACATCACTTTCTACCTTCCTCCAACCTGAATAACTTCCATTTATTCATACTCCCTACATTTATTTTCAGTCCATTTGCTTTCTATTCAGCTATTTGTCCCCAGACTGGACATGCCTTAACTTTTGTCATGAGCAAGTCATGAGATACCTTCTGAAAGACTTTTTGAAAATCCAAGTACTTGGCATCTATTGCAGTACCCTTGTATTCTCTTTCTGTTCAAAAAATTTTTGAGGTTAGTTACATATTATTTAGCTTTTCAGAAACTGTGCTAATTTTTATTGTAGTTTCTATCTCTAGATACTCATCTATCACATAATAGATTCCAGGATCTTTTCTTTCAGAAATGTTACGCTGACAGATCTATAATTTTGAGGCTTTGTTCAATTTCCCTTTCATTATATACGAACAACATTAGCTGTCTTCTTGTCCTCTACCATTAGCACCTCTTATGTAGGGCATTGTATATAAATCTGATTGATTGTCACTTGAAAATAATCCACATCAGTAATCTGAAAGATTTCAAGGTTTGGACTGTATTATAGTGTCATGAAGCCACTTTCATTACTTATATTGCATGGCATACATGAAGATGGTGTAATTTAGTATTTATTTATTTCTCTGGCCATGGCCAGCAGACAACACGCTAAATATCAATGCATTGAATTAATATCCATGCTATCAAGTGTATAGCTGATGTCTAATGATACCTTGTTTGACAGATTTATTATCGTAATATAATTGCTGCAAATTTATCATGTTATAACATGCAGTTTATTCCTGGGATAAAACATTTTCTGTTACTCTGAAGTAATCACTTTCCCTTCAGCAGAGAAAAACCCACAGCATTAACATGAATTTTATTTTCACAATAGTCACCTTGCAGTATCTGTCAAAATTGTAGAAAATAAGGAAAGTCACTCAGTGCTGTGTAACACTATTATGAGTATTCAATTATTCTTAAGATTAGGACTCATGGAATACAGCTTGTTTGTTATGCTGAACCCAATTTGATCTGGTGCCATCCTCATCATTCTGTAGACTAATGTAAAAAAATGTCAATACTTGAGTTGAGAGAGACTCAATAGAACACTAAATACAAAACTTCTGTGACATCTATCTTAATAAATTAAGTGATGCCGATATAGAACAAGAAGATATTTATATCTGAATAGGAAAAAGCTGGGAATTTAAAATAGAAATTGCACAACTCAGCATCAGAACAAAAACGTGTCGATGAAGGATCTCACTTAAAACTTATTGCCTTTCTCTTAGATTCTGACCAAGCTGCAATGCATGTATAATTTTCTGTTATAGACTCCTAGAGTCATACAGTACAAAAACAAACCCTTCGGTTCAACTTGTCTATGCCGACCAAGTTCCCAAACTAAACTAGTCCCATTTGCATGCATTAGGCCCATATCCCTCCAAACCTTTCCTATTCATGTATCTATCCAAATGTCTTTTAAATGTTGTAACTGTACCTGCATCTACCACTTCCTCCGGCAGTTCATTTCACATAGGAACCACCCTCTGTGTGAAAAAGTTTCTGCTTGGGTCCCTTTTAAATCTTTCTTCTCTCACCTTCAGAAAACCCTCTAGTTTTAAACCTCCTTATCCTAGGGAAAAAGACGTTTGTTATTCACCTCATCTGTGCCCCTCGTGATTTTATAAACCTTTATAAAGTCACCCGTCAACCTCTTATGTTCCAGTGAAAGAAGTCCCTGCCTATCCAGCCTCTCCCTATGACTCGAACCCTCCAGTCCTGGCAACATCCTTATAAATCTTTACTGAACCTTCTCCAATTTAGTTATATCCTTCCTATAGCAGGGCAACCAGAACTGTACACAGTGCTCCAAAAATGTCCTCACCAACATCTTGTATAACCACAACATGACGTCCCAACTCCTATATTCAACGTTCTGAGCAATGAAGGCAAACGTGTTAAATGCTTTCTTAACTACCTGTCTGTCTGTCATGCAACTTTCAAGGAACTATGTACCTGAAACTCTAGGTGTCTCTGTTCAACAACACTCTGCAGGGCCTCACCATTAACTGTTTAAGTCCTGCCCTTGTTCGTCTTATCAAAATGCAACATCTTGCATTTATCCAAATTAAACTCGTCTGCCACTCCTTAGCCCATTGGCCCAATTGATCAAGGTCCCTTTGTAATCTTAGATAATCTTAAAATATGTTCCTAATTGCCACTCAATAGATTTATTTTTATTGCTTTTCTTGTCTATTACTTCCCTAAACCACTGTAAGCTGGTATGCAAAGAATATAAAAGATCTGGTAATTATAAGGCAGTATTGCACATAAATATTGGGATAACTGAATTAATATCTATTTCAACATGTAGGATAGAAAGTAGCGGTGCACCATGAAAGAACAAATAATTCCAAATAAAAATAAACTTCGGCAAGTTATTTATTAAATTTTAATTATTTTTTAAAAGGTGGGCTAAGAGCAAATAACACACATGCAAAGCAAGAAACTGTGAATATCAACAACTACATTAAAGATGCTACAGAATTACACGAAAAATCTCAAGACATAATGGCTGGCACAGCGGCTCAGTGGTTAGTGCTGGGGACCTGGGTTCGATTCTGGACAGTCTGTATGGAGTTTGTGTGTTCTCCTCATGTTTGTATGGGTTTCTGCCGTTTGCTCTGGTTTCCTCCCACAATCCAAAGATGCACAGGCTAGGTGGATTAGCCATGCTAAATTGTCCCACAGTGTCCAGGGATATGCAGGTTAGGTGGATTAGCTATGGGAAATGTGGGGTTACGGGGAGAGGGTTTGGATGCTCTTCAGAGGAGTGGTGCAGACTTGCTGAATGGCCTCTTCTGCACTATAAGGATTCTACAATTAATGACTTCAAGGTGAAGGTGTAGACATTAAGTGGTTTGACCAATAGCTTGGTCAATTTGGCATGTTTTAACAAGTGTCTTAAAGGACGGGCAGAAAAGTTCAGAAAGGGAATTCTAGAACTTAGGCTCAAGTTACAGCCACTGTCAATGGGATGAAGAAAGTGGAACAGACGCAAGACAGCAGAATTGGAAAAACACAAAGTTCTGAGAATTGCAAGCCATCGAGAGGGTGGTCAGGGAAAGATTTAAACATGGCCAAGAGAATTCACCGAAAAAGCCTCCTACCACATCAACATTTGCTACGTATTGAACATCTCCATTATCATTTACACCTTAACTCTCTACTGCACTCAGCCCCCACACCCTTTCTCTTCCCCGTCTCACTCCCTCTTATCCCTATCCCTCACAATTTATCAGCAACAAATACAATCAATCCAACCAAACAGGCACAGCAAATTAGCAGGCACAAGCCATGAAATTAAATAACATTTAAAACTATCTACATTTTAGGAGGCAACGCCTTCAAGAAATGATGGCGGTGGGGGATGGTTAATTGGATGTTTCAACATTAGAAACTTTGAATCAGGCCACATTTTCAACCAAACAAATGAAACATAATGGACGTAACTGAAAACCAAAACATGGTTGCAAGGAACCATGGGCTGCATCCTTCAGCAAACTTTGTCCATAGTAAGAGAATTATGACATTACAAGCAATAAAGAATTACTCACACAGCACTGTGTGGCTGAATTTAAACTTCTTACCTGTCCACATATTCTTTAGACTAATAACAAAGCCTCCTGTTAAGTAGAAAATTGTAAAAAAGATGTTTCCTAGTAAAGAAGATAACTGCAGCGTTGGTAGTAATGCTGAGACCCACAAAGCCATTACTCTACTGCAATAAACCACAAGCCACACCAGTAGAAAGTTCAGAAGGAACGGACTAGCTTCGGGTCTGAGAGCTGCTATCCAGTAGATTGGCACACCGTAGATTATTACAAAAGCACAATGTTCCGGGAGTTCTCCCAAAAGCTGTGGGGTGGAAAGGAAATACGAATTGGTTATTGACAAATTGAGATTGGAAATTAAGTATAAGTGATTGTTTGGTAAATCCAAACTTAAGTGTGGCTGAAAGGAAATACAAAGTTGAAGCTTTTCATTTTTCATTCATCAGGACTGACAAGAAACTAAACGATGAAAGAGAACACCAAACCAAGAGCATGAGAAGAGGGTGCTGATTGGTTAGACCATGATTGACATGGAGATGCAATTGGATCTGTTAACTGTCAATCTAAGCTATCTGATAACCTCAGACCTCACAGACAGACTCTGATTGGTCAGGGCATTGCAGCAGGGATTGGCAATCTTGATTAGCCTTTTTGAAATGAAGAACGGTGCAATGTAGGCACAAATGCCTTTCCATTTTAGGCACAGTCAAAAAAATTGCTTTTGGGAGCTAATTTTTTATTGCCAACTGATTAATGCAGGTTTCTCTGCAGAACAGGGTGACCAAAGTCTCTGAAAACACAATGGCCAAATGAGATGCATTCAAGGATATTGAAGGAAGTAAGAGTGGAAACTGCAACGGCTTCGGCAATAACCTCTAAGTTTTCCCTAGACTCACGGATGGTGCTAGAGGTCTGGTAGATTGCAAATATCACACCTTGTTCAAAAAATGTTATCAGGATAAGCTCAGTGAGTACAGATCAGTCTGTTTAACTTCAGTGGTAAGGAAATCTCTTGAAACAATTATTCAGGACAGAATCAATAATCACATGAAAAAATGTGGGTTAATTAGGAAGGGCCAGCACAAATTTCTTATGGGGAGCATCAAGTTTAACTGACTTGCTGGAGTTTCTTTTGGAGAGATAAAAGAGGGTTGATGAGAGTACTGATGGGACATGCACATGGACTTCCAAAAGGCATTCAATTCAGTGCCACACGACAGACTAATGAGAACATACGTAAGTTTCAAGTTCTAAGCTTGTGGAGGCAATAGAACAGTAGTAATGTGGACACAAAATTAACTGATGGACAGGAAACAGTCATAGTTAGTGGATAATTTTTGACCTGGAGTAAGCTTTATAGTGGATTTCCCTCGGGGTCAGTTTTGGGCCCTTGCTTTTCCTGGTATATGTTAATGACTGAGCAATTAGTGCACAGGGGACAATTTACAAGTTTGCAGAAAATACAAAACTTGGAAAAGTTATAAAGTGTGAGGAGGACAATGTAAAATCACAGAAGGACATTGACAGTTGGTGGAGTGGGCAGCGCTGTATCTGGAGTTGCAGATGAAGTCAATGTGGAAAAGTAAGAGGTAATACATTTTGGTAAAAAGAACATGGAGATACAGTCTAAAATAAAACACTCCCCTAAAAGGGTGTACAAAGAGCAGAAACAGGTAGGACAGGTACAGTGAGCATATAATAAAGCCTACAATATCCTAAGCTTTATTAATATGGACATGGGAACAAGAGCAAGGAGGTTCTGCTGTACATGTATGACAGACTAGTTATACACCAGCTAGAGTATTATGTACAGTTCTGGACAAGGATGTAATTGCATTGGAGAGACTGCAGAAGAGGTCTCTGAGAATGGTTCCTGGAATGAGAAACTACAGTTGAGGAAAGAGGGAGAAATTAGGGCTGCTTTCCTTAGAGAGGAGAAGGCTAAGAAGAGATTTGATAGAAATTTTCAAAACCATGAGAGATCTGGACAAAGTAGATAGGAAGAAACTGTATTTGGTCGTAAAGGATTGAGAATGAGAGGGCACATGTAGAAAGTAATTTGAAACAAATGTGAATGTGAGAAGATCTTTTTGACACAGCAAGTAGTTAGGGTGCGGAACCCCACTGCCTGGAAGTGTGGTGGAGGGAGTCTCAATTGCGGTATTCAAGAGGCCATTGGAGGATTATTTAAATAGAAACAATATTCAGGGCTATGGGAGGAAAAAAGCGGGAAAGTAGCATTAAGTTATAATGCTCATACAGAGAGCCAATGCAGTCAACAATGGGTAAAAGATCATTTTCTGCACTATAACAATTCTGTAACTTGTATATGGTACAGATTCTCAGTGACAACCATTCCTTTTATAGAGATGGCTTTATTCCTGTACTCCGATTATTTTCTTGTCATAACTTCCCAACAGACTTTTGTATATTTTTTTACTGTTTAATATTTATTGTACTTCTATTTTTTCATGGTCAGTACGATTAGAAAAATTACCTTTGCAAAATAATAAGGAGTAATAGAATACATCCCATCCTCTACTTCATGGTAAAGCATTGCCCTCTCTGAGTGACCTAGATAAAGATAATTGATAAATAGGTAGAAGATAACCACTGTCATGTAGGAAATGGGATAGTCAATTCAAATGCAGAAAAATCCCACAATAATTGTAGATTATCTACCCTTCAGTCAGTTAGGGAAGGGATAATTATTCGCCAGAACACAAAGAAGAATCGTTCTGCTCTTCTTTAATTTAGTACTGTAGACCTGAAGAGGGCAGAAATGTCATCAGATGAATATCACATGCTCCCCTCTACAGTTTCTATCTGGCTAAGTAAGTACTGCCCAAAAAGGTGACTGGCAATTTCTCCCAGTGGATCTTATAACTCATTCTCACTGGTTGAAAGGAAAGGATTTTCGCTCCCTCCCCTGCTATGAAGAAGTGTCCAACATTTTTTGGTATTGCACAAGAAGGCCAGGTTGGATGTTGGTAGTTTATTGTGGGAAATAGGGAATCCACTTCTTCCTGCTATATAGAAATCCAACATGTTGTCCTGTCAGGTTACCATGGCTTCTTGTTTCGATGTTTAGTTAGGCTTGGTGGAGTTGTTTCCCACAATAGTACTGAAACTGAAAACATGCTTTACTGTGGAAAATCACATTTTTATTTCCATCAGGGAGAAAGCTCCAGAATGTTTACCTAATGACACTGAAGGAATGGTAATATATTTCCCAGTGAGGATGGTGAATAACTTGGAGAGGGAACGTGGAGGGATGGTGGTGCTCCCATGTTCCCATCTGCTACCCTTGTCCTTCAAGTTGGGAGGGGTCATGGTTTGGATGGTGCTAGCTAACAAGCCTTGGTGATTTGTTGCAGTGTATCTTGTAGCTTGTACGCACTGCTGCTACTATGGTGGAGGGAGTAAATGATTGTGAATGTGATGCCAATCAAGCAGGCTGCTTTATCCTGGATGGTATTAAACTTGAGTGTTGTTGGAGCTGCACTTATCCAGGGGAGTATTCCATATTCCTGACTTGTACCTTGTAGATGGTGGACAGGTTTTGAGGAGTCAGAGGGCAAGTTACTCACTGAAGGATACCTAACCTCCAACCTGTTCTGGAAGCCATTGTATTTATATGGTGAATCCAGTTCAGTTTCTGGTCAGTGGTAACTGTAGGATGTTGACTGCAGGGGATTCAATGATGTTAATGGCATTGAAAGTCAATTGGAAATGGTTAGGTTCTCTGTTGTGGAGATTTTCATTATCTGGCACTTGTGTGGCATGCGTGTTAGTTGCTACTTGTCAGCCCAAGCTTCGGTATTGTCCAGGTTTTGCTGCATTTGGACGTGGACTGCTTCAGTATCTAAGGAGTTGCAAATGGTGCTGAATATTGCACAATCATCCTTCCCACTTGTGACTAATAATGGAAGGAAGGTTGTTGATGGGCCTAGGACACTACCCTGAGGAACTCCTGTTGAGATGATTAACTTCCAACAACCACAAATATGTGTTAGATATGACTCCATCCAGCAAAGATTTTCCCTTGACTCTACTTCTGCTAGGGCTTCTTGGTGCTATGCTTGATCAAATGTTGCCATGATGTCAAGGACAGTTCAAATCTTTAGTCCATCCTTGTACCAAGGCTGTAATGAGATCAGGTGTTCAGTGGGCCTGGCAGAACCCAAACTGGGCATTAGTGAGCAGGCTGTTGCTAAGCAAGTACTGCTTGATAGCACTGTTAGTGACACTTTTCATCATTTCATTGATATCAACAGTGGACTGATAGGACATTAACTGGCAAGTCTGAGTTTGTTCTGCTTTTCCCCATTGCTGGATAGAAGCCAGTATTGCAGCTGTTCTGCAAGAGCTTGACTAGGAGAGTGGGATGTTCTGGAGTACAGGTTTTCAGAAATATTGCTGGGAAGTATCCAATACCTTTAGCCATTTCTTGATATCACATGGAGTGAATCGAATTGACTAAAGTTTGGCATCTAAGATGACAGGGTCCTCTGCAGCCAGCCAAAACGGATCATCCACTTGGCATTTCTAGCTGAAGACTGTTGCAAATACATCAGCCTTGTCTTTTTTACTGATATGCTTGGCTCCCCCATCATTGAAGAATGGGAATATTTGTGGAGCCACCTTATCCAGTGAATTATTTAATTGTCTACCACTATTTATGATTGCACATGGCAGGAACGCAGAGCTTACATCTGATCCATTGGCTAAGGGATTACTTAGCTGTGTTTTTCACATGCTAATAAAGCAAAATCAAGGGTTAAAGTAATGCTTATACAGTCATAGAGTAATACAGCATGGAAACAGGCCCTTCATCCCAAACTGGTCCATGCTGACCAAGGTGCCCACTCAGCTGGTTCTAATTGCCCACATTTCGTCCATATCCCTCTACACCCTTCCCATCTATGTCCCTATCCAAATGTTTTTTAAATGACCTACTTGAATATTTTAATGCATTTTAATAATCTGACAGATCCAAGAGTGTCCTGCTCACTTATCCAGTTAAATTTAGAAGAGGGTAGGATAATAGACAATTTAATTCCACATGTTGACCCAAATCTACCTGCCCTTGCCTAGAAAGTTACCCCCCATGATGTCAGACACCTAACAGATGCTCTCAAACTTTTTTCTGTAGCTTCGTATTTTATCACTACTGGTCTTGGAAGTAAAAACACTTCTAAAGTAAAAGTCAAAGAAAATAAAAAGCAGCTTACATTTAGCGATAACATCCAAAACAACTGCAAATGGGGTCAGAGCTCCAATCATGTATAACAATGCCACTGTGTCCTGGATGGATAATTCTTTGCCATCTTGGCTGTAGTATAAAAACCCTATTAGTAAAGACATCAAGAGTGCCTCAAATCCATGGATAGCCAGTGTTGGTAAATCTCTGAAGTCATTAGAAATCTGCCGTCTGGTACAAAAGAAGAAAGTATTACTGTTCAAAAAGCAGTACCTTCACATTTCAGATGATCATGCGTACATTTTTCATAAAGAAATGAAAGTTATATTAAAAATTTCTCCTTAGATGTATTTTACCTTAGTAAGACTGAAAATTGTCTCAATTGTCCAGCTAGTTTGTCCTTGGTTTCTGATTTAAAATTAATAATAATTTCATCGGAGGTCTGAGAAGCACTGAAAGAATTTTGGAATGAGGTTAAAAATTCACATCAGCTGGGTGTTTGAAACATTCTGTTTAAAATTTTAGCTTTAAATATTTCTACTCATTTATTATATATCACAAATTTTCAATATCCCCAGGTATCAGTGTTCTAAATTAATTAATTCACCTTTCCTGATTGCGTAATGTCAGCAGCTAAAGTTAAAATTTGAAATGCTTATTAAAACTTTGTATGATGATCCCATAAATAACTAATGAATCCACATAAAGGATTTTTTTAAAGAAAAAATCTTAGTTATTTTAGTGAAAGGTGTGCTGGGTTTCCCATTCCTCTTGTAGAGAGGAATATTGCCAGTTGAGGGCCTTCCCAGAGGAAAGCTTACTTCTGGATCTCCATCTTAGCCCTCATCTCTTCTTTATTCAGCTTAAATGTTGTTCTGCCCGCGTCTACCGTGTGCCAGTCCTTCACTCAAGACCCTGGGTTTTGCCTTCTGCTCCAACATATGTTGGCTCCTTTCTGATGGTTCTTCATTTCTATCATTTTCATTGTTCCATTTGTACACGGCCTCAGTGCAACATAACCTACAATGCAAGTGATCCTCAGTGCTGGCTCTACAGACTTCTGAGTGTATATACATCTCACCATTGGTTACAGAAGCAGGAGATCTGAACTGATCTAAGAGACAGTGAGTACAATGTAATGACAAAGAGAGGGAGGGGGAAAATTGTGAAGAGGAAAAATTAGGGGTCTGATATTGAGAGAGAACAAATGAAATTAAGGGGAGAGAACAAGAAAAAGTAAAAAGGACATGTGATGGGTTAGAAAGATGAATAATAAATACAAAGCAAAATGATTTGGCAATTAGAGAAATAAAGGATACAAAGCAAGGATGCCCCTCTAAGAACGGCAGCAAAAAGAAAAGGTTGACAAAACAATAATATGCATCATGTGAAAGAGAAGCAGAAAGATAAGTATAATTACATGGAGGGGTGGCAAGAGGCAATTTTTTTAAATTTAAGAATTGCATGTGATCAATGTCAAAAAGAGTTCAACTACTAAACATTTTAGTTGTAAGTTTACAGTAACTTAAAGAATAATCTTTAAAATCAATGATTTTAAATGTGAATGATGCACCATGTATTGTTTCATTGAATTCAATGAAAGCCTATCAGGAAAGACTATGTTGATTATTTCCTGATTCACCAAAATAATGAAGTGATAGGTTAAAGTCAGAAGAGGAATAAATGCTCAGGCTTATTATTGGAACAGTGCCTTAAAATTTGGTGAACAGAATAGTTTTTTTTACCTCACCCACCATTCTTACGTTCCATACAAACTTCAGGATAAATAAACAATTATATGACATTTTATATCTACAATAATAAATAAGAATGCAAAATGTTGATGTTAAGGATAGATTCTGTTATTGTATCAATGATTCACTTGATAACAGTACTTTGCAGTGCTACTCATATTTGGACAGGTATTGCTGGCATTAGGCTTCCAGGTGTAATCATCTGTGTCTTTGACATTCTCCCAGAATATGGAAGCAAGCGTGTTGGCTTTATCCTGTGTACATTCTTCCTGTTCTTTGGAACGCCTGTCGATACTGGTTAGGTCAACTGTAAGATGCAACAAGATACTTTTTGAGTCATTAGTTCAAAATTCTTTTAAAGCAGGTACAGGAGTTGAACCTGGATTCCAAAATGATGCAAAGTTCCAAAAATGACAGCAAGAATTGTAAGGCTATCAATTCTCACTGTTATTAAAGAGTAAATTGGACAGCAACCCCAGTGACTGCTCACATGCAGTTAGATGCAGAAATCAGGAAGCATCATCTTAGTTCCGCTAGTAGTTTCATCATGAGATTTGGCATTGAAATACATGCAACGGAGTGAAGTTGGGATACTTCTATGATGGATACCCAATAAACATATCAGGAAAAAAAAGGACCTGTACATTCCAAAGTAAATTTTTTAAAAACAATATACCAAGTCTAATTACTGGCAAATAACTTATCATACCTGAACATTTTAATTATTGTTGGAGGTATTAAAATTATGTTTGTTTTACTCTTTCTTTTTTCACTCTCTCAATCCTGTTATTTTTTCCTGTAAGTGTTTTGCCATTGAATTAACTACTCTGATGTACAATTTCTCATTGAGACTCTGTATGACAGAGGAAAGATTCTTCAATATTCTTCATTAAGGAGATACATAGATAATTGTCCTATTCATATATCCCAGATCGCTGCAGAAGATGCTCATGTAATTTTGGATTTTGAATTACCCAAATGCGGTGCAAAAGCCCTTAGAAAATCTGTAGGCAGTTTAAGTTCTATTAATAGCTAGCCTGTTTGTTCACCACAGATCATAACCAGTCTAATAATATGGTTGTTATTTATCTCCCATCTGAGCCAGTCTTCTGCTGCCTTGTCACTTGCAGTATGTTCTCTATTGCCAACAGAAATCCTTTGCACTTGCACCTAACCTTTGCTGCAAATACCCATTGTGTGCAGTCTGTGGCAGCTGCTCCCTGCCGCTGTGCACGTGGAAAGAAATATGAGACAGAATTGGACTTTTCTCCAAATCTGAGAGTCAGTTCTGAAATATAATTACAGAATTAATTTAAAACCTGAGCAATTAGAAGTAGCAACCCTGTTATCAATGCAGGGGAAAGACAAGCTGCATTGCATCCTCAAGTTCACAGAGGAGCAGGAAAACATGACGAGAGATTGAGAACATTTTAAATGCATGCTTTCAACCCCAAAATTAATATTAACTGTTAATGACATATGTTCAATTTTAGAGTTCAGAGAAGAGGAATGGTGTTACTCAGTATGTGATAGCACTGGTTTACCTCCTAAATACTGAAAGTTTTAACAACTGAAAGTTAACCTCATCAGAGGTAGGATTGTTTTTAAGGACAAGAAATCCTGCAATGACAGTACATCTGCTGAGGGAAGAGAAACCTCCACTCAAGAAAGTTATTAACGAATGTAGAAGCTTTCAGATTGAGAATCATCAGGAATGGAAGAACAAATGAGGCTTTGCATTATGCTGAACACACGCCAAGCCAAAACGAAAACAGTCCAGGAAAGAGGAGGAAATATTTGCAGAAGAGCCAGCAGAAAAAGCCAAGGCCAGAGGGCAGGGTGTAAATATTGCAGAGGACACGGTAAGAGAAAAGGAAGTATGTTCGGTATAAGGAAAGAAATATTCTAACTACAAGAAGTGAAAGCACTTTGCATGTAAAAAACTTAACTTAAAAGAAGCTAATTAAACCTATAATGTGAGCTCCTGGAGAGACAGAGTTGGAGGTTGGTGCCATCAGGTCTTAAGGTGACAAATGGTTTGTGGCTGTTAGATTGATGACACAGAGAACAGTATCAGGTGGATGTTGTGTCAGATACCACTGCTTCATGTGACATCATGAGCTTTGCGCTTCTGCTTGAGATACTGGCCCAAAAATGAGGACTTCAAAACTAACAGTGAGACTCTATGCTAGAACAATACTCATGTCAAGGGGGCAAATTATGCTGATATCCCAAAGCAATGGAAAGAATGGGGATCTAGAGTTCCAGATAGTAGATATCAAATAAAATCCACTCATTTCAGATGAAGCAAGTCTTAAGTTTGTACTAGTTACCCCAAAAAATGCCACAGGAGATTTGCAAAGTTTTGCAGACCAGTAAGAGATTAGCAGCATGGGAACAGTGAAACAACTTGGAAACCAGCATGCAACGGTCAAAAAGATCTCAATAAAGCTTTGATGAGATCTCGGATAACAAGTTGTAGAGCTGGATGAACACAGCAAGCCAAGCAGCATCAGAGGAGCAGGAAAGCTGACGTTTCGGGTCTAGACCCTTCTGTTCATCCAGCTCTACACCTTGTTATCTCAGATTCTCCAGCATCGGTAGTTCCTACTATCTTTGATGAGATCTCACTATCCCATGCCAGCCACTGAAGGAATTTTGCTGCAACTTTACTACTCAAATGTGAAGAATGGTTTCTGGCACGTGAAGCTGAACGAAAGCAGCAGTTTTCCAACTACATTTCAATGGTTGTGCATGCCTTTTTGCATTACTACCATTCCAGGAGAATATCAGCCCAGATGGCATGAGATATTCAGTATTTTTTACCAAGTGGAAGCTATTGTGGGTGATCTGCTAGTTTGTGACGTGGAGACACAATGGAAGAAGTCACTGCACACCAGTTAGCATCTTGTGTGACCTTAGAAGAGAGTTCTATTCAAGCTCATTATTAAGGAATATGCAGTGATGCTGAGGCACAGAATAAGAAGCTGATTTCACGAGAATTAAATGACTAGGTGACAACAATGCCTGTGCTGAGATATTAGAGCATTGATTGTGAAGTCACCTTGCAGTGTGTTTCCAGTGAGACTGGAGCAACCCTTACATGGCAAGGAAAACCAACTGCCTTTGCATCCAGGATATTAATGCAAACTGAATGACGCTATGTTCAGATAGAGAAAGGGTGCCTGGCTGTTGTCTTTACGTGAGAGAATTTTAATCAATAACTCTTTGGGAGAAACCTAGTGACAATAGTCTGCCCAAGCCACTTCAATACACCTTTGCTCCAAAGTGTTTGCAAAGAATGTTATTTCATTTGCACAAATTTAATCTGAATGTAATAAATAAGGGAAAAAGATATACAATGCCATCATGCTGTTGAGAGCAAATTCCATATGAGAAAAGTTTATAGAATCATAGAATCCCTACAGTACAGGTAGAGACTATTTGGCCCATCGATTCTGCACTGACCCTCTGAACAGCATCCTCTTCTATCCCCATAATCCTGCATTGACCATGGTTAATCCACCTAGCCTGCATGTCCTAGGATATTACAGGGCAATTTAGCATGGCTATTTCCACTTAACCTGCTCAACTTTGAACTGTGGGAGGAAACCGGAGCACCCAGTGGAAACCCAAGCAGACACAGGGAGAATGTGTAAGCTCCATTCAGACAGTAGCTCAAGGCTGGGATCGAGCCTGGGTCCCTGGTGCTGTACGGCAGGAGTACTAACCATTGTGCCACCCCATTACAGGTTAAGGATTCTAAGAGAGTGCAAAATCTTCCAGATTCAATGACCACAAGATATAGGAGCAGAATCTGACCGTTTAGCCCATCGACCCATTGAGGCTGCTCCACCATTTGATCATGACTGATACATTTCTCAATACCATTCTCCTGCCTGACAAGCAACTCTTTGTTATGCTCTGAAAATAATCGATGGAGAAGGGATGCTGAATCAGAAAGACAAGCGCCTTGGCCCAAATCAAGCAAATCAACGACGTGACTCTCCAGTTGTTGTAGCAATTGTGATGTCAAGATGACTTCAGAGTGTCATGGCCACATTTCTGCTATAAAAAACTACTCCATATAAATGGTGATTTATAGGGTTATTATCCTTGCAGGGGGTGGTGAGAAAGAAGATGCTGAAGCACATTTATGCAAACCAAAGAATGGAGTCTAGTCTGAGGAAGTTAAGAGAAGTGCTCAACTGGACAACATGAATAAAGAGATCAAGGACCATCAGCATTTGTAAAAGGTAATAAGTTAAGGAAGCTAGAGAGAACCATTAATACAATATGTGATATCCTAGCCAAACCATGAATTAACTCTCATAGGAACTGATTATCTGGTCACCATTGACTACTATTCTGTCTACTGGGAATTAGACCAGTTGATTTCAATGTCTACCAGCGAGATTGGTGAATGTCTGAAAGCACACAGTTATTACGATGTTCCAGACATAGTGATGAATGAAACTGACCCTCAACTCACGAGGGAAAAATTCACCCACTTCATAAAGAATTGGGAAATTCAACACCATACATCATCCCCACAGGATCAGAGTAAAAGAAGATAAGCTGAGGTGACTGTGGAAATTGCCGAAGTGATTAGAAAGCAAATTCAGCACCAATGTATACAGAACAACTTTCAAAGTGGAGTAATATACTTACTGAAGGCAAGAAAGTAGTTTAGTCCAAAGGCTAATGTCTTGCTGAATCCAAACTACTCTTCCAATAGTGAAAGAACTACTGAAGATACAAGTACTAACAGTTGTGAGGGACAAAAATCAAGGTTGAAATGACAAAAAGCCAAGTTTCACTTTGATAACACTATCAAGTCATTGCCAGACAGAAAGCAAACTTCCAATATTTTCAACAAGAGTCAACCCATACATCAACTTGGGACCCATGTACAGCAATTGGCAACTTGATCATATAAGGTTGCAATGATCAATCTGGTCATTCACGTTCACATCTATGTACAGTTGGAAAGGGTGCACTTTCACTGCAGGCAGTGGATCAGGAAGAAAGTGATATCACCACCTGCAAGTTGTACAAAGTGATCATTTGGCCCAGAGATCTGCTGTTTCCCAGCAACAGAATTGGATCAGAAACAGTCACAACAGTACTTGTCATAGAATGACACTCCCAGATAAGGAACATTAGCCTAGAATGAGCAAACACAAGAAGAACAGTGAAAGACAACACACACATGTACCATTAGGAGACCTGTGAATTAAAGACTGGTGTATGCAATGCATGAGCAGAGACTGATGAAAGTGGAACTGATCAGAGTGAACACACAATTTGTTAATTAATTAATGATAACTTTCTTTGTGACCATGTATATTGTGTAACTGCAAATAAGAATGTATGCATTTTTCTTCCATGGGGTGGGGGGTATGTTTTGGAGAAATTCAATTGTACCCATAGCATATTGATTGGCTTGCTGTCATCATGTGATCTCTACATTTACTGTGTGTATTTTTGTGTGTAATCTGGGGCAGCCATTAAACTTATATCACTTGTAACACTATTTCTTGTAGAGGTCACATAGTAAAACCTGGTGGTCTTCCTGTGGGCTCTGGGAGAGGTCCATCCTGATAAGGCATCCTGTGACACAAAAGTGTCATCCCGGTGACCCACAGAGTTCCATCCTTGCTGAAGACTCCTTACTGCCCTCACAATGGAACCTTCTGTGCTTCTCCCCACCCCGTAACCCTTTGCCCGGGCTTGCCTGATTGGATTTGATGAGCCTTAACTTGATTATTTGCAACCCAGGCCTGATCCAACATGGCTGGTCTGGGGTATCTGCAATTCCAAAAGTGGCCACCATTCCCAGCAGTGCTGCTAGATTGTTAGAAGGACTAACGAGTTGGCAGCCCTTTGAGAGCTTGGAGCTCCCGTCTTGGACAGGCCAAAGTCATGACTTCATGCAATAGCATATGCAAAAATAGGAAACAAAATGTGGCTTTTACAGGCAGCAAGGATGGGCTTGCAAATTTTTGGTCATCGGATAGGGCCACCACAACTAAGTCTCTAGTCAAAATGATAAAAATTAAGGAATCACCAACAGCGACGATTGTAAGGGTGGTGCAAATACAAGGAACTGTTTCTTTTAAATGGCATCATTATCAAAATAAATACTAATTTTACATGCTATTATAACGGCTCACAAAAATAATGATAGAGGGTCTTGAACAAAGATTAACAAATTAATTAAGTATCTTTAAAAATTGACAACTGTCCAAAAGCAGGAGATTGATTAATGATTTTGATGATGACGATAGGTCTTCAAATGTTAATATGACAAGCATACTAATGATCAGAGTTTCTAAAATGCTGGTTAATGATTTTACAATAATAAGACGGCAATAATTACTGACTAGTGATTTGAATAAAAATGAAATCTCTTTAGACATTGATTGATGGTTTAGGTAATGAAAGGCATTCCATAAATGCTGATTCAAATGGTAACAGTTCTATTACTGTAGACTGTTCAACGTGGAAGTTCCTTTCTCTCTCAGTAGTGATCTGAATTATAACTGATTACAAGGGTCAAAAAGCAAATTTCAAGAACAGCAGTGTCATATAATAAATATCTTATCATCAAGGCATTTTAGATAACATTACCGACATATGATTTATGACAGTCTTAGAAAAGGAGCTCTGAAGAAGTCCTATTGGACTAAACTATTAACTCTCTGCACAGATACTGCCAAAGTCAGAAATCACTGATATTATCTGAACTGCCGTGATATTAAGATATTTCACGTGCGAACTCTTGTTGGGGAATGAAGCAGAAGCCTCACTAAAAGGTGGGTAAGGAGGTATCAATCTGATCATATGGGAAACATGTCATTGAGCAGAACCTTCTACTCACACCGGTGATGAACCAGGAGGCAGCAAAGAATTTGACCAATGTTCCTCCTATGCCACAATTAAACTGTAGGTGCACAGCTCCACTGTCAAGGCTCCCTGCCTCAATATTAACTGACCACTTAGTGACCACTCAAGAAGCACATCCTGCTACCCACAGCTGTAAGTGGGTCTGTCATCAAACAGCTTGGGCTGGGGTGGGGTTGGGGACGTGGGGTAGAAGGGAGGGAACGCCATTAATCAAATGGTAATCAGCGTCGGATTAAACAATGAGACAGACATCGATAAGGGGAGTGGACTCACAGAGCTACCACAGAACTGTCAATTCCTCAGCACTCTCCATGACCCCTACACTGAAAACCATCCACTGCCCCCACCCTCCCCCCACCTGTCAAGAACCAACTGTGCCCTGTATCCTCTGTGAACCTGCAACTAAGGGGTTGAAATTCTGGGAACAAACATGGCCTCGGGTTTTCAATCCAAGGGGACTTGCCACTGCCTGGCTGGCTTGAGGTTTTGTGGATCTTCTCAAAAGAATGCAATATGGGTCTCTTGCTAGAAAGGGATACCCTAGAATATGATACCAGCTATTATGGTACACTAAATAACATAATATTACATGGTTAAAGGGACCCTTTGGTTTAGAAACCCATGATCTCTGCAGATTCATGTCTAGCGATCTTACGTCTAGCGTCACCACTGAGAACCATTCTTGATCTGTTCAATACTCACCATAAAAATCACAAGGATTGCAATAGGTTGGACAAGGATATCCTATTGAGGTAAAATACGGAATCATATCTTTAGCTGTTCCACAGTACGTTGTTACTCCTGAAGAGAGCAGGACCACCAGATCGAACAAGTGGAATATGTCAGACCGTGGCTGATGGATTGACATTAGAATCAAACGATTTCCTCTTGCAAGTCTCGACAGAGTCATCACCAAATTGTGTGCTGTGAAACTATCAAGTCCAGAAGTGGGTTCATCTAATATTAAAATACCTGGAACCAAAAATATTTCCATGGTTTCATGTTTATGACAGGTTATCAAAACAAATTTTATTTCAGCTGGTGTCATTTGACTTCTCCTTTGAAGAAACATTTTCCATAATCTGGGTATCACTGTATCTTTATTCATTTAGGGGTGAAAGGATCTATCTCATTAAATAAAGCATGGATAAAACGTGAAAGAATTTAACATACCCCACTTCATCTTGCTCTCCTGCCCACCCCTGCCCTTGACATTACAGGGGACAAGCAGACCTCAGGCAGCTCATGCGTCTTTGGTCTAGTGAGGTCCTTAAATGAACAATTCATGAAGGTCAAAGTGAAGCCCAGCAGGTCATCCTGTGTGGGGTCCTATACAGGAAGTTTTGGGGGTTGGAAGGAGCAGGTGAGAATGTCATGCAACAGCTGAGGGCCATTAGATCTTGAACCAACCTTGCGATGATGTCATGCAGGTGAACACCACTGGGTTTAAATGGCATAGCATGGGTGTTGTTAAAACATACTACACTTTTTTGCACAGGACCACCAGACAGCAACACTCTAGTCTGGAAAACTCACATGAGCACATGGATACAAACACAAAAAGATTGGTAGATTCATCCTTATGTATTGTAACTATATGTTAGACACTGGTATATCTACGATTACCATCTGTGATTGAACTTTAGTATCAATGTACAATTAAAAACATACTACTCCAAAGTCTGAGCCTAACAACATTTCCTGACTTTGTTTTTGCCTTCATCAGTCTGCCTCAAACCTAAGCTCATGGTGTGGCATCACATCAGATGACAAAACAGGATGGATAAAGGAGGAGGATGAAGAGAACAAACTCTCTTACTGAGATAGTAGGAACTGCCGATGCTGGAGAATCTGAGATAACAAGGTGTAGAGCTGGGTGAACACAGCAGGCCAAGCAGCACCATAGGAGCAGGAAGGCTGATGTTTCGGGTCTAGACCCTTCTTCAGAAATGGGGGAGGGGAAGGGGATTCTGAAATAAACAGGGAGAAAGGGGGACGACATGTCCGTACTGGGCTTCCTGCAGTGCCACAATGATGCCACCTGAAGGTTGCAGGAAGAGCACCTCATATTCCGCTTGGGAACCCTGCAGCCCAATGGTATCAATGTGGACTTCACAAGCTTCAAAATCTCCCCTCCCCCGACCGCCTCCTAAAACCAGCCCAGCTCGTCCCGCCTCCCTAACCTGTCCTCCCACCTATCCACTCCTCCCACCTCAAGCCCCAGCCCCATCTCCTACCTACTAGCCTCATCCCGCCTCCTTGACCTGTCTGTCCTCTCTGGACCGACCTATCCTCTCCCTAACTCCCCACCTACACTCACCTTTACCGGCTCCAATCCTGCCTCCTTGACCTATCTGTCTCCTCTCCATCTATCTTCTCCTCTATCCATCTTCTATCTGCCTCCCCCTCTCTCCCTATTTATTTCAGAATCCCCTTCCCCTCCCCCATTTCTGAAGAAGGGTCTAGGCCCGAAACGTCAGCTTTCCTGAATCTCTCTTACTGGCCTGCATTCCATATCGGGCACCTAACACAAGCTGTTCCCTCTGCCCCAGCTTCTCCATCAAGATTCTCCTGAACCTATCCTTTCCCCTCTGCAGTACCCCTAAGCATTTACCTCCATCCTGGTTCTAGGATTTAGATTTTGGCGACTGCTTGTAATCCCAGCAGCAGCCACTGCTCCCAGTAATGAAGCTGGGACCAGAGCATTGTCCATCAATGGCTGGCATTTCAATGTTTTATCCCAAGTGAGGGACACAAGTCTCACTTTTAGCCAATTAAAACTTGGCGAGTGGTAACGGGACAGCTAGCATCTTTAGGCAAGTGAGTCCCACTGACTCTTTGGCTAATGAGGTAGAAAATTTTGCCACCCATTAAATTCTGCCTATGTGCACAACTAAACACATTCTGACCAGAAAACAAGAGGACACTCAAGTATACAGCTAAGTAGGTGATTTAATAGAAGAACGATTTATGTGTGGAGTTGGAGCAGAAATTAGATTGTTCTAAAGTGCAGCTAGAATAGTGGAACATGATGGGTCTAAAAACATAATAAAGAATGTGGAAAATAAACACCAAATATAATGAAAGAAATTTCAATCATTACTATAAATATACTTGTAGAATCTGATAAAAATAAAGTGTCACATTGAAATATTACAAAGATTACAGTAATATCCTTTAGTCACTGGATGTAAATATACTAAATTAATTCACTATTGCTGTAATCAGAGTATACCGTGGGATGCAAATTGTGGAGAATCTTCCCCTTTTGGAAACTGAACAGGTCGTCATTAATAGGGGAGAATGAAAACAGCAATACACAGAGGAAATATGATTTTCAAATAAGGCAGTTATTGATAGGCTGACATTCAGATTAGGAAGTTAAAAGAACCATGCTATGCTATAAGAGAGTGAAAGCATCAGCTGATGAAATCAGGCAAGTCCCCTTTACACTTTATTGAATTTTCAGAAAAGGGAGTAAAACTCAAAAATTGGAAAATAACTCATAAAATATGAATTTTTAAAAAAGAAACGAGGAAATTATAGATCAGTTGCACCAAGTAAGTTTCTGAAAAAAAGTTAAAGTTACATGCTGTCAAAGCTATTCATCTTGCATTCATCAGCATAGATGCAAGATGAAATAACTCCACAGAGGCCAGTATCCCATCACAAAGTCACCCTTCATCTACATGTGGAAAATCCTTGACACTGATCCAGCTCCCTCAGAGCCAGCTCTCAGAGTGAACAGAACCTGTGACACTCATGTTTATATCTGTCAGCCAGGGCCCCCTGACTGGGGCTGTTAATCTGGTCCATTCAGGGAACTCATGTTCTATGAGGTCCATCTGGCTGACCTCATTACAATCACTACACAAGAACATCATATTTCAAAGGAAAATTTATACTTTATGGGAAAAGGGTGCTGATTGGTTAGCAAGTTGATGCTGAGGTGTTGCCATGGTGAATGCACTAGAAAATTACTGTCCTCTATTTCATTTTGCCAAATTTAGAAAAGATGCAATGATTGGACATGTTCTGTTTTCTGTAATGCTCTCCATCCCCCATTCAAATTCACCCCTGAAATAGAACACAGTCTTATAGTTCTCTTTTCTCAATGAGCTAGTTGAGAAATTCACTAATGAGTTCTCTACAACTGTCCACTGCAATCCTACTTTTAGTGGTCAATATAGATATTAGGATTTAATAGCCCAACAGGCTAGTCAAAAGTCTCAAAAACAGGGAATGCACCATTTGCTTATGGCACAAGCTTGATATGGAAATAAGGTACATCAAAGCTATGCAATGGGATAATGGCTACCCCAATCAGACCATTGCTTGAGGTGTATCATGCACGTTGAGGTTGGTTGGCTCGCCGAGCTGTTTTGTTGTTCCGCAGACGTTTCGTTACCGTGCTGGGTAACATCCTCAGTGCAGCCTCTGATGAAGCGTCGGTGTGTTTTCCCACCTGGTTTTTAAACTCTGGAGTCCGTTGCGATGGAAACCAGGCAGGAAAACACACCGACGCTTCATCAGAGGCTGCACTGAGGATGTTACCCAGCACAGTAACAAAACGTCTGCGGAACAACAAAACAGCTCGGCGAGCCAACCAACCTCAACACCCACAACCCGAGCTAAAGATCCACTCCAAAACTTTAGTATCATGCATGCTCGTGAATGGTCCTAAGCCCACAGTTTCAGCCTTGGTAAGTGCCTGGTCTATCTCAAATTACCCTGAAAGTGAAAGGTATTCCCAGAATGTAAGCAATGCACAAAGTCATTTCGCACTGCTAATATGCGATAGCAACACAGTTGATATTTTCCATGAAAAAGATAATGCCGAAAAATTAAAAAAGAAATTCTGCCAACTGCACAAGCGAATAATACAGTGTATGCAGCGTGATGCAAGATATATAGGCCTTACATCCCAAAAATTGGTGATTGTATCAAATAACACGTCACAGATTGTAATAGACAGAGTATTGAGCATATGCACCTACTCTGTGCTTGCAAAACTCAGAACATATTGTCTATAGATAGATGTGATTCTGAGAGTGGGTAGTACTTGTTGAACAATTCCAAATGCGATAAAAATTATATCAACATTTGATTTAAGTTTATCAGTTGTCTCCTAGTGGCTTACTGACGTTTATTACAATCTACAAATAATCAAACACAGGGACATGACCTCTGCAGGACAAAAAAAAGAATATCTGCATACATTGTTTTTAATTCAACAGACACATGAGGGACATTAGTTTCCTGGTGGCATTCACCACGGCTATGCTTTCAGTCAGTCAATACCAATCAGTCAGTACCCTTTTAAGACTATATTATCTGATATTTAGAAGAATGAGAGGAGATCTAATTGAGGTATATAAGAAGCTAAAGGGGACTGACAAAGTAGATGCAGAAAAGATGTTTCCTCTTGTGGGGCAATCTAGAACAAGGGTTCATGGTTTTAGGATAAGGTATGGCAGATTTAAAACAGATGAGGAGGAATTATATCTCTCAAAAGGGCCATGAATCTATGGAATTCACTACCCCAGATTTCAGTGAACACTGCAGCATTGAGTAAATTTGAGGAGGAGATAGATTTTTAATTAGTAATTCCAGACAAGGGAGAGCCAGTGGATGTGATCTATTTGAATTTCTGGAAGGCTTTTGACAAGGTTCTGCACAGGAGGCTGCTCAATAAAATAAGAGGCCTTAATGTTAGGGGTAAGTTAATGGCCTGGATAGAGAATTGGCTGGCTGACAGGAGGCAGAGAGTGGGCATAAGGGGGTCCTTTCCAGGATGGAAGCCTGTGACCAGTGCAGTTCTGCAGGGGTCAGTATTGGGATCACCACTATTCACATTATACCTTAACGATCTGCACAAATGAACTAAGTTTGCAGATGATGCAAAAGTAGGTGGAGGGACATGTTGTGTTAAGAAAATAAGAAGGCTGCAGAAGGACTTGGACAGGCTAGGAGAGTGGGCAAAGATGTGGCAGATGGAATACAATGTGGGAAAGTGTGAGGTTAATAACTTTGATTTAAGAATAGATGTGTAGACTTTTTTTAAAAAAATGGGGAAAACTGCAGAAATCTGAAGCACAAAGGGACTTGGGAGTCCTAGTTCAAGATTCTCTTAAGGTTAGCATGCAGGTTCAGTTGACAGAAAGGAAGGTAAATGCGATGTTAACGTTAAGTTCAACAGGGCTCAAATCCAAGAGCAGAGATGTATTGCTGATGCTGTGTAAGGCTCTGATCAGACCACATTTAGAATATTGTGAGCAGTTTTGGGCCCCTTATCTAAGGAAGGATGTACTGGCATTTAAGGGTGTCCAGCGGAGGTTTACAAAAATGATCCTGGGAATGGAGGGCTTGTCTTATGAGGAGGGGTTGAGGACTCTGGGGCTCGACACAGAGTTTAGAAAGTTGAAGGGAGATCTAATTGAAACTTACAGAATACTGACAGCCCTGGACAGAGTGGACATGGCAAAGATGATTCCACTAGTAGGAGAGACTACAACATGAGTGCACAGCCTCAGAGAGAAGGGACGACCTTCTGGAACTAGATGAGGAGGAATTTCTTCAGCCATTGAATGGCGAATCTGTGGAACTCACTACTGCAGAAGGCTATATTTAAGACAGAGGTAGGCAAATTCTTGATTAGGAAGGGGATCAAGGGTTACGGGAAGAAGGCAGGAGAATGGGGTTGAGAAACATATCAGCCATGATCAAATAGTGGAGTAGACTTGATGGGCCGAATGGCCTAATTCTGTCCCTATGCCTTATGGTCTTATTTGGCTGGAGAGTGCACGACAAAACGTTTCAACCTCATGTCTCTTTTTTTCAAGCACCATATATTAATTGATACGTTGTGGTTAATTATTTAACAGGTATTTTGAAAAAGAGAATAGTAAAACATTTGTAAAGGCGTAGTTATTGTACATAGGAAGCTCCATCAATCTGTGGGAGGGAGGTCTTGTCTCACAAACCAAATGGAATTCATGGAGAAAATTATGCACCCTATCTATTTAATTTTAGCAACACTTCATTTTACATTCATGGTTGGTCCACAAAAAAAAGGGAATAAAAAAAGCCTTTTTGGGTGCATTTGAAGTAGGCAAAACTTGAGCAAGCAGGAAGAATTGTGAATGAAGCTAGTTGTCACTCCATTAGGACTGATAAAAGTTAGTTACATAATGCAGCCAACTCTGAGTGAACAGCTTGCCAACATTTATTTGGTTCCCATTTCAAGGGAATCATGGCTACTTGGCATGTCACTAAATAGCTTTAAGCCCCTACAAATCATAAATCAGCATTTTTACACAGAACATAACATGAACGGAGATCAATAGTGGCCATTTACCAGGGTTCCACAGAAGTTGCACTCCAATGCTCACTCGTCGTCTCTCGCCTCCAGAGACCCCCCGAGTTAAGTAATTCCCAACTCTAGTGTTAGCACATTGTCTTAGTCGGAGTTCTGCTATCACATCGTCTACCTGAAATACATGACTCAAGTCAAAAATTATATGTGTTGTCCTATGTTAATTATTCATTTGTTCCTAAGTTAATCATAAAGTCAAAACAACTATGTTAGAACAGAAATTTTCTGTGTACAAATTAAGAAATCTATGTGTTTGCACACGATGAGAACTTGAAAATCAAACCCTAAACTGATAGGAGGATATTCCTTTCTCTGAACTGACTGAGATTTGGACAAAATGGCAGCCCCACAGCTTAACCCTAACCCTTAAGTGTACTTGCTGGAGTGAAAGTTCTGATCTCACTAGAGGCGTGATCAGAATCGTCAATGTCGGAAATGAAAAATACCAAAGTGGCCGAAGCCACACTGCACTAGGACAGAGTTGGACATTGCCAAAACTTTCAATGGACAGTCTTAATACTGGAGGACATAAAATAGGAAAATGCTTCATTTTCAACAGTTACCTCCCTCACATGAAATACAAACATAAGTTGCATATATAGGTGGGTTATTGATTACAAATGGTTTAAGACAAAGATAAACATTGAAAAATATAAAAGGAGTACACTAGTAAATAATTTTGCAAACTGGGTTTATAATCCCAGGCACACAATTTCAAACCCCATAATGACTTTTAAGAATTTGAACTTTGTTTTTAAAAAACTGTAAAAATAAACAGCTAGTATCAGTCAAAATGCCCATGGAGTTGCTAGATTGTTGTCAAAATGCCACAGAATCAATTAATCACTTTCAGGAAGGCAACTAGTTGCTCTTACTTGGGGCAGTCTTGTATGTGACTTCTTTCATAATTCACCTAAGTGATCATCTATCAGCCATGAACTTTTAATATTGATTGTTGGCTGGTTATTTGACTTTGGTGAGAATCAGAGACAAACATGGTTTTGATGTCACCCAGTACTTCCACAGTACCATGGCAACCAGAAATCTTATCTGATATTTTCCCCTCCTTAGGATGGGAACATTGAACAGCATCTCTTCATGCCCATTATGGAGATCAACTGACAAAGTACAAATGATGGGAACCTTCCCATTCTATTTAGCCCTCAGCTACACACCAGGCATTGTTTACACAGTTAGCCATTAAGGGAATGCAGTCAGAACGCAAAGTGGCTAGCAGAGGAAGAGACAGTACTACAAGGACAGGGAAAGGCAGTGGGTTTGGCTCTCGGATGCTCGAGCAAAGAGCTGACAATCAAACGATGGACCAATGCATTTCTTCAATGCTGTGTACTTCCATAATTCTTACCCTTTTGTTTCTTTGTTCTTCTGAGAAGTCTTTTGGAAGACGCAATTTTGCAACAAATGTTAATGTCTCTCTTACGGTGAGATTGGGTAATAATCGGTCATCTTGTCGTACATGTGCAATACACTTTCTAACCAGCTGCCTGTTGACTGGTGTTTCGTTGATCAATATTTTGCCAGTTTTGATTTTCCCTCCTTCACCTCTGCAAGTGATGACGTCAAGTAAAGATGTCTTCCCACACCCTGTTTATTCACAAGTTAAGAAAAATAATTCAAGTATCGTATGAATACCTATTTCCAAAATCTGTTCTACAGTTACAAAATAGGCTTTCCACAATTATAGTTACTCAGAAGAAAGCCAGTTAACATATATTGAAAATTAGGCCAGGGGCCAGTTGGAGAACTGTGACCAGTGGTGTTCCACAGGGATCCGTGTTGGGACCACTGTTGTTTGTGATATACATTAATAATCTGGAGGAAGGTCTGATTAGCAAGTTTGCAGATGACACTAAGATTGGTGGAGTAGCAGATAGTGAAGGGGACTGTTGGAGAATGCGGCAGAATATAGATAGATTGGAGAGTTGGGCAGAGAAATGGCAGATGGAGTTCAATCCAGGAAAATGCGAGGTGATGCAGTTTGGAAGATCCAATTCAAGAGCGAACTATATGGTAAATGGAAAAGCCCTGGGGAAAATTGATGCACAGAGAGATCTGGGTGTTCAGGTTCATTGTACCCTGAAGGTGGCAACGCAGGTCGATAGAGTGGTCAAGAAGGCATACGGCATGCTTTCATTCATCGTACGGGCTATTGAGTACAAGAGTTGGCAGGTCATGTTACAGCTGTATAGGATTTGGGTTCGACCACATTTGGAATACTGCGTACAGTTCTGGTTGCCACATTACCAAAAGGATGTGGATGTCTTGGAGAGGGTGCAGAGGAGGTTCACCAGGATGTTGCCTGGCATGGAGGGCGCTAGCTATGAAGAGAGGTTGAGTAGATTAGGATTATTTATATTAGAAAGATGGAGGTTGAGGGGGGGCCTGATTGAGGTCTACAAAATCATGACAGGTATAGACAAGGTGGATAGCAAGAAGCTTTTTCCCCAGAGTGGGGGACTCAATTACTAGGGGTCACGATTTCAAGGTGAGAGGGGAAAAGTTTAAGGGAGATATGCGTGGAAAGTTCTTTACACAAGCGTGTGGTGGTTGCCTGGAATGCATTGCCAGCGGAGGTGGTAGAGGCGGGCACGATAGCGTCATTTAAGATGTATCTAGACAGATACATGAATGGGCAGGGAGCAGAGGGATACAGATCCTTGGAAAATAGGTGACAGGTTTAGATAGAGGATCTGGATCGGCACAGGCTTGGAGGGCCGAAGGGCCTGTTCCTGTGCTGTAATTTTTCTTTGTTCTTTGTTCTTGTGACCTCGATAGTATATCATTTGCATGGAATAACTAAAATGTGTATTAATGTTTGCAGGGGTTGCCACACACGTGTTAACATTGAGTAACTTGTAAACCACTGTTTTATATGGGTCATACAAAGGTATGAATTTAATGCAGGACACTCAGTCCCTATAGCCTGCTCCAGCATTTGTAAAGATCATGCCTGATTTGACTGTGGTCTCAACTCTACCCTCTTATCCTTGGAATCCCTTGTCAATCAAGAATCTGTGTGACTCAGTCTTAAAAAGATATAATGTCCACTGCTCTCTTCGGAAAAGAATTTCACGGATGGAACACCACTTGAGAGTAAAATTCTTTCTCAGCTCCATCTTAAAATGGGAGATCAATTATTGTCCCCTTGTTCTCGGTTCTCACATAGGGGAGACATCCTTTCAATATTCATGTCGTCAAGTCTCCTCAGGAGGTTCTTGCCATGGGATACTGTCGGTGGCACACATCCATCTTGCTTTGAGGAGAGACCAAGATCAAGAGTAGATCTGCTTTGACATGACACTTACTGGGAATAGTACATTGGAAATCAAACCCCACTTTTCCACAGATTCGTCAGTGTGAAATATGACCCATTTAATCTCTAGGATGGTTTGTGCCTGACATGACCACTCTCTAAAATAAAAAAACTCTCACCAGGTTTCATCAATGAACAAGAAGCAAAAATGTATTTATCATAATAAAATTATCTTCTAACATGTGGCAAAATAGGTTATTACTAATTGAAAACTTAAATTTAAAATCAAAATCAAAACACACATTAATTCACAAAAGACAGACAAAACAGATGAGACAAAATCAGTCTTTTCAGAAATATTAGAAGTGGTAAATAAAAATGCACAAAGTCTGTGAATCCAGAAACCAAACTGAAAGGGACAGAATGAAGTCATTCTGACTATTTTTGTTTTGGTTTTCGGTTGATATCATGTTGTTCCTGAGTGTGGAAATTCTCATTTTGGTAGTCAGTTGGACCTGTGTCTTGGCTTTTCCTAGCATTTTAATTCCAAGGTTTTGAAGTGTTATTTCTTCTCCACAGTGACAGAGAACAAAAATGATAGAATGAGACTTAATGCCGTTTCCCACAGAAGTACCAAAATCCAGCTTCCAAAGTTATAAGCTCTTGTGTATTATTTGACCGCACAGTTGTACTTTTGAGTTTATTTTAAAAAAAACCTAATAATCCAGACTTCCATCTTCTGTTCCTTTACAGTTCTTGAGTCTAAAATCTGTGACTCACTTCCTACACTACACACGTTGCAGAGATTCAAAAGGATAGCTCACCATCACCATTCTCTCAAAAGAACAATAATAATGTATTGGCAACAAATGTTGGTCCAAAATGTGAAACCCACATTCTATGAAAGAATAAATTATAGTAAATGAAATGTTAACAAAAAGAAAAAATCACATTCTTAGAAATGGTTTCAAATCCTCACACCCCTGTAATATAGCTGATATCAAACTTGTTCCAAAAATCAAATGCGTGGCACTGTTCTGTTTTCATTTAAAGAGGAATTTAAGTACTAAAATAATGTAGATGCACAACTTTCCAGAGCTCACATCATAAAACTCCACATGCTCAGAGTAGCAATTTGCATGTTTAATTGACTATATTAATGAAGTGTAATCACAAAATTGATTGTACAATGAGAACACTAAACTTAGACAACTTACCAGAACTTCCTATCACAGCCAACATCTGTCCACTTCTGACTTTCAGATTTAGATTCTTCAGAGCTGTTGTCTGTCCATTCGAATTGGAGTTCCAATGCCATGGCATTTGTAATTCAGCTAGCTTCTCATACCAGGGGATCTGTGCTGCAGAATTCACCTGCATTTTGTGGGCAAGAAACTCTTATCAAAGAATTCTGAGGAAAGTTTGAAAACACCTTGTTTCAGAGGACTTAATTAGTTTTACACAGCTCTTCAAAGTTTAAATGTTCATTAGACTCTCCAGTAATTCAGAGTAAGTAGACTGTATCATGTGATACTCAGGTGGACTAGGAAAATTTCAGATATGTGCCAGGTTGGCTGGTGTGGTGGTATTCTGCCGCAGTCATCCTCACGATCTTTGGATTAGGCACAAGAAAAGTAGTGCATCAACATGCTTTCTCCTAATCACTGTCATTCAACTCTTGTTGAAAAGTGTACGTGTTTGACACTGCATCTGACTGTAGCGGGTTTGGCTAGAACCAGGTTTGACAACCTGTGTTACCAAAGTTTCACACAACTCTTTAATATTCATTTGCAATTCCCAACCTTGACAAGTTGAATTAGGTTGGCATGAGAAAGCCACATCCCCCAATAAATATCAAGATATGTAAGAGCAATATTTTTAGTGTGGGGATAAAAGGCGCACCATTATACTGTGTTTCAGGCGATCAAATCCTTATTTAAATGAAAAACATCAGTCTGCTGTAAATAAACTCATCTAGAGGAATGAATCACAATATAGAAGCAGATAATGCCTTTGGTTTGAGGAATGGATTTTATGGTTGCAATTTTTATGGTTTAAGACGAATTATTCCAAAGATGCTGTTGGAATCTGTTTTTTTTAAAGTCACAAGGTTTAATAGCTGAAAAGAGTCTCTTAATTCTTCCTATTTCAAGTTAAAGTTTGTAATAAAGATGGTCTTGCTGACAACATAATAGTTCTAAAACATTAAGAAAATCCATTTTAAACCTAAAACAAAATAGTTATACTTGCACCATTTTTTGATTTTCAAGTGTGAAATATATTGATTTTCCATTAATGGAATTTATACAAATTCATGCACAAAGCCTGGACCTGTTTACATTGGAGAAACAATGACAAAATAAACAAAATGCTATAATTTAGAGTTAGATCCTTAAACACATTTATTTAATAGTTAGATTATGCTTTCCACCAAAGGCACTTGGCAATTTGTTGTGTATATGGTTTAGCAATGTCAAATTTTCATCTTGTGGCTCGCAATGGTTCTAATTTTTGGCAACGATTTTAAAGTTAGCTTTTCAGGTAAAGAAGGTTTTGGACCCTGGTCTAGGATATCCTGTTAGAGTCATAGAGTCATACAGCATGGAAACAGACCTTTCAGTCCAACTGATCCGCACCAACCAGACATCCCAATCTGACCTAGTCCCATTTGCCAGCATATGGACCATATCTGTCTAAACTTTTCCTATTCAAATATCCATCCAGATGTCTTTTAAATGTTGTAATTATACCCACCTCCACCACTGCTGGTGGCAACATGTTTCATATAATGCACCACCATCTGCATGAAAATGTTACCCCTTCGGTCCTTTTTAAATCTTTCCCCTCTCACCTTAAACTTATGCCCTCTAGTTTTGGACTCCCCCAGACTAGGAAAAAAACAACCTTGGCTATTCACCTTATCCATGTCCTTCATGATTTTATAAACCTCCATAAGGTCACCCCTTAGCCTCCACTGTTCCAGGGTAGTAAAAAGCCCCAGCCTAATCAGCCTCTCCCTCCAACTCAAACCCTCCAGTCCTGGCGACATCCTTGTAAATTTTTTCTGCCCCCTCGCAGAATTGTAAGCAGTCTTCTATAAGTGGCATCATCAATGTCTTATACTGCTGCAACATGACCTCCCAACTCCACAGTCAATGCTTTGACCAATGAAGGCAAGCATGCCGAATGCTGCCTTCCCCACCCTATCTAGCTGCGACTCCACTTTCAAGGAACTATGCACCTGCACCCCTAGGTCCCTTTGTTTGGCAGAACTCCCCGGGTCCCGACTATTAACTGTAGATACTCTGGTTTGCCTTACCAAAATGCAACACCTCACATTTATCTAAATTAAACTCCATCTGCCTCTCCTCAGTCCACTGGCCCATCTGATCATGGGTGTTTTATTCTGTTTTTTCAAATATCTAGCAGTTGCCTAGCTACATAAACAAAGACTGGTAATGTACTGAGAGGACCTGTAAAGTTATTCCTCAGTTTGAAATGGTAATGTTAGAAAAAGGATTGGGTTTGGCAGAAATACTCTCTATAGCTTAACAGCATATCAAAAGTCAATCCTTCAGGCTATCCATGAACAAAAATATCTGATGGCCAAAGACTGTCCTTCCAGAACATATCTCAGCTTGAAATTACTTCTTTGGGTAATTAAATGATAAAATTGGCAAAGCAAAATTTCTATATTTAAATTTTACTTACAAGGTATCTTCAAAGGGGTAGTGCTTAAATTTGACACAAGGCAATGTTTCAAAATCTCCCCACCCCTGGTCTCATCCCATGACCAACCCTCCCTCTCATCCCGCCTCCTTGACCTGACACAACCCATCCATCTTCTCTACCACTTATCCTTCCCCCCCACCTCACTGACCAATCCCCATCACTCCCTACCTGCACTTACCTATCACCATCCCATCTACCTTCTCCAGCCCCACCCCTTCTCTCTATTTATTTCTGAGCTCCCTTCCCCTCCCCATTTCTAAAGAAGGGTCCAGACCCAAAATATCAACTTTCCTGCTCCTCTGATGCTGCCTGGCCTGCTGTGTTCCTCCAGCTCCACACTTATCTCTGACTCCAGCATCTGCAGTTCTTACTATCGCTAAAAATATCTAATCCATTTTCTCCAGAATCATTATCCATTTATACAATTTGGTAAATAGTTATTTTTGTCAAAAAAATCATCATATATTAAAATTGTTCTTTTTGAAAATTCCTACGATCAGGCTGAATGATAAAATACTATATTAAAATACTAGTTACATCAGTAGGTGATATTGTGACAGCTGTTTATAATGTTGAAAGTGATGGCATGTGACAATAGTGGCAAAATCTTTCATGGGTACTTGAATTTGGGCTAAAGACTTACTGTGCAGTTCCACATCAATATCACTGGGTGCCAGCACAAGAAATTGTCAGATTTCATCAGACACTTTCAATGCAAGGACAAAAGTTTTAATTCCTGTAATGTTTGGCATTCTTAAAATGCTGTATTGCTTAAAACAACTAAGAAAACACACACGTTCACTAAAAGTTTGATGGGACAAGGACACAATCATAATGGATGATCTTCTGAGTTAAGCCCCCTTTTGAGTTCAGCCCAGGTCAAGGTTTCTGGCATTAGGCAATGTTGCAGCCTTCCTTAGGTAGGCTTGTTGGCCAAGTCAGGCTTCGCATTAACATTGTAAAAAGTTTGACGATAAGTCATGAGCTGATCGACATTGAGAGGCTTCACCCCTAACAAGAACTATCAATGCAAAGAAATATTTTGGTTATGGAAGAGCCAAGGTAAGTGATGTTTGCATTCACTGAAAGTTAGAGAAAGCAGTCTACTCTTCAAGGTACATGCCTCATTTAGCTAGAGTCAGGTTTGTGAATGCACGTCTCCGAATTTGGATAATATGGTTGCACACGTGAATGCAAATCCATTGTGCTGGAGTGTTAATGAGTATCCACAACATGCTAATGAATGCAAAACAGGTTCTTGGCAAAAAAGCAGACTCAGAAAACTGACCTGCTTGAAAGGTTCTGGCTGCTTAATAGCAAGACTTTCATTGGTCAGGAAACAGATTTTTTTTTCACTTCTCACTTAAATAATGCTCCCATTTGCCTGTCCTACTAAAGCTTAGAGATACAAAGAACTGCAGATGCTGGAGTCAGAGATAACATGGTGTGGAACTGGAGGAACACAGGAGGCCAGGCAGCATCAGAGAAGCAGGAGAGTTGACATTTCAGGTCAGGACCCTTCTTCAGAAATGGAGAGAGGGAAGGGAGCTCAGAAATAAATAGAGCGGAGGGGTGGGGCTGGGGAAGGTAGGTGGGATGGTGATAGGTGAGTACAGGTAGGGAGTGATGGAGATTGGTTGGTGGGAAGGTAGGGCAGATAGTGTCAGGTTGTATCAGGTCAAGGATGAGAGGGAGGGTTGGATATGGGATGAGGCCGGGGGTGGGGAGATTTGAAAACTGGTGAATTCCACGTTTAGGACATTGGGCTGTACTCCCGAGGTGGAATATGAGGTGTTGCTCCTCCAGTTTGTGTGTGATGTCATTGGGGCACTGGAGGAGGCCCAGGATGGTCATGTCACCCAGGGAGTGGGAGGGAGACTTAAAATGGTTGGCAACTGGAAGGTGTTGTCGTTTGTTGTGTACAGAGGGCAGATGCACTACGAAACAGTCTCCGAGTCTACACTTGGTCTCACCAATGTAGAGGAGGCCACATCAGGAATAGCGGATACAGTAGACCAAGTTGGAGGATGTACAGGTGAACCTATCTCTGATATGAAAGGTTTGCATTGGGCCTTGAATGGAGGTGAGGGGAGGGGTGTAGAGGCAGGTGTAGCACTTCCTGCAGTTGCAGGAGAAAGGTGCCGTGGGTGGTGGGGTTAGTGGGGACTGTGGAGCGGACAAGGGAGTTATGGAGTGAGCGGTCTCTACAAAAGGCACATAGAGGTGGGGAGGGAAATATCTCAGATTAGGTGGCTAAAGTAGTGGAGAATGATACGCTGGATGCTGGAGGTTGGTGGGGTGGTATATGAGGGAGGGGGATTCTGTCTATATTTTTGTTTGGGGGAGGGGTTTGAGGGCAGAAGTGCGGGAAATGCAAGAGATGTGGTTGAGGGCATTTTTGACCAACAAAGGGGGGAAGTTACGGTCCTTGAAATAGGAGGACATCTGGAATGTCCGGGAGTGGAATGCTCCATCTTGGGAGCAGATGCGGTGGAGGCGGAGGAATTGGGAGTAGAGGATCGCATTCTTGCAGGAGGGTGGGTGAGAGGAGGTGTAATCCATGTAGCTATGGGAGTCAGTGGGCTTGAAATAGATGTCGGTGCTGAGACGGTTACCAGAGATGGAGACAGAGAGATCCAGGAAGGGGAGGGAGGTATCGCAGATGGTCCAGGTGAACTTGAGGCTGGGGTGAAAGGCCCTGCACCCACACATCCAATGAATTCTGTTAACATACGGTTAGCCCTCAGCAAAGGGCTCACGTTCATTCCCCTGCACCCACATATCAATGAATTCCATTCATGCCTGGATGTCAAACTCTTCTTCTGCCCCCTCCGCCTCTGCGCCTATTTCTTTGACCGGGAATCTAACACACCCTCTGCAGACCCCTTCTCCTGCCTCCAACAAACCTCACCCTCTTGGACATCACCCCATGGCCTCCTACTCTCTCTCGACCTCCTCATCTCCAACTGCTGTGGTGACATCAATCGCCTCAACCTCTCCACCCCTCTCACTCACTCCAACTTCTCCCTCATGGAACGCGTAGCCCTCCACTCCCTCTGCTCCAACCCTAACCTCACCACCAAACCCACAGATAAGGGAAGCACAGTAGTAGTATGGCACACTGAACTTTACATTGCTGAGGCCAGGTGCTAAGTCTCTGACACCTCCTCCTACCACCCCCTCGATTATGACTCCACCCGACTCCATGACCAAAGAGATATTTCTCTCCCCACCTCTATCTGCCTTTCATAGGGACTGCTGACTCTGCGACTCCCTCGTCTGCTCCACACTCCCCTCCAGCCCCACCACCCCCAGCACCTTTCCCTGCAACCACAGGAAGTGCTACACCTGCCCCTACACTTCACCCCTCACCTCCATTCAAGGCCCAAAGCAAACCTTTCATATCCGACAGGTGTTCACCTGTACATTCTCCAACTTGGTCTACTGTATCCGCTGCTCCCGACGTGGCCTCTTCTACATCGGTGAGACCAAGCATAGACCCGGGGACCGTTTCATAGAGCATCTGCGCTCTGTATGTGACAAATGACAACACCTTCCAGTCATCAATCATTTTAAGACCTCCTCCCACTCCCTGGGTGACATGTCCATCCTGGGCCTCCTCCAGTGTCACAATGACACCACCCACAAACTGGGGGAGCAACACCTCATATTCCATCTCAGGAGCCGACAGCCTGATGGCCTATACATAGACACAAAAACAAAAGTTGCTGCAAAAGCTCAGCAGGTCTGGCAGGATCTGTGAAGAAAAAAATCAGGATTAACATTTCGGGTCCAGTTCTGAGGAAGGGTCACCAGACCCGAAATGTTAACTCTGATTTTTTCTTCACAGATGTTGCCAGATCTGCTGAGCTTTTCCAGCAACTTTGTTTTTGTTCCTGATTTACAGCATCCGCAGTTCTTTTGGCCTTAACATAGAATTCACGGAATATGAAGTGCTGTTCCACTTGGGAACCCTGCAGCCCAATAGTCTCAATGTGGACTTCACAAGCTTCAAAATCTCCCCAACCCCCGACCTCATCCCAAAACCAGCCCCTCTCATCCCCACCTCCTTGACCTGTCCGTCTTCTCTCCACTTATCTGCTCCTCTATCCACCTTCCACCATCGCGTCCCCCTCTCTCTCTATTTATTTCGGAGCCCCCTGCCCCTCCCCCATTTCTGAAGAAGGGTCCAGACTCAAAAAGTCAGTGTTCCTGCTCCTCTGATGCTGCCTGGCCTACTGTGTTCATCCAGCTCCACACCTTGTTATCTCAGACTCCAGCATCGGCAGTTCCTACTATCTCTGTTCATCTTCTTCCCTACCTATCCGCCCTATTCTTCCTGCTGACCAATCCCCACTACCCCCTACCTGCACTCACCCATCACCATTCCACCTACCTTCCCCCAGACCCATCTATTCTCTCTCTATTTATTTCTGAGCTCCCTCCCACGCCCCCAGCCCCATTTTTGAAGAAGGGTCCCGACTCAAAACGTTAACTCTCCTGCTCCTCTGATGCTGCCTGACCTGTGTTCCTCCAGTTCCACACAGTGTTGTCTTCTAAAGCTTTCGGCGTGTTCAGACAATATCACCCACAGTGAATCGAATTGCAAAATGTTTACAGTCAAAACAAATCGAGTTCAAAACATCACTCAAGTTCACTGCACTATGCCCAGACAGAACAAAGGACATTTGTGTGAAGATAATACCTAATAGTAGCACGCAGTTTATGTCACCAAGGATTAGCGAAATAAAATGAAAGTGAAAATGGACATTCGTGTGCTGTTTTCATACCCCAGGACACCCAAGAAGCTTCAAAGCCAATGAGGTACTTTTGGAGTGTTGTAATGTCTCACTAGATATTGGTAAAATGAGATCTCAAGAAGAAATCACAATGTTAGTACGCAGGTACAACACGTCATTAGTAGAGTTGGAGAGACGATGAGAAGCAATTTCTTTTGGGAATCGTTTGGAATTCTGTACACAAATGAACAAGTGGTGGAGATGTTACTGAATATGTGCAAGCCCCAGTTAGATGGGTTCTCGTTGGACAACAGAGACAAAGGCCTCAGTGGATTATAATAGGGCGGTCAGTACGGGCAGGAAAGTGAAGCTAAGACCATAAACCGTTAAGCCAAGATTTCATTCAGTGGCAGAGCAGATTCAGGGGAGGGGTGCAAAAGCTTTCTCACCATCCAATTGCTGATGATACAGAACTGACATTATTATGGTGCACAACACCGTTAAACAATAATCACTCCGGCAAAACAAAACCCAAATATATTCGAGAGGTAACCCATAAGCTCTCAATTTTCCTTGTTCCAGAAAAGCTTCAAGGATCTATCAGCGTCAGTGAGTGGAGAGACTGAAACCAGATGTTACTCGCCTCATAATTGAGGTCCAGCACTTGGAGCACATTGGGTTTGCCGCTGTAGGTGAAGTAAAGACTGTTTTCCTCGTCTAATGTACAGAAGAGCTGATCTCTGAGCCGGTCGGTCTGATTATTAAAAAGACAAGGGGAGAGAGAAAAAAAAATACAACTCTAAGTGATAGTGTGCGAAAACAAGCAAAACAAAAAAAAATACCGAAAGCAGCAACAATATGAACAAAAATCCACAGCACATCAAAGACAAGTGGCATTTTGTGACCAGAAGGTCGGCTTTTAGGTCCCTAAAACTCACCTCTGGCAGGCTGGTTTCCATCGTTTTGCACAGGCGGGTTAGCAGGCTCCTCTGCGGAATATTTGCTCGAAAAACAGGTGAACTTTCACCGCGACATCCCCAACCAAAATAAACTAACAGCGAGGGGTGTGTCTATCAGCAAGGTGCCGTGGTCACCGGGATTCCAAGGAACCTCTTGCTCCTTGCACAGGGAAACCCCCTCAAGCTACCCGGTCCAAGGGTTACTCCGGGTCGGCTGTGCTTTCAAACTCAGCAGCTTGTCCGCGCTCACGTACCGGGAAGGACTGAAAGGCAGTGCTGGCTTCCCATCACCGTTTCATTAAATATATATACAAATACAGTTGTTCTTTTCAACTTCTGCATTTTGTTTACAAACAAAAACTTACTTTCTTTGTTACATATGTGTGTGTACACACACGCGGGGGCAGCATGAGCTGCTTGGAAGAAATAAGTGGTGGTGTTACGGCGGTGGAGGAATTTGACCACAGCAGCACGGTTCCTTATGGCTGTCAGAAGTCAAACGCACCAGGAGAGACATGCACACTCTGTGTAAATCATCTCAACTACACCATCAGGTAAACACAATCCCTTCTCTTCTCGTTTCCAAAATGTTGGGATTTGGAGAAGGGGGTGTTTTGGTTTTTCAAATGTCAATAACCTAAACAAAAAGCAAATAATCTTTCAGTGTGTGCTTTTCAGATAACAAACACCAAGGGTGAAATTAATCTGTTCCGTTCAGATTAGCATTTACTTCCGAGATGGTAGGAACTGCAGATGCTGGAGAATCTGAGATAACACGGTGTAGAGCTGGATGAACACAGCAGGCCAAGCAGCATCAGAGGAGCAGGAAAGCTGACGTTTCGGGCCTAGACCCTTCTTCAGAAATGGGGCAGGGGAAGGGGGTTCTGAAATAAATAGGGAGAGAGGGGGAGGTGGATAGAAGATGGATAGAGGCGAAGATAGGTGGAGAGGAGACAGACAGGTCAAAGAGGCGGGGATGGAGCCAGTAAAGGTGAGGGTAGGTGGGGAGTTAGGGAGGGGATAGGTCAGTCCAGGGAGGATAGACAGGTCAAGGAGGCGGGATGAGGCTAGTAGGTAGGAGATGGAGGTGGGGCTTGAGGTGGGAGGAGGGGATAGGTGGGAGGACTACCCACTTCCTACAGACAAAGGGGATGGCCGTGGGTACCTGCATGGGCCCAAGCTATGCCTGCCCCTTTGTAGGTTACGTGGAACAATCCCTCTCCTGTAGCTACACTGGCCCTAAACCCCACCTCTTCCTCCGTTACATTGATGACTGTATCGGTGCCGCCTTGTGCTCCCACGAGGAGTTCGAACAGTTCATCCACTTCACCAACACCTTCCACCCCAACCTTAAGTTCACCTGGACCATCTCTGATACCTCTCTCTCCCTCCTGGACCTCTCTGTTCCCATCTCTGGCAACCACCTGGAAACCGATATCCATTTCAAGCCCACCGATTCCCACAGCTACCTAGAATACACCTCCTCCCACCCACCTTCCTGCAAAAATGCCATCCCCTATTCCCAATTCCTTTGCCTCTGTCGCATCTGCTCCCAGAATGAGGCGTTCCACTCCCGTACATCTCAGATGTCCTCGTTTTTCAAGGACCGCAACTTCCCCCCCTCAGTGGTTGAGAACGCCCTCAACCGTGTCTCCCGCATTTCCCGCAACTCATCCCTCACATCCCCTCCCTGCAATAACAACCAAAACAGAATCCCCCTCGTCCTCACGTACCACCCCACCAACCTCCGGATCCAACGCATCATCCTCCGACACTTCCGCCATCTGTAATCTGACACCACCACCAAAAATACTTTTCCCTCCCCACCCTTATCTCCTTTCCGGAGGGACGACTCTCTCCGTGACTCCCTTGTTTGCTCCACACTCCCTTCCAGCCCCACCACACCCGGCACTTTTCCCTGCAACCGCAGGAAGTGCTACACCTGCCCCTACACCTCCCCCCTCACCCCCATCCCAGGCCCCAAGAAGACTTGCCACATCAAACAGATGTTCACCTGCACATCTGCTAATGTGGTATACTGTATCCGTTGTTCCCATTGTGGCCTCCGCTACATCGGGGAAACCAAGTGGAGGCGTGGGGACCGCTTTGCAGAACACCTACGCTCGGTTCGCACTAAACAACTCCACCTCCCAGTCGCGAACCATTTCAACTCCCCCTCCCATTCCTCAGACGACATGTCCATCCTGGGCCTCCTGCAGTGCTACAACGATGCCACCCAAAGGTTGCAGGAACAGCATCTCATATTTCGCTTGAGAACCCTGCAGCCCAATGGTATCAATGTGGACTTCACAAGCTTCAAAATTTCCCCTTCCCCACTGCATCCCAAAACCAGCCCAGCTTGTCCCCGCCTCCCTAACCTGTCCTTCCTCCCACCTATCCTCTCCTCCCACCTCAAGCCCCACCCCCATTTCCTACCTACTAACCTCATCCCGCTCCCTTGACCTGACGGTCCTCCCTGGACTGACCTATCCCCTCCCTAACTCCCCACCTACACTCACCTTTACTGGCTCCATCCCTGCCTCTTTGACCTGTCTGTCTCCTCTCCACCTATCTTCTCGTCTATCCATCTTCTATCCGCCTCCCCCTCTCTCCCTATTTATTTCAGAAACCCCTTCCCCTCCCTCATTTCTGAAGAAGGGGCTAGGCCCGAAACGTCAGCTTTCCTGCTCCTCTGATGCTGCTTGGCCTGCTGTGTTCATCCAGCTCTGCACCTTGTTATCTAGCATTTACTTCCTGTGCGTTTCCAATATTTTATGATTTTGTTTCAAATTTCCAGCTTTTCTTCCTTTCTTACACATATATTGTGTACGTGCGAGCTGCTAGTATAGGAATGATTGCCATCTGACCCAGTACTTGCGTGTAGAATTTGCTTGCTCCTGCCAAAGAGGGAAAGCATATACATTGCTTCAAAAGTTATTAGTTGTTTGTGCAACTCATTACATCCAAGAACGTTAGACTGTGTTTCTGGATTACTTGTCCAGTGGCATTAACGCTGTGTCACTGAATTCCCCCACTGCCAGCATCCCAGGGGTTATCATTGACAAGAAACTGAATTGAACCAGCCACGTGAATATTGTGGCTACAGGAAGAAAGTCCTCAAAGAGGAATCCTGAGATCAGTACCTGAGACATCCCTCTTGTCTCCCCAGTGCTCGTCCACTGTCTACAAATACAGGTCAGGTGTACGATGGAAGATTCTCCACTTGTTTGGATGGGTTCATCTCAAGCTCAATACCATCCATCAAAGCAGCCTGCTTGATTGGCATCCCATCCACCTACGTTCAATGTTCCCTTCCCTCACCACCAACACACAGTGGTAGCAGTGTGTACCATCTACGAGATGTAATGTAGCAACTTACTCAGCGTCCTTTAATAGCATTTCCAAACCAGGACCTAGAAGAATAACGACAGCAGATGCAAGAGAACATTACTACCTGCAAGTTCCCCTCTAAGTCACTCAACATCCTGACCTGGAGCTTTTTTAAAAAAAATACTCATTCAGGAGGATCCCTTCCTAACAGCTCTATGGGTGCAGTGCTTCAAGAAGTCCACTCACCACAAGCTTCTCCAGGGAAATTAGGGGTGACAATAAATACAAACCAAAAAAATTTGTATCAGATAATAACAAAAGTGTGCAACATTATTGTGAACAGGTTCCTTGGGAATTTTGTTCCTTTATGCCAAAGGTTTGCCAAGTAGGAAAAAGGCTTACAAAAGGCTGGAGTCAGAGAAATGGACATGCACCAAACATGCACAACTTGCACAATAAGATGGGGCAAGGATGAGAGGTGAAAGATGGGAACTAACTAATGTAAGTCAACAAGGATGGGTAAGAAACATCTGTACATCCGAGTTCTGGTCAAGTAGGAATTATAGGGTGTTAAGGATGAAAGACCAACAAGAAGAGCATCAAGATAATCAAGTCTGGAAATGACAAAAAAATGTCCAAGGCTGAGGTAGGGTAGAGGCAGGTACTGTTGCAGAACTGGAAGTAAATGGTCTCTGATGAAATGGATATGAGTTCAGAAACTACACTGAGGATTGAGGGAGATGCCAAGGTTTCAAAGAGCCCAGTGAAACATTGGTGGGATGTGGGGATGGATCTACAGATGGAAAGAAAATGTTCCTTTCAACAACTAAAAGTCATGCAAGTCTTTCCAATATTACATTGAAATAATTTTTTGTTACACATGGTTTGACATGTGGTTAAAAGTTCTGAAGAACTGGACTTTAAATGTTAACTGTGATTTCTCTCCACAGATGATGCCAGACCTGCTGAGTTTTTCCAGCAATTCCAATTATTTCATACTTCTGTACATTCTCTCCAATGATAGGACATTAACACATGACTTTTAATTTCTTGAAGTTTTGAGACTTATGTTTTTGTTAAAAACTGAAGTTTTCAATTAGGTTCTGCACTGTGGGTTGTGGTCATTCCAAGCATGCACCACCCTCTGCATGAAAAAGTTGCCCCTTAGGTCCCTTTTAAATCTTTCCCCTCTCACCTTAAACCTATTCCCTCTAGTTTTGGACTTCCCTCACCCTGGGGAAAATACCTTGACTATCCATGCCTCTCATGATTTTATAAACTTCTATAAAGTCACCCCTCAGCCTCTGACGCTCCAGGGAGAATAACCCCAACCCATTCAGCCTCTCCCTATAGTTCAAACCCTCCAACCCTGGCAAGATCCTCATAAATCTTTTCTGAACCCTTTCAAGTTTCACAACATCCTTCCTGTAGAAGGGAGACCAGAATTGCATGCAATGCTCTACGAATACTGAACCAATATCCTGTACAGCAGAAACATAACCTCCCAACTCCTATACTCGATGCAGTGACCAATAAAGGCAAGCGTACCAAATGCCTTCTTCACTATCCTATCTACCTGTGACTCCACTTTCAAGAAACTATGAATGTGCACTCCAAAGTCTCTTTGTTCAGCAACACTCCCCAGGACATTCCCATTAATGTGTAAGTCCTACTTTGTTAACAATAAAAATGAAACCACACTTGTTAGCACAAAACATATTTCATTTATGGTTATTATGCTGATGGTTCAGATTTTGCTTTGAGATTAATGATGAGATTATCAGAACTCGCCATTATTATACAGTAAAACAGACTGCAAGTTCAGAAACCCACACATACACAGTTAATTCTAGAAACCCCAAATTTACCATTACCTTGTTTCTCCACAAGCTATGCTAATTCAATTTCTCATCAATAGACATGATGTTGATGTCCGTGTAAGGACCTGTCATTACTTATTAAATAAGGCAGAAAAAGGTTGGGATGGTGCACCAGGTGTAAGCAAATTTTTAATAATGTGGTAAGTAGCAACCTCTCTGGGTGCTAAAAATGTAACTTTGTAATTGAGGATTCCCATTCTTTTTAGAATTTAATTAGCATTGGAGATTTATAAAATAAATCCTCTCTGTTCTTGTATGTACTCTATTAATCCCTTACAAAGACCATGTATTTTTATTTTCCTATATTTTTGATTGTGGACTGAAATTAGAAAAGAACTATTTAAAAAAAAAACAAGGTTTGTTGAAGGATTATTACACTTTTTTAAAAAAACAAGTATCCTGACATTCATTGTAAGTGCTGTTTACACTTCTGTGTGTTCAAGCAATGGGAGAAGGTTACTTCAGATGAGCTGATACCAGTGGGTGTACACAAATGGAGTTTCAGCTGACAACAAGTATCTGTTTGGTCTTTGGACTAGTGACCAGTTATTGATGACAAAGGCATTTTGTATACCAACAACTGTGATTGTTTCCAAGGTAGCTGAACAGATTTGGACTGTGAGCAAGATAGGGGGAAGCTATCATGTCTTAACAAGTTGGAGTTGTCTCTTTTCTCTGCAGCAAAAACCTGTTTGAACCTGAAGGAAGCCAGTTTCTTTTTCCTTCAGCAGTTGCTGTAAGCTGTGGCTCTTAACCTGTAAGCTAGAGACTTTACAAGTGTGAAACAAAGAAGGATCTCAAAACAGCACATCCTGGCAAGCCAAAAGGACTATCTCAATGAACAAGGACCATTCCATAACATCCACTTTCTTCCCTGTCTATGTATAAAAGGAGGAGTTTACAAGGGGGTTACAGTTTAACTAGTAGAATTATATGTTGATGACCATAATTGTTTAACTGTAGATAAAATCTATTTATTTGTAAAACATAATAGTTTTTATTAAGTGCAGAAACCTGGTTTGTGCTTTTGTAAGTCTGAGACCAGAAGATAGACAAATTGAGGAACTTTGCACGCATCAATAAAATCTTGTGTGGTGACTCCAGGAATAGCATGCTACCCCAATGAGGTATAACACCATTCATCACCCAATATTTTTCTGGCTCAACATGATTTTATAACATATTTAATATAATTTATTCTTCTCAGTTCAAACTTCCTAGTTTAAACTCTGCTAGAGTCAGTGTAGATTTTTTAGTCTGATAGGTTGAAGGATCACATCTTTGATTGTCTTACTTGAACATGCCATGGACCCATTTTGAGGACATTCTGCTGGATTAGTTTGCTACTTACAATCAAACGTTTGTGAAAGGCCTGTGGGCAGCTTGATGAAAACTGAGTACTACTCTTTCACCACTGACTGCAAAATCTGGGCCATAAAATTAACATATGTTCACCCAGTTAACTGATGGATATCTTAATTTGCTGTCTGCAATAAGTTTCCATATACAAATGCATTTAATACAGAATTAATGTGAAATTTATCAAACTTTGTCAACAAATGGGCAATTTTACTTTGAGTAATAGATGGAAAATGGAAAAATCTCTCATTTTTGCAGTAGAGAGTACGCTTGAGGTGAGACCATAGAAGAAAGGGCTTAGCTTTGCAATTAAATACGCATGTGTAACTTGGAGTACGCTCCTGGCTGCTTAAATTGTAAAATGTCCCACTCTCCGTTGCTAAATTCCTCATGTGGATGAACGCAAAATTCACAAAACAATTGAAATAAAACTGGAAAATTCTAACAACTTCTTTATGCTGCCGATTACTCACTGCTTTATGTTTAAAATTGTAGTGAGAAAGTTGGGCCTTGGTGGGATGTTCGGTCATACCATACAAAGTGGACCAGACATATCTTGAAGGATGTCTCATTTTATGTGGAAAGTGGACAACTTATGGGAATTTTAGGAAATTCTGGTAAGTGATGCATAAATGCTGGAAGTTTTGCTCGTGATGCATGCTAAATACCCTCTGCTGTTGTAACAAAATAATAATTCTTTATGTAGTATCCTGGGCAGTGATGTTGGCTAACTAGGAAGTTATCACAGCCAGCTCAGAACACTTTCATCCAACTCTCTGGACTGTGGATTTTAAAGGACCAGTTTGGTGGTGGGAGGCTAGGATGGAGTAAGGGACATAGGAACACTGGTTAAAGATGCTGATTTGCAGTTTAAACTAGGCTTACTTGGTTTTCAGTGAAATTTGCCCAAAATTGACCAAACTAGTGCAAAATCTTGAGAAATGAGAAATAGAAATTACATTCAGTGCAACTTGAGTTTCCACTATCTTTTGTGCTAGTTTAAAACCATTGTTCTGGAAGTAGATCCACTAAATCGGTTCTGCACCAGATAGAGTTAGTTGCTGTTGTGGTTGTCTGCTAATCACATGTGTAGGTCTTTGAAAAAGCTGTTGAAATTAACATTTTATTTAGATGCAAAAGCACTGAGGCATATTTGCAAGTATTTTAAATGTTAAAGAAAATATCTAATTTACCAAGAAATTGATCACTGTCCTTCAATTAAACTAGTAAATTGTTCTGTACAGTTTTTCAAAGCTGATTTTAGTTATTTATGGATCATATTCTATAAGAAAAAAGACTTATTATTTGTGATAAACTTATTTTCAGTTGAATTAATAAAACTGTCCCAGATTATAACTCTTATCAGGAAATAGTTTCCAATACCATTCTCTAAAATACTGTACATTTGATTTGTGATGGTTCATGGTACATTTGAAGATTTGGGTGGCACGGTGGCTCAGTGGTTAGCACTGCTACCTCACAGCGCCAGGGAGCTGGGTTCAAATCCCCATTCAGGCAACTGTCTATGTGGAGTTTGCACGTTCTCCCTGTGTCTGTGTGGGTTTCTGCCAGGTGCTCTGTTTCCTCCCACAGTCCAAAGATGTGTGGGTTAAGTGGATTGGCCATGTTAAATTGTTTGTCGTGTCCAGGGGTGTGTGGGTTAGGCGGATTAGCTATGTGACATGTAGGGTCATAGGGGGATGGGTCTGGGTGGGATACTGTTCAGAGGGGCAGTGTGGACTTGTTGGGCTGAATGGCCTGTTTCCATAGTGTAGAGATGCTATTCTATATGCAAATTAGTTTGAACATATGAATGAAATAACTCACTAACTGAAATTAGTTTGAGAATTTGCATGAAATAACTCACTTCTGAAAACTTTCACAAATTTTAAATGCAGTTTAGGCCTGGATTGCTGATTACATTTAAAGTGGAAAGATTACCCTCAAGGGAGAGATTTTTTTAATTAGAGTTTTCACGCCCACCTTCTGTAGTGCCTAAGTGCTGTAGCCTAGTCCATTGCCAAATTGGCTGTGATCAACTAACTCAGTACAGATTGCACTTTGAAGCTGAACTTCCTTGGTATAATAGTCAGGACTGGCATCAGGCACCACTACATTCAGGGATATCATTGCTTGGATATGTGATGTGTGTGTGGGCTTTAAGTATTTATTATACTGCATAAAACTAAAACATTCTGCAAATGTTTTATTGTAATAGTGTAGTGCCATGATTCTGCTGTTATGTTTTAGGATCTGGGAAGACCACTTTGTTGGATGCGATTGCAGGAAGATTAAGTAAGCAAGCAAACCTATTTGGTGATGTATATGTGAATGGCTGCAAACTTAGAAAGGAAGAATTCCATGACTGTTTTTCATATGTTTTACAGGTAATAATAGTGTAGTAAATAACTTAAACTGTAACCATGTTACAAGATATACCACATATTTTATAAAACCTTTCATAATTTTGAAACTTCTGTTGGATCATCCTGTTGCCTCCTTTTCTCACTAAAAAACAGATCTATCTTCTGTGACATTGTTAACTTTGGACCTTTGGGCCAGAAAGCTGCCAGGCTGGTTGTTTGCAGTGTGTCTCTCCTGCACCTGGTTACATTATTTTAAGAGAAAAAAACTGAAGTATTTATGGTGATGAGTGGATGCCCATAGTTTTGAGTTTTAAATTATTCTTATGGTTTTTTATTGGGTCCAGAAAGTCAGTATCCAGTGAAGTTCATTTCTGTAGGCATTTGAGTTCATGTGGGTGAAGTTGGCTGAAGATGCAGAATTTCTTTCGAAGTTTCTGAAAGCAGTTAGATGAGGTAGTTGTCCACTTTTCCAGTGGATATAAAGTTTCTTCTGGAGCTGGTTTTGAAGGAGGTTTAGTCTATCGGCAGTCTTTCCTAAACCTGGAGTCTGTCACCAATTAGATTTTTAGCAGGCAGAATCTATGTTAACACAAGATTACTTCTTAACAAGCAGTAGCAGGGCAGTTCAGAAATTACAATTAAATATTTTTCAATGTTAAGACCATAAGTTTTTATGTTACATAATTTTTGACTGAACAGTCCTTTTCTCATTTCAGTTTACAAAAACCTAGCATTTTAGAAGGAATTCTACGCTTTTCAAAAGCAAGCTACAAGCACTTACATAAGTGCTGCTCCCACTGTTGTTTGTTCCACTAGTGGGCCATTTTTAGTTGCAGATGAATTGGATCCAGGGAGTACATACAAAATGAGAAAAAAACTGAAGAGCTGCAGATGCCGGAAATCAGAAACAGAAATTGCTGGGGAAACTCTAGCAGGTCTGGCAGCATCTGTGGAGAAAAAGCAGAGTTAACGTTTCAGGTCAAGTGAACCTTCTTTAGAACAGTGGTCATTGGGCTGAAATGTTAACTCTGCTGTCTTCTTTTTAAACAATTTTTCTAATCAACCTATTCAAAGATATTATTACACACCACTGGAGCATGTGGGACTTGAGCCTGGGTTTCTTGATCTAGGGGTAGGGAACACTACCACTGGGTCACAAGTGGGCCCCTTAACTTAGCTTTGTCGTTTATGGTACAAAATGAGATTCAGCTGGCAACAAGTAACTGATTAGTCTGTAGACAACTGTCAATGATAAAAGCCTTCTGCCTGCCAGCAGCTATGCAATTGGCTCCAATGTAGCTGAACAGTTTGTGGGCATGAATGATTGACAAAAGGTGTTTGCACCCTGGAAAGGAAAGTGCTGTCTTTGTGTCTGCTGTTAAATACACCTAAAGTTTAAGGAAAGCGGATTTATTTACTGCCATTAATTGCTGTAAGCTGTTGCTTTTAACCAATAAGTCATAGATTTAATAAGTTGTCAACCAGTCACTCTGTGCCTTCTGAAAGAATATTGAAGAGAGAGATTGCCAAACAGCAAATCCTGGCAAGCCAAAAAAATCATCTCGATAAATTCTGAGTACAGGAACTATTGAACTGCCTTCCCAGTCTTTCCATCCATAACACCAGTTTTTATTTATCAGTATGTGTATGAAGGGGAGGTTTTCATGAGGGTGTTAGAATTTTAACTATTTGAGATATATGTCAACAATTCATAATTGTTTACTTGTAGCTAGAATCTAATTATTTACAATAAGTAGTATCCTTATTTAATGATAGGTTTAATAATAGCAGGGCTTAATTTCTAGCTTGCTATTCCTGTGAGACATAACATCAAAGACCAGGAGATTTGATTCCTAGATTAATCCATTTCAAATTAATGCATTGGCTCCTATTTAACAATCAGTTTCTATCTCTCCAGCCAAGTCTTGTTTGTTTGCATGGTAAGCCATTAGAGCCACTTCAGGCATACTGAGTTTCAATAGCTCCCCTTTGTTGAGAACTGGCTGGTCTTTCTTGTGCTTACGGACAGCAAGGTCCACACAATGAACTCATGTAACGTAAAGGTGAGACATTCCAGGAGGATGATGCCCAAGTGCTGCCCTGGAAACTGCAGACTAAAATCCTTCTGGAAATTACTGCCAAACTGCATCACGAGATTCACGACAGCCAAGGTTTGTCCAGCAAAATTTATTTTGATATATAAATCAAGAGTTATGCCTTTAGTGCATTTTGTGATCTTTCTTCATGTCCCATACACACGACGAAATGTTTGGTGATTACTTGAGCCACATCAGTTCAAGGCTGATCTTTGTTGAATTATTTAGCTGAAGTGAAGTTAGTCATGCCACAATCGAGTTAGTATCCTCGGATTAGAAAAGAATGAGGCAACAAGTAATTCCCTGGAGATTATTAACTCAGGAAAGTGAAAAATACACTTCTAAGTGTCTGCCAAGATTTGAACACTGTTCAAAGAAATCAAAATCTCAAACTGATGTGATTGAATTCCAACATACAGTGCCGAGTTGGGAAGATATAGTGAACTTCTGATTTCAGTTATAGGTTGCTACTACTCAAATGCTAAGGATTTTCGAACATGTAAGAAATGGCTTAGTTGACAGATTGGTAATGGGTTTGACTGTTTGAACTTGGCTGCAGATGTACTTTGCTTTACATGGAGACCAAGGACATTGTTGTTTGCAGCTGCCTGATTTTTCTAGATTTTCTTATCTATTTATATCTCCATGGGTTTAGATGGATACAATTAAAAGGTGATAGGCTTCGATGTACTTTCAACATTTGACAGTGACCAAAGAAAATTTAAACATTTAGTTTATGAACTCTGATAGAGCTAGCACTCAAACATATGTTCAACCAGTAGATGCTGTCTTTGAATGGATTGGCTTGCCTCCTTCCTCGGATATACCGCAGATATAACATTTGTTTATTTTAGGCTATTGCATTTTGAAACCAACTGAATCCTATTCTCTGAATGAACCTAGTTTTCTTTCTTAAGCCTATAGTGTACCTTGCACCAAAAGAAACCAATTTGATATGCTGATGATCATAAGCATAAAATAAAGAAAATACTTCACCATTAACCAGTTATTTTGCAACAGATAATTTCACAAATGATTGTGACTTTGATATGGTCTTTCATATTCCTAGAAAATTGTTGAACTATTCTGAGGTCACATGATACATATATAGAGTACAAAAAAAGGCATGAATAATAAATAATAATAATAAATAAGCCAAAAACATGTGGCTGGTGCTGAGGTTGTTGTTCTCACTCATAACAAGGTAAAGAGGGCAACAGTCAGTATCTGTGACCACGTAGGAAAAAAAAAGAAAAATGAACAGCTTTTACAATTGATTGCCCAGTAACTTGTAATGAAGAATATATACTTGTGTGGATATCTACTGAAGCGAATTTGTAATGATATTTTGCATTTGAACAGCTTACTGGTGACCCACTATTCAAACTGGCACAACATAACCACACTGAAAGGTTGGCTTCTTGGGTAAGATACTGGAATGACTGACTGCTACCACGTGTAGACTATATCTTCCTCCTCCAGGAGCCAGCCTCCCTGACCATCTACCTCTCTCTCCCTATTCCACTTACACACGTGCACAACACAAATGCCTTCTCAGGGACAGAAGAACATGTCCATTCTCTAAATTAGATGGTAATGCCACAATTAATTTCAAGACTCATTTCTTTCTGTTTTGCAGAGTGACAATTTACTCAGCTACCTCACAGTGGAAGAAACTTTGACTTACACAGCCTTACTAGCACTACGTGGACATTCTAATGCCATCAAAAAAAAGGTACACTTTGCTTTTTTGAATCAGGGCTAAACAAAGTACTCTGCAGATGTGAAAAGTTACTGTCAGTTGCAACAAATTTAAATTTTAGTACTGTTAATGTAAGACCTTTCTCATATCATGACTGTTTAATGAAGGTCGAATGGGATTCTGTAGGGCTGATAGAGTTTAACTTACTGGTTAGAGAACCGATGGGCGCTCCTGTCAGTTCTGGGGGAAGGCCTATAGGAATCCAGTTTCCTTTCGATGCTGAAGTGTCTGCCTTTTCCATGGTTGAGGTCCCTGGCTGCAGGGAGCTGCTGGCCAATCAGAGGCTGGAAGCTCCTTCTTGTCATCAGTGCCAACAACATTGATGGCAGCTGGTGGCACTCTACGCAACAGAAGCCCACGATCACTGTGGGTATGGGGTCAAAACGAGTGAGGGCAGGATTGATTTCTATCCAAAATTCTCTTCGTTTGGAAGCTCCACAAAGTAAAACACTTTAGCAATAGGGACTGATTCCCTGGACTAACCTGATTCTTCTCATAGGATAATGTTCTATCTTCTGAACTTAGACTTTGAACCTTCTGTTCTGAAGTCAAAAATTGCCTTAAGGTCTTTAATTTGCTTGTCATAAATTCAATAGTATAAACCTTTTATCCATACAAGAGGTCTTGTAGACAGTTGACTGAAGTCACGTGCCTTCTTAGAAATGACGCATTTATGTCATTGTCCAAAATGACTTTTTGACCTCTATTTTTGAAAAAAAAACCTAGAGAGGACTAATCAAAATCCACCTTTCTTGATTTTTGCTCTTACAAATTTCCAAGTTCCAAAATGATAAGATGTGATACACATCTATCACAGTACACTAGCATTGCTTAGGAACAATATGACAGGTGAAGGCACTACAGGCAAATCAGATGCCAAGGAAATGCACAAAGTTGAATAGTGTGGTTTTAGATGCATTTTTGGATGTACAGTTAAATAAAGCTGTTTGAAAAAAGGTTTTATGTATATGAATTTTATGTGAGATTTTGGCTGAGAATAAGGCATAAAAGTATTGCAAGGTTGGGAATTGTAGAACAGTGCTGGTGTTGGAATGATGGCCTCAGGGAACCAGAATGCTCTTAGGCATTCATAGACAGCCCATCCAGAGAATGGTTCCTGCATACCTTCTCCCTGTCCATTCTTCCTCCTCCTTCCTCTGGATTCTGTCTGTTTGCAAGTGTTCTACCCTCATCATAGTGAGTTTATGGTGGGCACAGCATTTGGATAAAACTTTGGAGACGAGTTCTTCCTGACCGCCATCCCAAACAGTGGATCCTGTGGCAAAGGACAAATGAGTCATGTGTATCAGAAACATCCCTTGTCTTCAAGCAGCCAGTCCCTGGTTCTTCATCATAATCCAAAGGTGATGGTAATGGCAGACTGCCTCAGGACGGCAGCTACCAGATAATGGGCCTTTGTGATTCCAATACATTTCCCAGTTTGAAAATAGAGACCTCAAAGCCACATCACTGCAGTCAATACTCCCTCTATCATTGGGAATCCCATTAATCTGGCAAAGCCACATACCTGCTCCATTGTTAGTGGGCAGTGATGAAGTCTCCTCTCCTGATGTATTAGGCCTCTGTCACCTCTTCTCGGCAGTGATGATATGTAAACTGGGAAATGTTGGCAATATAAGCTGCTTTCACCTGGAAGAATTCAGTTATGTAGACATTGAGAACATTTGTGACCTTGCTAGTTACTGGTAGGGCTGTCCTCATCAGGTAAATCACGGGTGCCTCAAACATTGCTCCTGTCTGATATGGAGTAGGAAATGTTCTCCCTGAAGACCCTTGATTGGCAGGGCCTTCTGTGGAGAGTCCCCCCATTCCTTTCTTGGTTACACCTCGCTGTCTTATTGGAGACCAACAGAGACTGCAATTGCAGTCTTATAATTTTGGGAAGACTTTCTGGATACAAAATCTGTCCTCCCTGTAGGGATGCATTAACACCAAATTCCTCCCAAAGCATATTGCAGTATTTTTACGTAACTTGGCAACAGCAAAGGCAGATCAGAAGGATTTCTTCTGCAAGTTGGAAGGCTGTCGTTTTGAATATTGCGACGGGGGATTGTAATTGGGACATGGTGTTGTGTGAACTTGTGCAGTGCAAGTTTGCAGGATGCGCATCAAAACAAGTTTGGAGGTTGTTTGATATTACAGACTGTCCGTTGTTAAAACTTTAGACATGTGCCCGATGCTACTATACTGTGTGGGGCCATGCTGGAAGTGTTGTGCCTGACATTCTGAGGTCTTTTGGCTTTGCAGCCCTAGCTCCAGCATAATTACAAAATCATGATTCATGGCCTCAGTACTTGAAGCAAACTATAGCACTAAGCTTTCATATACGCTCTATGACCGTCTGTAAGAAATACTATTGATTTTAATTCTGCATCGATTTGTTGAATAATTATGTTAATTAACATGATTGAGAGAAGAGATTGGTAGCATTCTTTGTCATAATATCCCTTGGCATGGGCTACATCCTTTGGTTCTATGTTATTTGCACTTTGGTGATTTAAAAGTGCAATTTAGCTGGTAAATATACTCCAAACGTAAGGTTTGATAAAATTCAAACACAATGAAAAATGCATTAATAGATGATGTATCTTTGTTATTGCAGGTGCAGTCTGTCATGTTGGAGCTTAGTCTGAGTCATGTGGCCAATCACGTAATTGGAGGCCGTGTTTTTAGGGGGATTTCTGGTGGTGAAAGACGTCGGGTCTCTATAGCAGCACAACTTCTCCAAGATCCCAGTAAGACCATGTCTAAATATAATTTTAATCCAACTTTGCTTTAGTATCGTGTAATTGTAAACTGTGATGTTAACGCACACATTTGTGTAATACTTATATTAGAAAGCGCCAAAGGATGATCTTACATTTCCTGATCTTGGTACCTCTAATTATTAAGTTCAGATGTATTAAACAGAAAATAATGAATACCAAGTTAAACTACAAGCAATAATCTGATAGAATGATTTATATGGTATTTATGCAAAACTACCTGGATGTGATAACAAAATAGTTTAGTTTTAGCTATGAGGGTAGATTAGAAAAACTGGGTTTGTTTCTTCTTGAAGAGAAGGCTGAGAGGAGATCTAATTGCACTATTCAAAATCATGAGATAGTAGGACAGAATAGATAGAGAGAAAATAACCCCACTTATGAAAGGACTGAGGAAAGGGCACACATTTAATATAATTAGTAAAAGCAACAAAAGTGATTTGAGGAAAACTTCTCCTTAGAGTCTTGGGGTCTGGAATTCACTGCCTGAGGTTGTGATGGAGGCAGGTTCAAAAGAGACATTCAAGATGCAGTTAGATGATTATTTACAAAGGAAGAATGTGCAGGGTTACAGGAGAAGGCAGGAGAATGCTTTTGGGTGAGATGTTCAGTTGGAAATCCAGGGAAGCACCATGGGTCAAATGGTATTGTAACAATTCTGTAGGATTCCTTGTAATTGAGGGTAGTAAATCCAAGTATAATAAAAGGTTCATTGGATATTAGTCTGAGCCCACAGTGATTGGTCACAAATTTGACATTGTGTTTCATTCTGTACTCAGATGTGATCCTTTATAGTACAGTTTTATCTTTCAAATTATTGTCTATGTTGACAAGAATAAACTTCTTTGAATGCTTTTTATTAAATTTAAATTTTTTGTGAGAAATAAAATTTCAATCTTGCAATTTTAACAGTGAAAGCACTCTTCTAGGTAATGTATATTTTATATTTAATAAATGTCTCTTGTTTTTACTATCAGAAGTAATTTTGCTTGATGAGCCAACTACAGGGCTGGACAGTATGACATCCAACCAGATTGTTCAGTTACTTTCTGAACTAGCTCATAAGAATAGAATAGTCATCTTAACAATTCATCAACCAAGATCAGAACTTTTCAAGGTGAGTATGCTGTCAATGCAGTTTATTAAGTTTTGTCATACTAAGTGTTTTGACAGTTGAGTGTGATCTCGCTGCAAATTCTATATGCTAAAGTAGTGCAATGCATTGTGCTATGATATGTTGCGGCTAAAGGAGCTATTTGTAGTAACATCTTTTATTTGCAGATTAGAAAGAACCATTTTGTTGCAAGTAGAATTTAAAGAAAATATTTTCCAGCTGTGTTGAGGGATCTGATGGTAGACTAAATGCAATAATGCCAGCACCACCATTTCATCAAGCAGGAGACAAGTTCCAGCAAGAAAGTTGTTTTAAACATCAGTTACTATTTTGTTCAAATATAAACTAGTATGGTATGAATTTGCTTTATAACTCTCACTAATGGTTTATTTAATCTCCAACAAGTCATATGAAGCTAAATTTCAGTTGCGATAAAAGCAGAACTCAAATGTGCTGCTCAAAAGTTCTTAATCTTCATGCATTCGTCTCTCTATTTAATATTGTCCCTTGTTCATCTCCAAATTAAAACTGATTAATAATCCTACAAAGAGAGAAAGCTCATGCTTGCTGGTTTGGCATTATTGGCCATCAGAGAGCAGGTTCTGTTCCATCTCCCAAGGTTGATGTTTCTAAAACCACCATCCTTACCCTGTTGGTTAATTGCAGCTCAGGATCCTAGATCCACAAAAATGTATTGCTGGGATACAGAAGTACATTTTACAATGTAAACAGCAGATATCCCGACACAGATGTCATCCCCTATCATGAGAACTGCACAAGCTTCAAATAATAAAGCACCGTCAGTTGTAAATGAAGACCTGACAACATGCCAGGACAAGACTCGGGACAAATCAAATCTCCTGGGGTATTGGATCTCCAGACTATGGGTCACCTATATGAAAGTTTCATCAATGACATTCCATCCCCATCAATGAGTCACATAATCTGATAACAGTAAGCCACATTAATTGAAATAACATTGATTTGACCATGATTTGACATTTAGTCAACTGGGAACAAAAATAATTATTTTTCTTCTTTGTAAATGAATATTTTGACAGTAAGGTCATACTCAGTTTTAACAGTTTAAATTATAGATGAGCCGAGTTAAGGGAAAGTGGTCATGCAGTAGCACTGTCACTGAACAAATAATCTAGAGTCAACAAGGTGCAGGGCTGGATGAACACAGCAGGCCAAGCAGCATCATAGGAGCAGGAAGGCTGACGTTTCGGGCCTAGACCCTTCATCAGAAATGGGGGAGGGGAAGGGTTTTCTGAAATAAATAGGGAGAGAGGGGGAGGTGGATAGAAGATGGATAGAGGAGAAGATAGGTGGAGAGGAAACAGACAGGTCAAAGAGGCGGGGATGGAGCCAGCAAAGATGAGTGTGGGTGGGGAGGTAGGGAGGAGATAGGTCAGTCCAGGGAGGACGGACAGGTCAAGGGGGCGGGATGAGGTTAGTAGGTAGGAGATGGGGGTGCGGCTTGAGGTGGGAGGAGGGGATAGGTGGGAGGAAAAACAGGTTAGGGAGGCAGGGACGAGCTGGGCTGGTTTTGAGATGCGGCAGGGGGAGGGGAGAATTTGAAGCTTGTGAAATCCACATTGATACCATTGGGCTGCAGGGTTCCCAAATGGAATATGAGTTGCTGTTCCTGCAACTTTCGGCTGGCATCGTTGTGGCACTGCAGGAGGCCCAGGATGGACATGTCGTCTGAGGAATGAGAGGAGGAATTGAAATGGTTCACGACTGGGAGGTGCAGTTGTTTATTGCGAATCGAGCATAGGTGTTCTGCAAAGCAGTCCCCAAGCCTCCGCTTGGTTTCCCCGATGTAGAGGAGGCCACACCGGGTACAGCGGATGCAGTATACCACATTAGCAGATGTGCAGGTGAACATCTGCTTGATGTGGAAAGTCTTCTTGGGCCCTGGGATGGGGGTGAGGGAGGAGGTGTGGGAGCAGGTGTAGCACTTCCTGCGGTTGCAGGGAAAAGTGCCGGGTGTGGTGGGGCTGGAGGGGAGTGTGGAGCGGACAAGGGAGTCACGAAGAGAGTGGTCCCTCCGGAAAGCAGATAAGGGTGGGGAGGGAAAAATGTCTTTGGTGGTGGGGTCGGATTGCAGATGGCAGAAGTGTCGGAGGATGATGCATTGGATCTGGAGGTTGGTGGGGTGGTACGTGAGGACGAGGGGGATTCTTTTTTGGTTGTTATTGCGGGGACGGGGTGTGAGGGATGAGTTGCGGGAAATGCGGGAGATACGGCCGAAGGCGTTCTCGACCACTCGGAGGGGGAAGTTGCGGTCCTTGAAAAACAAGGACATCTGAGATGTACGGGAATGGAATGCCTCATCCTGGGAGCAGATGCGGCGGAGGCGAAGTAATTGGGAATAGGGGATGGCATTTTTGCAGGAAGGTGGGTGGGAGGCGGTGTATTCTAGGTAGCTGTGGGAGTCGGTGGGCTTGAAATGGATATCGGTTTCTAGGTGGTTGCCCGAGATGGAGACAGAGAGGTCCAGGAAGGTGAGAGAGGTCATAATCCAGAGTGGCAGGTTAATGTTTTGGGGACATGCGTTCAAATCCCACCATGGCAGATGGTAAATTCTGAATTCAATAAAATGTTGGAATTAAATAGTAAATCTAATCTAATGGCAGTCACATGAGGACTGATATTGCAAAAACCCATCAGGTTCACTAATGTCCTTTAGGGAAGGAAATCTACCACCCTTACCTAGTCTGGCCTAGCAACGCCAGACCCCAGCAATAAAGTTGACTCTTAACTGCCCTCTGGACAATTAGCGATGGGCAATAAATACTGGCCTAGTCAGCATTGCCCATATCCTATAGATGAATAAAAAAGTCTGTCTATACCATGTTCTATTATTACTTAATATCCTTGTAATATGTGTTGACATATTAACAATTTATGCAAAATTGTGTAGGAAATCTTATATTGAAATCTTGAAATTTTGGAGTAATTATGATGCTGCAACTGTTTTTCCAATTAATATGTGCCAACCCTTTAACAATAAATAGAGTCTTGATTAGAGTCATAGAATTTCTACAGTGCAGTAAGAGACCATTCTGTCCATCGAGTCTGTTCTGACCCTCCAAAATAGGAACTGTTTCCCTCTAAGCATTCTGTCCAGATCCATCATGATAACCGAAGTGTCTCCCTCCTGGAACCATTCTTGTTAGCTCTTCTGCACTCTATTGCATTCACATCCTTCCTACAGTGTGATGCCCAGAACTGTACACAGTACACCTGTCGAGATTTAAACAGTGCTCTATAAGTTCATCAGAACTTCACTGCTCTTCAATGCCCCTATTAACGAAGCCTAGCAAACTGTATGCTTTATGAATAGCTCTCTCCCACCTTGTCCTGCCACCCTTAATGACTTAAGTAAACCAAAGTCTCTCTGAACACCCTTTGGAAAGATGAACTGTGGGAAGACACAAGGTGGCTTTGAGACAGACAGGTTAAGTGAATGGGCAACAATACGGCAGGTGGATTGCGATGCGGGGACATGTTGGGTTCTTCTTGAACAATTACAACATTTAAAAGACATTTAGATAAATAGACAAAAAAGAAAGGTTTGGAGCGATATGGGCCAGGAGCAGGCAGGTGGGACTAGTTTAGTTTGGGATTATGTTCGCCATGCACTGGTTGGACCGAAGGGCCTGTTTCCGTGCTGCATGACTCTACAATTCTATAATAGAAAATCAGAATATTTTTTAAAAGGTGCAAAGCTTCTAAATGTTGATGTTTAAAGAGACTTGAGTGTGCACTTGACCATTCCCCTTGAGTGAAATTGGCTCCAGCCCCCCTCAAATCCACGGCAGAGTTGAGCCTCTCACTAAATCTCTCTGTACTTTATTCAGTCTGAAACTTTACATGGCAAACTGGACCCCTCACTATGAACTGGCCCCTTGTTGAACTGCGCATCACTTGTTAAGCAAGCAATTAGAAAATGGCAGGTTGACCTTTAGTAGAAGTTGTTTGGAGTACAGGAGTAAAGATATCTCATTACATATTGGACAGGGTTTTGGTGAAATCACATCTAGAATGATGTGTAGTTTTATCTCCATATTTAAGAAAATATTTATATTTGCATTGAAAACAGTACAGTGAAGCAGTACTAAAATTAGTTGCTAAATTAGTAACAAAAACAGAAAGTACTGGAGAAACTCAGCAGCTCCAGCAGCATCTGTGGAGAGAGAAAGAGGTAACATCTAGAGTTTACTGTGTTCTGATGAAGAGTCATATTGGACTCCATTAAATTTGTCTCCCTCTCTACAGATTCTCCTGGACCCATTCAGTTTCTCTGGAACTTTTATTTAAACTTTCCAATATCTGCAGTTACTTTTCACTAAATTAGCCTCTGAGATGAGCTGGGGGTTGTCTTATAATGAGAAACTGAGCAAATTAGGTGTATATTCTCTGGAGTTCAGAAGAATGAGACGTGATCTTATTGAAATGTATAAGATTCTATGGTGGTTTCATCATCATCATAGAATCCCTACTGTGTGAAATCAGGACCTTCGGCCCAACAAGTCCACATAGATCTGCAGAGCATCCCACCCAGACCCATCCCCCTAATCTACACATCCCTGGACACTATGGGCAATTTAGAATGGCCAATCCACCTAGCCTGCACATCTTTTAGACAGTGGGAGGAAACTGGAGCACCCGGAGGAAACCCACGCAGACACGGGGAGAATGTGCAAACTCCACACAGATAGTTGCCCGAGGGTGGAATTGAACCCAGGTTCCTGGTGCTGTGAGGCAGCAGTGCTAACCACTGAGCCACCATGCCACCCTGGTTTGATTGGGTAGATGCTGAGTAGTTTCATGATTTCAGGTCTTTCAGAAAATCAAGGGACATAGACAGTGGGCAGGAAAGTGGAGTTGAAGATCTGTCAGGATTGTGTTGAATGGCAGAGCAGGCCTAACAAGCCGCATGATCTGTCCTGCTCCTATTTGTTGTTTTCTTGAGTTTTTAACATCAAGACTTTTACAATTTGTTTTCATTCTGATCTGACAACTTCCTAATTAACTTTCTAATTTCCTATGTTATTGGAGTGCTTATAGCTATTTAAATGGGTGAAGGTAGACATTTTCGTGAGAAATGAAAAGAAAAAAACACAAATAGTCTGAGTTTGAAGTTAAAAGTTTAAGAAATGTTCACAATGCAGTTGCTCATTTGAGATCTGAAAGAAAGAGTGGTTAATAATTTGGATGCAAAACTATCAAACTCTATTTCTGCATTTCCAGTATTCATCGCTTTTAAGAGAGTTTGTCTTTAACGGTACATGTACAATACTTTTTAATTAGTTTTCCAATGCCTATTTCTCAAGTTGTTTGACAGAATTGGCATCATGACTTGCGGAGAATTGGTGTTTTGTGGTGAAACTGAAGAAATGGTAGAATTTTTCAGCAGCTGTGGGTATCAGTGTCCTGAATACTGCAACCCATTTGATTTATATGGTAGGTAACCTTTCTTGTATCCAAATCTTAGATTTAGGGAAAAAACCCATGAACTCTGTAAATCGAAAATCAAAACCTCAATGTGCTGGAGGTTTAAAATAGGTTTAGCGGTTCACAATGAAAATGATAGGCTGTTATCGATCTTGTTGTCCAAAAAATGCACTTTTTCGCTTCTGCATAATTTTCTCTTTTGATTTATCCAGTCTTTAGTTATCCAAAAAGCCTAAAAAGTCAGTTCAAAACTTACTACCAACTGCTTTGTTTCATGTATTACATTTTAAACAAAAAAACTGTTCCAAGATGTTTAAGGTGTGATCAGACAAAAAAAAAGGACTTTGAGACAACCAGAGATACTGTAATAATTGTTCAAAAAAAAGTAAATTTTAAAGATGGTCTTTAAAACAGTGCAGGATTAAAGGAGACTATTTCAGTGTGTTGCCTGTACACCTGAAGGCACAACTATCAATGGTAGGGTGGAAGGAGAAGCAAGGGAAGCCTAAAAAAAGACATGATCAGGGGAATAGTTATTGGTAAGGGGCATTGCAGAGCTGGGAGTCGATATGGAGCTAGGCTTTGAAATATTTTAAACACAAAGATAATATCCAATTGAAAGTGGATGCAGAACCAATGAAGGACAGGAAGAAGAATATTTTGGGCGAAAGAAATTGTAGTGGTCAGCAGATCTTTAGATGAACTGATGTTTACAGGGGGTGAAAATTGTAAACCTGTCAAGATAACAATGGAATTGTTAAGTCCAGAGGTGATTAGTGTTAGTGTTCGAGTTGGTAGAATCAGGGATGGAAATGGGTGATGCAGTAGTAGTGGAAGAACAGGGCCTTTATAATGAAGAGTATTTAAGGCTGTAAGCTGCATTTGTGGTTGAATAGAGTACTTAGATTACAAACTCTCTTGTTCAACCTGACACAATGATCTGGGAGGAAGATAGAGTTATTGGGAGAGTACTAAGATTAAGCATACATTCAGTCTTTTTCAGGCCTGGATTTCTAATGTGCACTTTTGGGAGGTGTTTTGGGTGTTTAATACTTTAAAAGAGCTATGTAAGTGTTTTGCCCACCATATAGTTATTCTTCATTTTGCCCTTTAGTTATCCAGTGCCGTTGAGTTCTTAATCAAGAGAATCATGGGCCTCATGCCAATTCTGTTTTTTGTGACTTTTTCCATTGACTTTCCTTGTGCTGTCCTCATGAGTTGTTCAATTGGGACATAAAGAAAATGGCTTGGCTCAGGAACGCCAAATTTTCTGTGGAAGTATTGGTAGTCTAGTTCAATGGTATCCTCATTTGATTTTATATTTTTATTTTTGATTAACATCAGTAGCAGATCTCCATTACTGCACCAACTCAGGGTAGAGAATGCAATTACTTTGATTACCACTATCTGTCCAGTCCCTGTCATGAAGGTGCAAGTTTCTTTTTTGAAATAGGTGGCAAAGTTCCCTAATTGTTTCTGCTGAATATTGAACAGTGTGCAAGCAGAGCAAGGAAAGCAATTGTCGAAACTTGCAATTGAACAGTACACTGACAAGGAATCTCCTTACCACATGCCAGAGTGCCAGTTAAATGGGCCACATTGATGTATTGTATGTGTTGAATAACACTGGTCTTCCAGTTAACAGCTTAACATTTTGATGTACATGTATAATAGTACCTTAAGAAATTTGGTAGCAAGTGCAGAAAGGGCACTTGAAGTGATCAAGTTTAATGAAGTTGTGACTTTTGCCAGCATTGTAAATGAAATTCCCCCTGATTCTTGCACTTGCAGTTGCAGAAATTTTCAAGCTCTAGTTCCTGTCTCCTGTTTAAAGTTAAGATTTACGTGGAAGAAGATATAGTAGGTGTACCACCACTACGTTTGAAATAAACTGAACGCACTCAAACAAAATCATATGTATATCTCTTAATTTGTTCCTTTGTTAATCTGCAGTGGATCTAACATCTGTTGACACTAGAAGCAAGGAAAGAGAAATTGAGACGTACAGTAGAGTCCAAGAAATTGCATTCTCTTATCGAAAATCAAAAATATTTAATAATGCACTGAGGAATATTGAAGCAGCAAAGCAAAGAAAAGAATCATTATCTATTCCTTTCAAGAGCAAAGCATCTCCAAATGCAGCTGCTAAACTCTGGATACTAATCAGGTATACCTACACCCTACATTTGTATTTAATACATTGCAATATATATTGGATCTATCAACTATTGCAAGTATCAAAATTGTTCAGATTTGGAGTTTTCAATTGTGGGAGATGAAGGGCAAGACTTTCCCTCTTAGCTTCAGAACCCTGCCATCAACACTCAAAAGCTTGACACCATGCAGGACAAAGCAGCACGCTTGTCTGGCACTACATCTACAAACATCCATTCCCTTCACCACTAACGCTCAGTAGCAGCAGTGTGTACTATCTACAAGATGCACTGCAGAAATTCACCAAAGATCCTCAGGCAACACCTTTCAAACCCATGACCATTTCCATCTAGAAGGACAAGGGCAGCAGATACATAGAAACACCACCACCTGCAAATTCCCCTCCCAGCCACTCACCATCCTGACTTGGAAATATATCGCTGTCCCTTGAATATCGCTGAATCAAAGTCCGGGAATTCCCTCCCTGAGAGCATTGTGGATCAACCTATAGCGCATGGACTGCAGTGGTCCCCGAAGGCAGCTTACCACCACCTTCTCAAGGGCAAATAAGGAAAGGCAATAAATGCTGGCTAGCCAGTGATGCCCACATCCCAAGTATGAATAAAATAAAAGTCTGAAATGGGAGTTAGAGGCCTGCACTCTGTAGGCAATGGTCACTCAGCTATTTTTCCCAAAATTGACTAATTGATGGCTAACAAGTGAGTTCCCTTTCTATTTAAGCATGTGGACATGTTCTCAAAGCTGGATGGCCAGCAGGAAGCAGCAGCGGTATGCCATGGCAGGTTAGTGAGGAAGAAGGATGTTGATAAAACATTTTGTAAATATTAAGGGTTTCTTTTATTTATTCTTGGGATGTAACATTGCTGGCAATGTCAGCAATTATTGCCTATCCCTAATCGTCCTTCATATGATGTAGGTGCCAGCTGTCCTTTTCTGTTGTGATTTGATACTATTGAGTAACATCCTTGCACCATTTAAGAAGATAGTTTAGAGTTAATCGTATTGGTATGAACCTGGAGTAGTAGTCCAGGTCTCTGGATTGTAAGTTCAATAATACCATCACATGGCTAGAATTCCCCATTTTTTGTAACATAATCACAGCACTGCTGTAATATATTGTAAAATCAAACCCTGCATGCAGCTGTTCTTGTACAAAGTTACAGAATTCTACTTAATTAAATCAAAAACATGAAAAAAAAGATTGTTTTGTTACCTCGAGGTGAACGGCAGAGAGTGACTTTGTAATTAACTGCTATGTGTTGATTAAGGAATCATACAAGATCAAAAGAAAGACAAAAGTTTTGAATGAAATTAATCCAGGCCACTCTTGCTGAGCTCTAATAGATAAATTACATTTCTACCTCATTTACTGTACTGTAATCTTCCTGTGGTTGGCACTGCAGCAAGGTAAGCGGAGGGTTGCAGAACTGCTCCTCGATTGCTGCTGTGTTATGGACTGCTGTCAGATAACATCCAGTTCTATTTCTCTCTCTGTGAGAAAATGATATGTTTATTCCTACTTTGATTCTTCCCCAGAGCTGAATGACTCGAACTAGGAATTAATCAAGAAGACAATTATTAATATAAACTTGCTTCATGTCAGTATCATGAGTTAGTTAAGAAATGCTAACTTAAAATATGGGAAACAGAGAATAAATATACTACCATATTTAAAATATGAGTTTCAAGTTTATTATATAAGTATATACAAACTATATTTTGTATTTTTTTGTAAAAGTGATGTTTTCCATCTCTTAATATATTATTATGCACATTTGAATAAAATAACAGATTTATTCTCCTTTTCATTGTAGACGAATTGCAAGGAACTTATCTAGAAACAAGACAGGGATTATCATGCGTCTCTCCCAAAATCTGCTCTATGGTCTGTTTGTGGTGTTTTTTTTGATGAAGCTGAATAGTGATCCAGCGAAGGGTGCAGTGCAAGACCGAATTGGGATAATCTACCAAAGCATAGGTGCCTCACCTTATACTGGGATGCTGAATGCGGTCGCTTTATGTACGTCAGTAATCTTGTTTTGGTTTACAGCTTCATAGTCAATTTAATTTGAATGAATAGTTGACTTTATAAAAATAAATCGTGCTTTCACAACACTCTATGGGAGAAACAAAGAGGCCAGAAGTTTGAGTTTCAGTAGTTTGTAGCTCCTTCAGTTCTGCAAAATATAAAACAATTTACAGCCGGATAATATTGCATATAACTTCTTAAAAAGAAGTGACCCTTTCTGGTGTATGTTGATTCATGGTTCACTGAAATATGTCTCATCGAAGGGTAGGTTTCAAAGTTTTGGCAATTGTACTGAAATTCTCATGTGCAGGTGTTTTTTAAAAAATAAATATTTTGTGGCATTTTTATCCCTTAAAATATATAATTTGGCATGTCCAGGTTTGAATTGTTTATTTTTAGTAAAAATGGTACTTTAATAATATTTACTTCTTTATAAAACCTTCAGATCCTCCACTACGGGCTGTTGGTGACCAAGAAAGTTCAGATGGCCTTTATCCGAAATGGCTGATGTTCGTGGCTTATATCATTCACATCCTTCCCTTCAGTATCATCAGTGTGGCTATTTACAGTTTCTTCGTCTACTGGTAAGAACTGCTTTTGCCAATCACAGTAGCAGTTTTTAGATGAGAGCTGTGCCAAATAGAAAAGGGAGTAAAGTAAACGTTTGTGGTTTTGTTTAATAAAGCTCATTAAATGTTATGTTTTAATTTGAATACTAATATTCTTTCTTTGCATTCTTTAAATTCCCAGATTATTTTGTGCAACACGTAAAGCAGATGTATTTACGAAAGGAAGTAGTAACACAAAATAGCATCATAATTACAGTACTAGTAGAGTCATGGATTTATTGAAGAACTTTAAATGTGATATTTTTTAGCTCGTTTCAAAAAAAAATTGAGAGATTGGTTTTGACAATGGCAACCAACTTGAGTAAAGGATACACTGCCAAACTCCAAAATTGAAATATCTTTTTAAACTGACTGCATGTCATACAATAAGGATCAAATCATTTGACCATCAACCTGAAAGCACATCATATAACTGCCTGAGAGCAGTATGAGATGCAGGATAATACAAAGATTAGCAGACAAATTAAAATTAACTTAAAACATTGTAAATAAACAAAATAATTATTGATAATAGTGAATTGTGGAAATAAGATTACCGATTGTATATTAATGACATCGCAGAATTTCTCTAATTGCTTTTGTAATTTTGATAGTGTTTACATTCAGGAAATACAAGTTTATACTTTTTCACTAGTGATCAGAGGAAATATCCTTAATGGGATCATTTATTTATGGAGATAATTTGGACTTTTGGTGACAATGTAAAGTGGTTGATATCTTCAAAGGCAGTTGATTTGATATGGAAGTGGGAATCAGAAGGTATGCATAATGAACAGCTGATTCCACAGTGACCATTTTACTATGACCCAAACCAGAAACAGCCCAAATAACTTGACCAAATTTTCTCCTTAATTTGTTTAACATATAAAAATAATTAGAATATCATCTCCAGGCAAAGTCAAAATTTAGCTTTCTTAGAATACCAAGTAAGAGTGCAGTGTTTCACTTTGGGCACAATTGTTGATTCAGACACAAGTCGTTACTAAACCTGCACAGGTTTTCACAAGTGTTTTATTTCCAGCATTTCCATTTGACCACATTTATTATCATCAAGTACAAAACCTGTCATGAACAGTTGTTCAGCAATTGTAAAATTTTAATTTGTTTAAATTTGTGAAAATCATTTCTGATATATTTAACAATGCTAACTTTGGAATAATATAGCTGAAAATGAATTTAATATAAAAATAATTTTCGCGTCAATCCTGTGCATAATCTGATTTTAAATGATCAAACTTTTTAAAAAATATATAGAACCATTTGGTTCTATTGGGGTTTGGAATTAGTTTCTTAGTAAATTCAAACAAAATTAATTTTGAAAGTTTTTGAAATACTCCTTTTGGACATTCATACGCACCAGCTTAATTTTTAGAGCCTCTTCAAGGTCCTGTAAGCAAGCATAATTAGCAGAAGCTCCCAATAGTGATTAATTCATTCTGGGATTGTAGTCAGTTTTGTGGCTGAGCCTTGCTTGTGTTATAACACTTTTGTAAATCAGCACTAGAGATTACAGAGACTCAATTTGCATTGGACATAATTTGCATGAGAAATTCCTCAATCTTTTTGCCCTGCATTCACTAACATGTTGTATTTGGACATGTTGTACCAAAGAAAATATCGCAATTGCACTGTAATTTCCAGCCAAGTGTGGCCAATTTACAAAGATAAATGGCATTTGAAAGGATACAGAAGTCTGAATACAAGTGCAAACATTGGTTAAACTGGAATTCTATCAAAATATCTGAAATAATCGGTAAGGCAAATGTAACCTATTCAAAGTATGCAAGAGCAGAGGGAGTAAATGGAAACAAGCGAAAAATGTGTTTTAAAATAGATATCAGAAGAATACATTAGACTTATAAGGTTTAGTCTGGAGTTGCAGAAGGATCTATTATCTCTATTCTTTTTCCTATGCTTCGATTTCCTACACCCATTATGGGTTATCCTGTACAATATAATACTTACAGAGATTATGATGATTTTGCCCTGTAATTGCTACCATATGGAGAAGAAAGTTACGTTAACTTATTTTAATGGCCTGACTTGTTTTTCAGGACTTTGCGAATGTTTCCAATGTGGGAACGGTTTGGGTGTTTCTTTGCTGTGCTCATAGTGCCACATCTAGTTGGTGAACTACTGACATTGGTCTTACTAGGTGTTGTTCAGAATCCAAATATAGTAAACAGCGCTGTGGCCTTAATTAATGTAGCAGGAATTCTACTTGGATCGGGTTTTTTAAGGTGAGAAGTTTTCGAATGCAATATATGACCCATATAGCATTGTTGAATATGCTGTTATGCAGTTGAATATGCTGTTATGCAAGGATGGAATTCTATATTGTATAACTCTCAATATAGGATTATGTTACATTTGGATCTGGGTGTGACCTGTCCTTTTCTGTCACAAAAATTGTTGTTTTCAAAATTTAGGCTTAATTACTCAGGGACATGTTTAAGACAAACTTAACAGGCTTAGCCTGGTAGAAATAGGATTGAAGTGGTCTGCAATGAATTGCATTGAATCATCAGTCAGAATGGCCACTAAAACCTTCAAGGGGTTTCAGGAGGGCAGAGCATGCCTCTGCCTGTTTCAGGCCTGCGTTCAATACATGGCATGCCTTCTGTAGGGTTTGATGTAATTTTGAGAACGACTAGATATTGAGAAGATAAGCCAATGTCCTTGAAGGGACTGACCTTTTGCTAAAAGTTATTTTTATTTGTTTCTGACATTTTCTTGTTAGTTCTGCATCCAGTGTACTTAAGGGAAACTTAAGAAAAATTAATAAATGTATTATTTACTGGTGTAAAGCAAAAGCAAAGATGAACAAAACATATTAGCACAAATGATTCTGATTCTCTCAGACCCCTCCAGAGTTTTGTAATTTTATGGTAAAAGATTGCAGGCTCAACATTGACTTCTAATTGACAATGGAAAATTGTCCAGCTCCGGCTAGTCCACAAAGTATTGAACAAATCCAATCTAACCAGTTGCCACTCCATCTGTGCAGCATCTAACATCAGTAAAGGGAAGGTGTAATTGGCAACACTTACAAACAACTCTAGCACAGCATTCACCTGCTCACCTTTGCCCTTTTGGGGTTCCAACAGGCCCGTTTGGCTTCTGATTTCAGTATAGCCTTTGGTCTGGGAGAATCACATGAGTACAAGAGTAGGACAATCTTCCTGCAACTGTACAAGGTACTGATGAGACCATGTCTGGTGCACTGTGAGCAGTTCTGGTCTCATTTACGGAAAGATATTATTTCACTTGAGGTAGTTCAGAGAAGGTTCACTAGAATGATCTTGGTATTGAGGGATTGTTTTATGAGCAAAGATTAGAAGGTTGTGATTCTATTAATTGGAATATAGAAGAATGAGTGGTGATCTCTTTGAAAAATATAGGATTCTTTAGGGGCTTGACAGGGTAAATGCTAAAAGGATGCTTCCCCTCATGGGAGAGCCTAGGACCATAGGGCATAGTCTCAGAATAAAGGGCGTCAATTTAAGAAGGAGATGAGGAATTTCTTCTCTCAGAGGGTTAAGTGTCTTTTTAACTCCTTGCCACAGAGAGCTCTGGGAGTAGAGTCCTTGTGTATATTTAAGGTTGAGATAGATAGATAGATTATTGATCAGTAGGCAGATCAAGGGTTCTGAGGAAAACACAGAAAGTGGACATGAGAAGTGTCAAATCAGCTGTGATCCTGTTGAATGGTGGAACAGGCTCGAGGAGCTGAATGGCCTACACCTGTTCCTATTTCTTATGGTTGTATGATCTTAGAAGTCAAGCAAAGCCTTTCTCAACATTGGGAGCAACAAGACACGTTTTCCAACAGAATTCCAGACGAGATTCTCACCAGGGAGCAGTGAGATGCCTATTAATGGGGATATTTACTCGTTATCACCCTCACTAACACTGAAATTCGCCACGCAAGCACATGCTGTACATTTGACATTGATGTAACACAGCCATCTAGCAACTTGTCCAACCCCCACCACCCCTTTGACTGATGACTGCTGATAACCATGACACACTGCCTGGCTTCGTGACTTCACTGAACAGTAAGGCAAGGGAAGCCTTTAAGTTGCGTCAAGGCACAAGAATGAAAGGTAAGGGAATGCATCCAGGTAGGCATTAAGTGAATGAGCACTAAGAGAGAAACTCAGCAGCCTTGAGATGTAGCTTGATCCAATCCATAAGCTGGGTGCCTGTCCCTGTCTGCAAACTGTCCTCGCAGCAGCCCTTTGGTGATATTTGCGGGTGCACTTGAAACTGCAGCATTACATTGCAAAAGATGCACTTTAACTGGATTGGAGATGAACCACAATTAATATGCAGGTTGCTATTCTACTACTTGCTGGATAGAAGCTAGATGCCAAGAATTCCGATCACGAAACTCTGAGTGGGTGCTTGATGACTCCAGCTTACCTCTTGCTCTATCTTGGACACTTGGCACCTACATTTCAGGGCATGGCTCCATGGGGCAGCAGCTACACATACATACCCTCGTTCACAGATGCTGGTATACAACATGTGCCAGCCTCCCCACACCATTGTGGTTCATCTCCAATCCAGTTAAAGTGCATCTTTTGCAATGTAATGCTGCAGTTTCAAGTGCACCCGCAAATATCACCAAAGGGCTGCTGCGAGGACAGTTTGCAGACAGGGACAGGCACCCAGCTTATGGATTGGATCAAGCTACATCTCAAGGCTGCTGAGTTTCTCTCTTAGTGCTCATTCACTTAATGCCTACCTGGATGCATTCCCTTACCTTTCATTCTTGTGCCTTGACGCAACTTAAAGGCTTCCCTTGCCTTACTGTTCAGTGAAGTCACGAAGCCAGGCAGTGTGTCATGGTTATCAGCAGTCATCAGTCAAAGGGGTGGTGGGGGTTGGACAAGTTGCTAGATGGCTGTGTTACATCAAGGTCAAATGTACAGCATGTGCTTGCGTGGCAAATGCACTATATGTACTTCATCTAAATGGTCATGTCTCCAATTGAAGGGGAGTTGTCCTCCAAATCAGGTGATTGGGGGGGTGATGTGGCAGGTGGGGGAGTGGGCAGTCAGGGGTAGCATTCGCTCACTGTCCAGGTGCCCAGGCATGGTCAGTTACCCACTTGGGGCAGTCACTGTCAGTTGCTCCATCTCAGTACAGTCTGGGGAGTAGGCCAGTTAGAGGTAGGGGTAGAGGGGATCAGGTGGGGATTGTAGGCATTGGATTGGCATACAGAAGGGAAAAGGGAAAAGAGAAGGGGGATTTTCAATATGTATGGGGGGGGTTATGGGTAATGGGAGGAGTAGGATGCTGCAGGAGAGGTGAGACAGGCGATAGGCAGTAACCATCACTGTTGCCTCAATGTGGGGACTGTGCGGCATGATGGTGGGCATCACCAAACTCTAGTGGCAGGGCTCAGTGGGTAAGGAAAACTGGCAGCTCAGTTCAAAGTCGTGGATGGGGACATATGGGACTTTGGCCAAGATGGGCTGTCCAGCAAGTGCTAGGTAGAAAGAGACATAGCGGGTGAGGGGGACCTGATTACCAGGCAGAGCTCGGTACTTGTCATGTCCAGCATGAACTGCATTGCTTTCCATGATCTGCTGGTAGCTAAAAGTGACCTGCAAACATAATATGGCTATAAGCACATCTGCAATAGGCTCCACTTGTGCACAACGGGAGACCAAGGAGCAATTGTATTAATTATGCATCTGCAGATTGCAGCTTCACATCATTTGCAATCACATCATCGCGTGTGTGAAAAGCATGCCTTGTACAAGTATGTGAGGTGTAAATGCTGGTCAAAGGCAATGCCAACCATGTCATTAGGCTTGTAAATTGCAGATAGACATCTCTGAAAAACAAAGTAACTACAGGTGACTGTAAAAGTGGGACCTGCAGGCCACAACATACACATTTAATACAAAACCTGCCAAGATGCACAAAGGCATGGAACTGGTTCACTCTCTACCTGAACTGTAAGTAAAATGCAGGACTGTCTTATATGCAGTGGTGGCTTCCATGGGTGATATGGAGTTGGAAGAGAAGGATTCATTGCTCATGCAGCACTTACACTCTGCTACTATTTCTTTGCTATATGTGGAGCACTCATTGAACTAAGGTCCTGTGTCAAAGTGCCAAGATGAATTCTTTCATTGCCCTCCTTGTTGGAATGTAACATGCTCCTCTATAAAGTGAGACATGTTCAGCTGTCATTTAGAATTGATGTGACTTGATTGTTCTCTTGATGAAGAAACTGTTCTATTCCTTATGTGCCTCACAGATGTTAATTGTCAGCATGTCTGCTGGACCCAGCCTCAGCATGTGTGGTCATCTCTGTTGCTGTCTTGCAGTGAAGATGTAGGGAGATGGAAGACAAACAGATACACCAGTGGAATCTGAACTACCTCCTCCATGTGAAGAGGTCACAGCTTAAGGGTCCTTCAGAATAATGATGGAGACAAAGGAGGACCACAGTGTTTCATCCTTGATGCCTGAAAAGAGAGGTCCCCTTCTGGTGGCCATCAAAGTGACGGCTGCGTTGAATTTTTATGTGACTGGGTCTTTCCAAGGAGCCATGGGGATCTCTTGAACATCCATCCACAAATGTATCAAGACCTATGACCAATGCTATTTGTGCCAAATCACATCAGTTCATTTCATTTCCATGAGAGGAGGTCGGCGCTCTAGCCTGGGTAGTAGATTGCAAGGAATGGGCCATAACATTATGCGGCTGAGTTCATCAATACAAAAGATCCCATTCCATCAAGCTCAAGTGATCTGTGATCATTGGTACTGCTTCTTAAAAGTTTGCACCCAGTACCCGGGGAATTGCCATTATTCCTACATCCTTGAGAACAACTCCTGCTGCATTTGAGGGCACTGATGCCTTACAGCACGGTTACTAGGGACAACGGCTACTCTCTACAAACGTGGTTGATGACTCCATTATGCAACCCCTGCCTGAGGTGGAGCATAGATACAATGCAAGCCATTCCTTGATGGTGGAGCAGGCAATAGGGCTCCTGACGATGAGGTTTCACTGCTTGGATCAATGAGGACAGAGTGTGCTGCATAATTTTAGCACATTATGCTCTGCACACCTGGAGCTGGCAATGAGAGGGGAGCCAGAGGAGTCTTCCAAGGAGGAGGATGAGCATCACCTTGTTCATGACAGAGTGCAACTGCGTCAAACACTGTAAACCAGAGTGGACCCAATTGTAAACCCAGTTTCAGTAGATGTGAGCTGGATGTAGCGATCACTCATTGATTGTAAAATACTGTTTGTCTTCAGAGAGAGAAATGCAGCCTCTTATTGTTTAATTTCTGTTTGCTCTTGGTTTCTGTAAATACAAGTTAATTTTTTGCATCATTTGAAGGCTTCCCCGTATGTGATGGCCCCCACAGTTGTAATAAGATGCTGGGCTGCAGTGAACATGGGGAAACAGTAACAGTGACTTAGTGGGTTGTAAAGTGAGCTTTGCCTATGGACTGATGAGGTGTGTGGCTCAGCACATAGATGGCAATTGAGGTACGAATCTGTAGTTGGTATTGCAAGGTGTTAGCTGTACCATATCTATGCTTTGAGTAGCACCAGTTCATGGGTATGTGGCCACTACATAGATGGTGAAAGAATCTTAGAACTGTACAAGTGCATTTGGTGGCTAAAGGAGAAGATGCATGAAATGAGGGGGATAAATGTGTGAATATATTGTATTTCAAAAAGCTTAAATAAGCTGCTGTGAGGCAATGTGATTTAATATTGACTTCCTGCAATTTTATAGAAGTGCAGAAGACATGCCTGAACCATTCCAGTGGCTGAGTTACCTCACATTTCAGAAATATGGAGTGGAAGTCCTGATGGTTAATGAATTTTATGGTTTAAATTTCACGTGTGTCAATGGTGAGTGTTTAAGAAGTTGTAACGAAATAAAACGGGATGAAGTTTGCACTTCATTTATATAAAATTAACTGGGTTGCTGTAACATTCTAGGCTGCCCACTTACCTTCAAGGTCATTATTAAGTAGAGCCATTTGTTTCACAATTGCTACATATCAGAAAGGGCATGTTTCACAAAGTTTTGAATAATCAATTAAAAAATAAAATTAGACATGGGTTTTGCTGACTGTGTCGCATCTGGCTCGCAGAGTTTAATTAAAAGTTTTCATAGTTAAGTGCTAAGAGTTGGCATGTTAAATAATGCATTTAGAAATTAGATCATTAAATTGCCAGGTTGTTTTGCTGTTATTTAAAGTTGTGGATTTGATAGTTTTGAAATGTGGTTTTTAAAAATGATTTTAAAATTGAAAGCTTTATTTTTGCCTAATGCCCAGAAAAGGGTTGTGTAGAAGGAGAAACGAAATACTGGTTCCAATGAAATTGAGTACAAAAGTTCCAAGATTTTCATAACAAAAGCTGCTGGCGATGTGAAGTGAATGTGTCAGAGTCCAGGGAAGCTTTTGGGTGGAGTGCTGGCAAGGGTGCCTGCACTGTGATAAGAACCTGTTCTATCCGCCGTGTCTCCCAAGTCCTTACCTCATCCTTTCACGCCTTTCAAAAATTTAACAATTTACATGTTCTTTATTTCATCACCTGATAACTAAGATTATATCAGCTTTCCAAAAAATCCTCCCATTTTCCCTTTAATTGTACTTCACTCCAGTAACAGATCCTTTCCTTTATAATTCAATTATTTATTCATTTTTTCACTTCTGAAGAAGCACCCAGTCCAGTACAACAATCTGCCTGTTCTGTTTGTAAATGATATTCTGTAAGGATATGGATTTATTAGAAAGTGATAAACACAATCTATTCTATGAACTAAGGAGTGCTTTGCTTTCAAAGATTTTGGTGGTACCTCGCACAAAGATTAATGCAATATGGTTACCAATATAGTTAAATATAGAATCATCTTAAATTTAGAATATTAAAGTTAAGCAAAGCGACGTGATTCTGGAGTTGAGGGGTGTGGTTAAATTTCAAGGGTTCTTCTTTTTCCAGATATTCCGTGCAACCTGTGAAACACGTATAGCACTGATAAGTCATATAAGTGAACTTCATGCAAATGAACTTTCTCCTAGCTTGTTCATTATCTTTGATTGGTATTTTTGAAAGAATGCAAATTGAGGCAGCTGAAATAACTTTTTGTAATATTTATATTTTCATCACATAATGTTCATTCATTAGTACTAAGTATGACCATCATATATAATTGTTTCAACATTAACTAAGATATAGGATAACAAAAGTCCCTTTATCATTAAAAACATTTACAGCTTTTGTCTTCTATCTCCAAAAGTAATTGCACCAACTTGTATCTTGTAGCAGCAAAATAGTTGTTTGTCAGTTTTGTAGGCAGGTATTGTAGACAAAAGTTCATAAAAGTTTTATTTATAATATGTAATGTGAGATTCCAAATCACTTGTAACTTTTTTTTATATTTATACCCACAGGTGAACAATCATCTCCTAACAACACAAATGTTCCTTGCTGGTTTACACAAGGAATTCAGTACCTTGATTCGACATACCCTGGGGCACCTTCCAGATTTGTGTTTGATTTTCTAATACTGTATGCTTTCTTGCCTGCTCTAGTTATCCTCGGCATTATCAGTTTCAAGGTTAGAGATTTAATTATCCAGAGGCACTGAGAACAAAGGGCTGCATCTTGAGATGCTTACAACACTCCTGAAAGAATGTGAGGAACTTAATTTTGCATCTTCCTTCTGATAGTTTTCTCTTTTCCTTAGACTTCACCTGCTGTATTGCCTCCAATACTTCAACCACATGAGTGTTATTTATGTTTGGACACTGGATAATATTGTCAGGCTGGTCAACATCGCCCAGCCAGTTCAAATCTGTTCTCAAATATGCATTTCTAAGAGGGATGGTATAGAGAAGAGGAACCCTGACATTTTTTCCCCTTTTTATTCCACCCTGACACCCTGCTTGCCACTTCAGACACAATCTGCTAATTTAGCACAGACTTGGAATCAATCGTAGGATGTTCTTGGTCTGTATGGATTAGCTTTTTAATGGACGTACTCACTGAGACATGAGAAGTTGGAAGAGATCCTTTATATTTAAACAGACATGGAATTGGAATCTCCAGTCATGCTTAAATGAAAAGTGATCCAGGACTCGGGTAAAATGTTCTTTTAAAAAAAAGTGGTGTGGCCCTTAATACAGAAAGTTGCATCAGGTCTGACAGCTGGCCATTGCACATTGGTCTCAAAAGATTTTGGGCAATTATCCCCAGAAACCCATTTCTAAACATTCTCTGGCACAATGATATCTATTTGATGTCACAAGGCTATTTTAACAAAAAATGTTATGAAAGCTTTTGTCTTTTAAATATAAGATTTAATTTGACCATGATTTTTAATAAAGATTTACTTTCATTCCATCTGGCAGGTTGCAAGTTGTACAGAGATTTATTATTTAATGTGATATTCAGCAGAAGTTTTTAGCATAATTGTTTTGAAAATGTGGTTTTGAAGAGAGCACATTACTACTTGATCAAGAAATGGTTTACATTTTGGTCAAATTATATTGTGATTTGTAAAACAAATTGTGTGAATGTGAACATATATAAAATAAAGCTCATTTATCCCAAGGGTAAATTTTGAGGCACATTTTGTTTTATGTTCAGTTCAAATTTTACTAGTCAGTCAATATCTTTATGGATACAATTCTCCAGATATTTGGTCTAATAGTTAATAGAAAGCTGTTCTAGTGAAGTGTAATTAATCTGTTCTAAAAGGCTTTCCAGGGTCTATTTGAGAAGGTCTTTCTACATTTAGTCAACAATTAATTGGCTGTAAAATTCTGAGAAATATAAAGTGCTATAGAAACTCAAATCTCTATTTCTGGAAAACAATTTGACAGATATGTCAGTGTAGTTACCTGCCCAAAGATGGGTTCTATGCTCATGTTGTGACACCTCAAGTTCCTGCACTTTCTCTTTGATGTCAAATATGGGACACTTTTAACTTATAACCCAATAAGCAATATGACAAGGGAAAATACATGAGATGGTTTTCCTTGCCTTCCCTTGCTTTAAAGTACCACAGCTTTAAGAGGTGTAGTTTGTTCTGTTTTTTTTTGAGAGGTTGAGACAGAGGTGACAAGCAGTCTACTCCACACCAATAAACAGCTTGAGAGCCCTGGGTACTTTTTAAAAGTTGGAACAATAGAAGCGGCATGAATGGGTGGAATCACCTCCTGCAGAACCAGGGTTTTATTTTAGCTTTCAGTAGTTGCTGGGGTCTTGAAGCTGGATGTGGAAGCTATTATTCCTCTCTCTGTTACAGCTAAAAACTGGAGTTCTCTCTGCTGCCAGAATTGCATGTGGGACAATCTATTTTACTGAATTGGCCTTTGCCAAGAGTGTGTTTATGGCATGTTACTATATTAGAACAGTTGCTGTTTCGTAGTTAAATAATCTGTTAATTTTTCTAATAGAGTTAGGTTATTCCTATTCTTCTTTCTTTTGTTTGTACTTTAACTATAAGCTGAGTAGTGTAACCAATCAAATTACCTCTGGAACATAGCACCTTACACTTGCCTTTAAATAAAATTTAGGATCTATACTATCTCCTTGTTATATTTGAAGGGGATTTGGTCTGGTCAGTAACAAATTGGGGGTTCGTCCGGTGCCATGAAAGCAAATTTTTTACTTCATTCTCTTGGATAAAGGTTCCTGCCAGTATCCTTTGTGTAAGTCCAGCTTCGAAATACAAGTTGCTTATCTCACCTTCTCAATACAGTCTTACAGCCATTGAATAGGATATGAATCAGATTTCATAACTAAAGGAAATACAAGGCCCCTTCCCAAAGGACCTCTAGCACATTCTGAGACTGTCCCATGGGATGAGGATGACTGTTTATCAAGCTGGTGTTGAGAGTCCGGAGGAGATTAAACAGCTCAGTACTGGAGCTGCAAATTCTGCTACAGGTGCAGCAGGTGCTGTCTGCTGAAGTGGGTGGGCGGACGCATTGAAACAAAATCCTTTGCCTATAAGCAGCTACTCTCACTTGATGTTCCAGCTCTTTTGCTGTCATCTGCCAAAAAATAATTGGTTCCACTGTTCACCATAGTTTGCAAGTCTGAACATGAGACCTTTACCTGGGCTTGGGATGACTTAAAGGACAGGGACGCTCATCCTGACATCTCAGATGACACCACTACTGCTAATATGCTACTTCTGCATCTGTCACTGGTGTATCAAAAGAAGTTAAATCACAAAAATCAGCTAATCTGAACAGTGAGAGATAGTAAGAACTGCGATGCTGGAGTCAGAGATAACGAAGTGTGGAGCTGGAGGAACACAGCAAGCCAGGCAGCATCAGCCCCAACCCGAAACATCAACTTTCCTGCTTCTCTGATGCTGCCTGGCCTGCTGTGTTCCTCCAGTTCCACACTGTGTTATCTATAATCTGAACAGTTATCTTTCTTGCTTTTCTCTAACTTCCTTCTTTTGCGCTAGTGCCATTTTAAAGACAAATACAAACAACAGAAAAATTCTCACATAGCCTTATCTTTCAGTTACACCAAGTTGCATTCTCTTGTTTTGATACAATAGTTCAACCTGCCTCTCACTGATCAGTTTGTGATCAAATGATCCATGTTCTCTGATTATTTTTTCCTCCATTTCTTTTTGACATGCAACATTTTCAATGCAGAAGGAAAGCAGGGGATCTGCTTTTATGCTCTGGTGCTCGAAAACCAGAACTTGCTTGAAGATCCATGAGAGTTCTCCTTCTCAACTTTTGCTCATCTCCTGAATTTGCACCTATCCCTCAACAGGTAAGGGTCCTGACCTGAAACGTCAGCTTTCCTGCTCCTCTGATGCTGCCTGGCCTGCTGTGTTCCTCCAGCTCCACATTGTTATCTCCGACTCCAGCATCGGCAGTTCTTACTATCTCTGAATTCATGGCATACTGTGTTGCAGAACATTGGAGCCTCTTACCCTTCATGCCCCATTCTGTGATTTGGGCAGCATTTTACAAGTTAAATGTACTTGACTGGGAAATGTGGATTGAGTCTATTTACGCTGGAAGGGGGTGAAAGGGGCCTCACTAAACACAACAACAGCCAAAATTCACACCAGGTTTCCAGCTGTTTTCTTTTTGAAGCATACATTAATGTAAACCTTGTGTACACTTCCAATTCCAGATTTCAGTTCAGCTTTTTATCACTATACCTTTTGCATGATTAAGAGGAACATTTACACAATAAAACTTCCTACTGTTCTGTTAAGTAGCACAATTTTGTGTATAAAATATTTCTCATTCTTAATTTTTTTTTCTTTATTCACTTATGGGATGAGGGTGTTGCTGGCTAGGCCAGCATTTATTGCCTATGCCTAATTGCCCAGAGGACAGTTAAGAGTCACCCACATTGTTATGGGTCTGGAGTCACATGTAGGCCAGACCAGGTAAGGATGTTAGTGAACCAGACGGGTTGTTCTGATAATGGATTCCCAGTCATCATTAGATTCTTAATTCCAGATATTTTACTGAATTCAAGATCCATCATCTGCCATGGTGGGATTCGAACCCGGGTCCCCAGAACATTATCTGGGTCTCTGGATTAACCGTCCAGCGATAATACCAGGAGGCCATCGCCTCCCCTTGTAATTAGAGTATTGCAGATTTTGAAAAAAATCAATCATTTACAGATGAGGGCATCACTAGTTAGGCAAGCATTTACTCTCCATCCCTAATTGCTCAGAAATTAAGAGTCAACCCAAGTGTCTGCAGTCACACATAAGCCAGATCAGGGGAGGACGATCTCCCTTGAACAGCAGAAATTATGGTGAATTATAGGGATGTCTTGCTTCAATTGATTGATTTTGAATTATGTTCACTTCATTTCAAAATTTTACAGGCACCAACACTTTGAAACATGCCAAAAGTGTTACATAATATTTCAGTGTTTCCTGATGTGAGTGTACATATAAGTCTCATCACTTTAAATTATTGATTTTGAAAATAGGCAGAGAAACAAATGTCTCCATTTTTAATAAACACCAAAAAATTAAACATTTATCATACTGAATATGGATTATTGAACATGAAAAATATACAAGGTCACCAAAAAATGAAGTAGAACTGAAAAATATACAAGGTCACCAAAAAATGAAGTAGAACTGAACTACGTTAACATATATAAAGAAGTAGAGGAAGATAGCATGTTCAAATGCTTCTGTAAATGTTTAAATACTGTCAAAAAACTTTTCACTAAAAATACATAAATTACGCACTTTCAGAACTTAAATGCAAAAAAATGCTCCATGCAAATACTTGAAGTGAAATTATCTTCGTATGTCAAATTGCATCACTTTCCATGATTTGGAAGCATTTCTTTTATATTGCTCAAGCTCCTGAAAAAGTAAAATTTGAGGAACCATGTTTGTTGGCTCTGGAACAACTAGTGCTTCAAAAGTTGAATAATTTAGTAATAGAATTAAACAAGACAATTGATAACTATAAATTCACAGGTTAATGTGTACGACTTTTTCTAAACTTAATTCAATCAGAGAGAAGTAGATGGCTAAATAATATACACGCAGTCAGAGATCTACAGCACAGTAAAAGTACCTTCGGCCCATGGCGCCCTCCCAGTCAAAAACAACCAGCTATTTTAATCCCATTTTCCAGCTGTTGACTCATAGTCTATTATGCCTTGGCATTGCAAGTGCACATCTTGATGGCACTTGACATTCCATCAATGACTGGTACAGAATAAAAGGTCTCTGGTGTCTCCTCGGGCTCAGGAAACAAGGCTTGCCAACTGAATCATCTGGTGAAGCTAACTCCAAGAAAATATACTGAATATTAAATCAGTATGAGTAACATTTATAATTAACTAGGTGAAAATCTATTCCTCATTCTCATCCTTGGAAATCACATTTTTAAGGGTACTTAGTAACTCAAAAAGCCCGATTGGAAAGAAATAATTCTTCTGTTGAACACCAAAATAGAACTATTACTCGTGGCTGACCTAGGCTAGTCCCAGCCTGGGAAAAGTTCTACAGACCAACCCTGAGCATGATTTATCTTTTCTTCCTTTTCTTTTTAAAAGGTTCCAGAAATATTATCATACACAACTGAATGTCTTTTTTGTCCCCATCATCAAATCACCTGTGATATTTCTTTTCCTTCTATTAACCCCATTGGGTCTACTTTATTTCCTTATATTCGAAAGTGCTCTTCCATTCACTTAAAAGTTTTCTCCCCATCACCAAATCACCATGACTTTTTTTTATTCCCCGTCAGTAACTGCCACCAGTAAATCACTCGTGTAGCCGATTGGATATTTATTGCAAAGCCTGTAAAGGGCAATGCTAACCATCAAAAGGTGAAGTAGGGAGAGCAGGATGGGATAAATCAAAATGGAATCGGAAGGGGGAATACAGCACTCCACACCCTGTGGTGCCCACCTCTCTCTAAAGGCATCAAGAATATTCATGGATGCCACACATTCGCTCTCCAAAGACATCTGAGCATGAACATAGCCACAGAAGAGGGGCAGGCAGTCAGTAGAAACAACCCCATCCATTGATTCTGCTTTATTTTTTGTATCCAGAAGTGCTCTTAAACACAACTGCACAGTTCCTTGACCCACCCCATCACTGAATTGCCATGACATTATTTTGTTTATAACTACTAACCGCTACAGGTAAATCAATTATGTAGCTATTCCTTTATTCATTAATGGGATGAGGGTGATGCTGGCTAGGCAGCATTTAATGCCCACTCCTAACTGCCTAGAGGGCAGTTCAGAGTCAACCACATTATTGTGGGTCTGGAGTCACATGTAGGCAAGACCAGGTAAGAATGGCAGTTTCCTTCCCTAAAGGACATTAGTGAACCAGATGGGTTTTTCCAACAATCGACAATGGATTGATGGTCATCATTAGATCCTTAATCCCAGATATTTTATGAATTCAAATTCCACCACCTGCCGTGGTGGGATTTGAAGCCGGGTCCCCAGAACATTATATGGGTCTCTGGATTAATACTGCTAGGCCATTGGCTCCCCTATTTGGATAATTACATGCAAAGTCCCATTAAGAGCAATGCAAACTATCAAAAATGAAGGGGATGTAGGGAAAGGGGAAAAGGGCTCATCAAAATGAAGTTGGATGGGGAGATAAAGCACTGTGGTGTTACCTGTCTTTAACGTCATCGATAATAGTGGTGGACACCACGTGCTCCCTCTTCAAGGACACGCGGGCACAGTCGTAGCCGAAGAGGGCAGTTAGCTTTTATGCACAACTGAGTGACTTGCCCACCACCAAATTGGGTCTGCGTTTTATTTCTAATCACCCTGTTCACTGATATCATTTCACACCTCTGAAGCAGGTGGGACTTGAATGCAGGCCTCCTAGTCTATAAACAGGGACACTACCACTGTGCCACGAAAGCCCCTTGGGTACGCTTTATAAAAGGCTCAGGTGATGTGTTCTAGCCAGGCAGGCCATTACCTGTTACAAAGAGAACTCATACCCAACAAGCTCAACAAGAAGAGGCCTTGTAGAGTTTTTACATGTACCAGTAGGCTGTCTGAACTGGATGCCTAGCATGGTCCCAGTCTAGGTTGGCAACTGAAGTGCTGTGAAGTAGGAACAGTTAGTGCATGAAATCCTAAAGCAAATGTAATTAGATTAAGAGACAGACTGAGAGTCTTGTTTTCTTTGTGTTTACTGTAGTAGCTAGTCACTGAACCTGTTCACAACAAGCTACCAAAGTACTTTAACAAAATAACACAAGTTTATTACATGCAAAAGAACATCACTGGCTATGTTACACTATAGAACAACTATTCAAAACATTCCTAATACAATTACCAGAAATATTCAACCTTTTATACCCATAATAGTTTTATAGATACTCAAACATCAATAGATGTCAGACCTGACTTTACACTAAAGCTCATTGTGCAGGTGACACTGCTTTAAATCAGTTTAATTTAAGCAAATTTCTGCATTAATTCAATGCTCTATTTTCAGTTTACATTCCTGAGACCCTTAAACTAGCTGCTAAGTCAGCTCACATTTGACCAGATATGGTTCCTTAAACTCATATCTTCAACAGTTGTAGGATGCCTTTCCGCACAGCCTTTTGCTTCTAGAGTTTTCTTCTGGGCAACTCAGTACTTCCCCCTCCCCCACCTCAGTCCTGACTGCATCAGAAGCTAATAACATTACTGCTGTTAAGGATCTCTTCTCTGACTGAATCTACACAGTGCCTGCCTTCTTCTGGACTATTATGACTTTTTGTGTGACTGGGTTTGTGTCTTCAGGCACCCTGGTACCACATACAGAACAAATCTAAAATGAAATTAAAAATCACATTTTGCCTTCATAATGCTTAAAATTCAAGTTAAACATGGTTTTTCTACCTCAGTCCCCAAGATCTCAAACAATAAGAATGTATTCTAAACCTGCATCATGCAATTTCAAACTGACTAGAGTAGCCTAGTTAAATACACTTGAAATCTCAACAATATGGGAATAAGCAAGAAATAAGCAATAATATGTCAAGGGTTATGGGGCAAAGACAGGAAAATGGAGTTGAGAATCATTGTTGAACAGTAGACTAGAATCAATGGGCTTAATATCTACTTCTACATCTTATCATCTCATTGTACTTTTAGAAAGAGGGATCTTACTGTAAGCAAATTTGGATCCTGGATTAAAGCTGAAATACTTGTTTAAGCGACATACCTTAAATCTAGCCAAAAATAAATGTTTTGATGTGAAGTTTCCAAATAAGTCTCATTTACATGTTCCTACTTTCTATCAAAACTGAAGATTACATTTTTATCTCAATATTCTAGGAAATAGCACTGACAGATATATATCCATCAAAGCTATGAATCTTGTTTTACAATCTGGTTGTATGTTGCATTTTTATTGTAAATTAATGTACACTGTTAAACACACAATTCATTTAATGGATTACAAAGAGATAATGCAATGGGTTACTAAAGGACACAAGGAAGTTCTCTTGGTTTCTTGTACAGCAGTGTTATATCTAATCAAAGCCAAGTCATTTTACTTATCTTAGTGAAATCTGACACTGTTCAAGATAGTTCTGACAGACACATGCACCATAGCAGACAATATTAGAGAGCAACAGTAGTTAATACAAGTAAACAGTTTCAGAAAAAAAGACGTTTTCTTCAAAGTATACAAGTTGGGATTGCATTCCTGAAAATTGAGAGTTTGATTTCATGTATGGTTCTGTAGGGCCTTCCTTAGCAGACAAAAAAAATTAAATCTGTACCTTTGAAGTTGAAATGCAGTCCTTGAAATGACTAACTTCCAAAGTGAAATGAAGTAACTGTTCAAATAAAATAAAATGCCTCTATAAAAAGATGGATTTAACGTTTCACTCAAAGTACCTTCTGTAGTGTACCACCATCAAGAGAGCTGGTGGGTGGGGCTGCTGCTGCCTGGGCTTTTGCCCATCCTGCTGTGGACTGCTGTTAGGGCTCCTACTTGTTCCTGGCCACATCATAGCCGCTGCCTGGTAGTGCCTTTTTAGGGGTTGGGGCATTCTTCTTGCTGGCTGCTGTGTCTGGGATCTGGTCAGGACTCTGTTCAGTGGGGCTGCTCCTCGTAGCTGGCTATGGCCCCAAGACCTTTCATCCCCTTTTCCCGCTCAGCAGGGTGATAGCTGTGCACAGGCTCAATGGCATTTCTGTCCAGTCCTTCCTTTTAATTGTGTCCTGGGCTGTGGGTGTCTGTGGCAGATCATGGCTCCCAGTCAGTACAGCAGCTTTGGGTGAAGGCTGGTGGCTTCTCTGGGTGAAGTTCGGTGGCTGCACTGTTCTACTGACAGGGGCCCTGCTTCGGAAAACTGCCAAGCTCAGTCAAGTCCAGTGCCCATGGCCATGGGAAGAGGGATGTTGTCCAGCACAGTCGTAACTGGCATGCCATGGAATCACAGAATCCCTACAGTGTGGAAGCAGGCCATTCCGCTTATGGAGTCCATACCAACCCTCCGAAGAGCATTCCACCCAGAGCCACTCCTCTACCCTATCCTTGTGACTTTGCATTTCCCATGGCTAATCCACCTAGCCTAGACAACCCTGGACACTTTGAGCAATTTAACACGGCCAGTCCACTGAACCTGCACATCTTTGGACAGTGGGAGGAAACCGGAGCAAACGCCCGCAGACATGAGAATGTGCAAACTCCACACAGACAGTCACCTGAGGGTGAAATCCTGGTGCTGTGAGGCAGCAGTGCTAATCATTGAGCCACCGTGCCACCCCATAGACCAGGAAAAGGAGGATGTGGCTGCCAAGTTCAGTCGGGGGAGATGTGTCATAATTGGACAGATCCTGGAGATGGCAGCAGCCTGCGCAGTTTCTTAGGATGCCTTTGGGTATTGACTAAGATGTGACTAGGGGGGGCAGGTGGCAGCTCTGGTGGGTAGTTGGTCAATCAGGTGTTCCTGTTGTAGATCTTGGACAGCAGTCTTGAGAGAGGTCTAGGATTGGGAGGTTGGGAGCTTGGGAGCAGCCTCAAATGTGCAAGAAGGAAGTCATGCCAAAGTGGCACTAATTGGGTCAAGTAAAGTACTACAGAAGACTAATCTCATGATGCTCAATGGGATTTCTGGCACTATTAACTTACTAATATTAAAATGAAACAAACACTAAATGGGGCAACTTTTAATGCAAACATCCTGTGTACAGCCAAAATTTATTCACTTTAAACATGCATTAGATAGTCATTAAAATATTCAAAAAGAAAGAAGCATGACATTTCAGATAAACTGCAGTAATCAAAAATAATTACAGACGATAAACTTGAAGGGGGTTATTAAACTTTTGTTCAAGGCTACTATCACATGAAATAGTTTATCCAATTTGAGTTCATAGTACAACTGGGATCATTAAATCTCTATCATTCAAGCAAAATTACACAGCTATTTACCTTTGGACAAGAGTATTGATTGACTTTTAGGAAGGTAACTAGGGAACAATGTACCACATGAACTGCTGTAGAAAAATCCCAAGTGACCTCTTTAATTAACAGACAAGCTTTTGAAGAAAAGAGTCAAAATCAACTCTTGATATGTGACTCTCATTAATTAATTTACTTGTCGTGAGAACCTATATAGTACAATCACTGAAGTATGAATCTTCCTTTCAACTTTCACCCAGGTATTTTGCAATAATGCTTGATAAATTTAAATTATGTTGGCCAAATGTTTGGATGTTAAACTTTTGGATGTTAAATAAACTGACCACAACGCACAAGTTAATTTATTAGGGATAACAAGGTGTAGAGCTGGATGAACACAGCAGGCCAAGCAGCATCATAGGAGCAGAGAGGCTGATGTTTCGGGCCTAGACCCTTCATCAGAAAAGGGGGAGGGGAAGGGGGTTTTGAAATAAATAGGGAGAGAGTGGGAGGCGGATAGAAGAGGGATAGAGTTGCAGTGGGAGAGAGATCCCTTGAGGTTTGTCCGGAGGGAGGAGGGTAACTTTATTAGGTACACCTAAAGATGAATAATGGGTTGCATTCAAGTTACATGGCATAATACAAATCAGAACATACCACTAAAAGATGGTCAGCACAAAATCAATACAAATAAAGTAATGAGATGCACAAAAAAGTCAAAACTAATGGCAAATGCTTTTTTCAGTAAGTATATAAAGGGAAAACACACAATTAAAAGTAACTGTGGTCTATTAAACACAGATTCAAGTAAAACAACAGTAAAAAAAGTAAGGAAGTAGCAGTCCTGCTAAATGAACAGTTTGGCTTTAGGAGCAAATGTCTTACTTGGATTTCCTCTTTTAAATTGCTTTCTCTCTCTTGACAGTGAAAAGGAAGCCTTTTCTTAAAAAAAGCCAGATTGTCGTCTAGCAAAGTATTCTATTACACCAGAAAATAAATTAAGAACCATCCAGAAAACCATGCAGTGTGTGCAGGCTTCTTTCAGAAAGAAGCAGATGTTTTGGAGAATAAATGCCTTTAACAGTGGCAGTGCAGTTTAGCAGTATTCAATATAGTCTGGGCATAATAGTGATTTAACGACAGTACAATAAAAGCTACAGAAACACAAGGCTACGGAAGAGGAGTTAAGAAATGAGTGAGCTGTGTTATCAGTTTAAGTACCTCAGAAAGTGACATTAATGAAAGAAATAGCATTGAGTGAAATTTGCTGAAAAGAAACCAATTAGAGCTGTGCAATTAAACAAGGAATTTTAAAGTGGAGACGGGGTGCTCCTTCATTGAAGTTTGAATGTCTGCATGGTTGTTGTTGAGGGTAAAAGGGTTGAATCTTTATTTTTGATTCTTGAGCTAATACTGCTTCAAACAGGTACTAACATATGAAAATATGAATTAGGAGCACAGGGAGATCATTCAGTCTCTTGAGCCTGCGTCACCATTCAATAAGATCACGGCTGATCTGCATACTCCACATTCTTGCCTATCCCCAATAACCTCTCACCCCTTTGCTTACCAAACACCCTGGAGTTCTTTTGTTTAGAGTACATGGCAATCTCTTGTGAACATGTTCAGTGACCGACTACCAACTGGCAAAATTGAAACTTATGGTTTGTCAAGCAAGGTTTAACTTTGCGATCTGACTTTTCCAGTGTTCCAGTCAATTGGAATCATGAAAATTACCTGATCCTTTTGTGTCCTCATTGCATCCACTTCAGGTTCAGCATACTGTGAGTTCTTAGCAGGATCTTCCACATATTTCAATTCACTGGTATTCTACATATACAAAACAATTTGCTAAAGTTAAAATTAAATAGCTATAACGGAAATACAAGATTTAGGTTTCAAAATTTCTATGTTAAATTAATTTTTGCCATTTGTGAAATACTCAACAGTTGCACTACAAGTACCAACACTAGCACTACACTATTCAGTGCTCTGCACAGGAAGATGGCAGTAAGACCGAGATGCTGTTTGAAAAAAAAACTGAAATGACTACTGATGTGGCCAATGAATAAGTATCAAAGAGCCTTTTAATGGTATGGACAAAGGTAGCACCTTAGAAGGGTTTAGGAACAGAAACCTCAATGTCTAATCTAAATCCAACTTCATAATACAGGGTGGACCCTGATTATGAACATCCAACTTACGAACACAATCCCAGAAAGTAGTGTAGTTTTAAAGGCCTGACAAATGATCATCTCCTGTACTTACTAATGGCTCCTGTATTTTGTCAGAATACAATACAGGACTTGTGTGCAAATTAAAAGACTCCAAATTAGAACCCATTCACAACCTGGGGACTGCCTGCATAATGATCAGAGTGTCTTTAGCATGTGCACTTTATAATAGCTAAGGAGTAGATATTTTATATGGATATCCTTCAGAAAAATTATCACTTTCTGCTCTCGTGACATCAAAGAGGAAGCACAATCTTTCAAAATCTACACTTATGTAGCACTCATGATATTAGAAGTCTCTAATCTAGGTACCCTCTAATGACATTATGGGTTTACCTACAGCAAATAGACTTCAGAAATTCAGGAAGGCAGCTCACCATTACCTTCTCAAGGGCAGCTGGGATCAGCATATCAATGAACAAAAGGAAAAAAGCATACTATGAACTACATTTGAAGTGCTATGATTGTTGTGACACAGGTAAATGCAACAACAATTCTTCATCAGCAGCAACCCATAAACAGACACGAGAAAAATAACCTTTTACTTAAATTTAGCTAAATGGGAAGTAGGTAGAACATTGGCTTGAGCTCCTTACTGTTTTAGTGTGTTCTGAGAATTTGAATACCTACCTAAGTGGATGAAATAAATGGACAGGATCTTGTCTGAACATCATCCTATCCAAAGGATACTTCGAGTTGTCATGAAGCTACTTAAACGACTTTCATTAAAATGACTGCACCTATTTGAAGTATTTTTCCCTCCCTAGAAGTGGAGAGAAGGGCTGATAATTGGACAGGTTGGCCCTGGAGAAATAATCACAACCTTCAGACCAACTCAGCAATTCACCAATTTGGGACCCTCTTTTTTCTCAAAGTCCTTAAAGTGGTCAATAAGTGGTTAAAGAGGCCATAAGGGCTTCAACCTACCACCAGTTCAATTTTTTGCCTTCTCAGCAAGTGAGATAAAAGGCTGGCTTCTTGGCTGGGAAATCAGGGTGACTTGCCTGTCAGGTTGGGCTGTTGACGAAGGTCACCAATTATCCCAAGCTGGGACCAATGAGGGCATGGACAGGGCCACGGAAAGCCATTCAGGTTCTTGGCTCCGAGCTCTGCCCCCAGCTGTCCTCTCCAAGAGTCCCAAACTACCAACTTGCCACCAGACCCTCTGAAACCTAGGCCTCCAGAGGTGATTTGTAGGACCCTGAAGCTGCAAACCCGACTGGCTGGCAAATTTCTGGCAAGGCAAGACATCTTCCAAGTTTTTGCTTCATTAGTCAAATAGAGTGAGATGCCAGCAAACATGTCTACACCATACTTAGGCATTACAGAATTAGATTTCAGCCCTTGTCCGAGACAAGTATTTTCTGGTGAGATAAGCACAATCAAGTACACAGTAATGCCTCCTCCACTTTACTCTAGAATTACAGTTCTGCCTCCACTGCAGCTAACAATAATATCTCCAGTTATGAAAGAAATTTTGTACTTAGCAACAACATGGTTAACAAAGCAGTTTAACGAAATCTGCAGGCTGGAAAATAATGCTTTGAACCATTAGTTTACAGGGTTACCTCAGATGGAAACAGCCTCTCATATACTTTCTTCCATAGATCAATAGGATTTCGTGCATTTATCTTCCCCAAGTCAATTTCAGTAGCTGGTGGAGACCCTGTGCATTATTTTAAAAAAAAACATATGATATGATAGGAAACTCGTATGATTCTACCATAGTGTTTGACTGCAGATTTAATATCATAATTCTTGCTCATCAAATTATATTAAATCTACCCCCGACACTAATGCATTTTTGGATTTTTAAGTCAGGGTATAATGTTGAATGTACAAATTATACCGAGTAAAAAACCAATTGGAGTGTGAAACATCTAAAAGAATACAGCAGGTATTGTTTAGGTTGCTACTGAGCTCCATAGACCAGGAAGGCCCCACGTTTGATTTTTCATTCTCTACTGATTTTGCCTGGGATGCAAGAATTAGCAACAATACAAACTTTATTTCAAGTCAATGAACTTTAATCAGATTTCATCACAGAAAACTCACTGACCTCAAACTCCGACTGTTGCTCTCTAAACAGAACCTGCCAGATCTGCTGAGTACTTTGTAAGTACTAAGACTTAATTTTGGTCAATTAAAGCATTCACAGAAATGCTTTGTGTTAAGTGCAAACAAAACTACAAAGAAATTGACCCTTAGAGTACCCACTCTCTTCAACTACTATACCAACTTATCTCTCCAAGAGATTCAAATATGCCATTGTCTCCTCACTCAATGCCAGTTTCAAAACTCTGTGCTGGTTTGGCTTCCACTCTAACCGGACTGATACACCCTACAACAGCTTTACGCATGAAAGCTTCGGCTTCTTTTGATTACTTCGTCCCTGGTGACTCTCAGCTAATTTGTTATGGTACATAGTTAACGGTAGAATAATAGCACACGCAGTCAGCTTTATTCAGATTTCCACTGATTTTTATGACATGCTTTGCATCTTGTAACACCTAAACAGGAAATTCCTGCTTGGGAGTGCACCCTAAGCAACCAACATACTTTGTCTTCACTTGCTCCCAGCCATTGGCATTCTATAGTTTACACCTAAATGGCTAGTGGATCCCTGAACTGCCACAGATGCAGGAAGAGTACCTTTCATGAACTTTTGTCCTACATGTTCCTATCATTAAGCTCGCCTATGTTTATTTCTGTAACAGAAATGTCTTGACTTTTTAAAAATTCTCATCCTTGAATTCAAATTTCTGCAATGACCTCACCATTCAAAACTCCCATTCTCTGAGCTGTTCCAAATTTGACCTCTTGCACATCTCCAGTCTTAACTGCTCCCTTATTCCCTATCATGCCTTCAGCTGGCTTACCCCAAAGCTCTGTAATTCTCCCAAGTATTTCTATCCCCGTCTCCTCCTTTCAGATGATCACTAAATTCTCTTTGAACAATGTTTTGGTCACCTGTTCTAAGATCTCAATGTTATTTAGTATAGTATTTCATCACATGCCCGTGAAACTATGTGGGATGTTTCACTACATTGGACATATCAATGCAAGTTGTTGTTCTTCTGAAGTTCTGTAAATGCTTCATTAATAGAGTTTGCTAGACTTCTTGGTAACATTGGTCTGTTTTGAATATTTAAAACAAGTTTAAATGTATGGAATAAATAGAAACAGTTCCTAAAATAAAAGAAAAGTAAGTGATATTGTGCGATAAATAGAATAAAAACACACACTACTGAAATAAGCAACAATAACAAAAAAAAACCGAATTCCATTTTAGGAGTTGAACATGGAGCTTTCTTTGCATCTATTCAAATAAAGGCAAAAATTTAATGCTGCAATAAAAGAATTGTGGCAGCAAACCATTTAAATAGTTATAAATATTTTCTGGGGCTTTAAAAAGGCTATGGTGCAAAATATCATTTTCACTCAAAAACATAACTGGCTGGTAGATTATTAACACAGGAAGCTTTAGGGCTGTTTGTCCAATTTTCTGATTTGTGCAAGTACTGTCATTATTACAGCAGAGTTGGTCCTTTATGACAAGGGCTCAGTGACCTCACCTGTTAATAAAAATGTTTTTTTCCCTAGAAAACTATTTGCTTCCAAATCACACTATTGATGCCAGGCAAGAAAAGCTATGCCCAGTCATATGAAAATCAGGAAGTGAATCCCCGGGACAATTTTCTATTTCTGATCTCCTTCCTTGTAGAAATAGAGCTATGGGAGATAGAACCTGAATTCCAATCATATTATTATAACTATTTTGGCCCCTCACTAGTATAACTTACTGTGTGGTAAAATAGTTCAGTTGCTTACTTACCAATCAGACTCAGTGAATCCAGACCAGCTGGAACAAACAGTGGCTTATTGTGCTCAACAGATACTGCTTTGCTGCAAAACAAAAAAAAACGATCTTGAGGAATGGCATGGTTAATTTTAAAAAGTGCTTGGGCTTTGTAAAATCATGGAAAGGAAGCAAAGAAAAACTGCTGGGCGGGCAGAGGGCTTCCTTCCTATTTCATTCAAGTGTGCTTTTTTGGGTTGAAAGACCGAATTCGGCAGATGGAAATCCACGAAGGTGACAAGAATAACAGCCTATATGTAAGAGTCCATTTTTTAAGAATGGTACCATATTTCCATGATTAATTTAAGTAGTCATCACACAAACACAGACACTGTAAGCAAAATATACATGTTGCTCACCTTCTGTCAGTGCCAAATGCCAAATGATTTAGGATTGTCCGCATTTTAGATATTGTGCTTTCCACTTTATTGCTGAAAAACTGAATTTATGACTTTTTAGGATTCGACATGAACATTCCTCCTCTAATTTCCAACTAATTCACATATTGAAATACTTCAAGGCATAAGAAAGATTAAACATAAAAAAGCGAAAATAATATTTTGAGTGTTGAGTATATTTTTGTTTATTTTCCTCTAGAGATGTTATATCCAAATAACATTAAGTCCAAAATGACGGAATGAAGGTCAAGAATATTTCATAAAATAGGTTTACCAATGTTTCTCAATCCAATTCCTACTGATTGTGAATTCAGAGCACTACACTACCAAGTTTTTTTCCATGGCAAAACTAGCAATCTAACTCACATATCCCAAACAAATGATAGGTGTGAGAAATGGAAAGGCAGCTTTCTTCAAAAATCCAGGCTGATTTACACTGTTGGAACAGTGCAGAACAAATTTTGTTTTTCATCTAGTCCATTCCGTAACCTTATCTAAAATATAAACCATCTAAAATTGAGATTATTAGTATCAATGACAATAATCTCTAACTTGAGCAACAGATGACTAGCTGCTGGATTGGATCAACATGTAACCAGCATGTAAATTGAGGGAGACAAATTGCTTTCATAACTGTAAGAAAGGTTTATAAATGGCACCCTGTCCCTGTGATCCTCTTGCTCTCTGACAATGCACCTATCGTAACCATAAACGAAGGGGGCCAAAATAGCATGTCAAAGGAGAAATCAATTCCAAATACCATTACATAAATAATCCAAACATACCAACAATGAAGCTCCATAATAATGAGCCACAAAGCGCAGTGTTTTGCAGATTACTTTCCTCTTTTCAGATTCAAAATCCTGTAGAAAGGACCTAATGGTTAACAAATCAATACAGCTACCAATATTGATCACAAAAGTAATTAACTAGTGAAATTGCATCAATTAAAACTGATACTGTGTGATTTGCACTGTACCTGAAATATATCATATTTGCTCCCAATTATAACAAGAGGAATGGGAAATGGATCAATTAGTTCCCAATCCTGTAGGAATTTGAAAAGAAATGAAAAAAAGTAGTTTAATGCTTTAGGTTTACATACATTTTGGTAGATGTGAACAACATAGCTAGAAAAATCCACATAATTCAAAATATCTGTACGAAATTGAATTGAAACACACCGAAGATTGACTTCAAACAGTTCCTAGAAAAATCATTTGACAGGTCTAGCAAAGAGCTGTTGTAGAAACACCAAAGAACAAATTTCCCAGTACATACATAAATCTTTACAAATAAATTGCAGTTTATTTTACCCAAAAATGATTAAAACAGGAGATTACTGCAAGTGTTATCTGAAACCAAGGTTTCTGAGACAAAGGGGTAAATGCACAAAATGCTGTACAACAATCAAATTTTAAAACAACTTTTGACATTCCCTCTTAAAACAGAACACCTGAGTAGAGAGGTTTTTGAAGCTAACAATACCCTCTATAAATTGTTTCATAGAAATGTAGCAAGCTGACAAATAAATAAGCAATACTAATGTTTGATTGTATGTGAGTTTGTGTTTGTGTAACATTACTGCCAGTCACAAGACGTTTAATGACAATTTGATTGTTATCTTTAAGAAATTAGACGAATCAATGAAAACTCAACACTCACATTCTAAAATAAATACGATGTGGAGGTGCCAGTGTTGGACTGGGTTGGACAACATCAGACATCACACGACACCAGGTTATAGTCCAACATTTGTAAACACAAGCTTTCAGAGTTTTACCTCTTCTTCAGGTGTTAGTGAGAGAGGTAGTATCAGACACAGAATTTATAATTAAAGGATCAAAGGGTCACACCACTGATGAGGATGTACTAAACAAACCTAAGATGCTGTTAAATCTTTAATCAGTCAGAAAGTTTTAATTGACTAATATGTATATGTAAATCCCTGAATTCCTTTGAACTCACTGTCCTGAGAGAACTAAAAGCTTTCTCAATGTAAAGAAGAGATGACAGGTTTGAGGCCTTGTTTAGAATCTACTTGTGTTTTGGTTTGGATTCAGACTGGTTTTATTACTAAAGTAGGAATTTATAAAATGCCACATTGACTGACTGCCAATAACTTGTGTGCTTTTTGAATAAAATAGAATATATCTGCAAATACAAATTAACCCCATAGATTCATGTGTGTGTGCATGTGTAAGGGAGAGAGAGTGAGTGACTGAGTGTGTGAGAGATTGTGGGTGTATGAGAGAGGATCTGAGTGAGTGCGCGTGTTTGTGTGAGTGTGCGTGTATAGTGTGGTGAGGTCACCTGTAGTGCGACATGAACCCAAGATCCTGGTTGAAGCCACCCTCATAGGTACCAAACTTGGCTACAAAAACAAAGTTGCTGGAAAAGCTCAGCAGGTCTGGCAGCATCTGTGAAGGAGAAAACAGAGTTAATGTTTCGGGTCTGGTGACCCTTCCTCAGAACTGATGGTGGCTGGGAAAACGTCAGTTTATATGCAGAAAATAGGGAGGTGGGTGGGGTAGGGAGTAAACGATAGGATAAAGCCCAAAGAGAGAGAAAGACAGTTGGACAGACAAGGAGTTGCTAACGATCAGGCTGGGAGGGTGAGTAGTTGTTAATGGGGATTGTTAGTGACTAACAACAGGGGGTGTGTAGTGGCAGGCTATGTGGTAACAAGGCCTGGTGTGTGGGGTGGGGGCCTGGGACATAGGAGAGTTTAGGCCCTAAAATTATTGAACTCAATATTGAGTCTGGAGGGCTGTAGGGTCCCCAAGCGGAAAATAAGGTGTTGTTCCTCCAGCTCACGTTGGGCTTCGCTGGAACACTGTAGCAAGCCACAGACAGAGATGTTGGCCAGGGAGCAGGGTGGTGCATTGAAGTGGCAGGCAACAGGTAGTTCAGGGTCAACAAAGTGCAGAGCTGGATGAACACAGCAGGCCGAGCAGCATCATAGGAGCAGAAAGGCTGATGTTTCGGGCCTAGACCCTTCATCAGAAAATCAGGTAGTTCAGGGTCTTTATTGCAAGCAGAACGTAGATGTTCTGCGAAGTGGTCGCCAAGTCTACGTTTTGTTTCCCCAGTGTAGAGGAGACCACATTGTGAGCAGCGAATGCAGTAGACTAGATTCTTGGAAGTGCAGGTGAAGTGTTGCTTCACCTGGAAGGTTTGTTTGGGCCCTTGGATTCTGGGGAGGGAGGAGGTAAATGCGCAGGTGTTGCACCTTCGCCGGTTACAGGGGAAGGTGCTGTAGGGCTGTGGGATGGTGTTGGGGGTGAAGGAATTGTGGACCAGGGTGTCCTGGAGGGAACGGTCCCTGCGTAAGGCGGACAAGGGAGGGAAGGGGAATACGTGTCTGGTGGTGGCATCTTGCTGGAGGTGGCGGAAATGGCGTCTGATGATCTTTTGGATGTGGATGCTGGTGGGATTGTAGGTGAGGATAAGGGGAACCCTATCGCTGTTGCGGGAGGGAAGAGAAGGGGTGAGGGCAGAAGTGCGGGAGATGGGTCGGACCCGATTGTGGGCCCTGTCGACAACAGAGCTGGGGAATCCTCGGTTGAGGAAGAATGTGGACATTTCGGAGGCTCCCTTGTCGAAATTGGCCTCATCTGAACCAATAGCCAAACTTGGCTATCAGCCTCTGCTCGGCAACTCTGTGTTGTTGTGTATCCCAAAGTCCACGTTGGAGGACATTTACCCAAAGATCCGAGGCCGAATATCCTTGAGCGCTGAAGTGTTCCCCACTGGGAGGGAACATCCCTGTTTGGCAATTGTTGCACGGCATCCATTCATCCACTGTTGTAGTGTCTGCATAGTTGTGCCAGTATACCATGCCTTGGGGCATCCTTGTCTGCAACGTATGAGATAGACAACTTTGGCCGAGTCACATGAGTATCTGCCATGCATGTGGTGGGTGGTGTTCCCACGTGTGATGGTAGTATCCATATCGAAGATCTGACATGTCTTGCAAAGTTTGCCATAACAGGGTTGTATGGTATTGTGGTCGATGTTGTTCTGAAGGCTGGGTAGTTTCCTGTGAACAATGGTCTGTTTAAGGTTTGGTGGTTGTTTGAAGGCAAGAAATGGAGGCATGCGGAAGATCTTGGTGAGGTGTTCATCATCCTCGACAATGTGTTCAAGGCTACAAAGAACGCGGTGTAGTTTCTCCACTCCCGGGAAGTACTGGATAATGAAAGATACCCTATTGGACGTATCCCGTGTCCTGAGGAAGTCATTACGGTTTTTCACTGTGGCACATCGGAACTGGCGATCGAAGAGTTGTGCATCATATCCTGTTCCTATGAGGGCATCCTTCAACACCTTCAGGTGTCTGTCTCGTTCCTCCTCATCCGAACAGATCCTGTCCATGCATAGGGCTTGTCCATAAATACAAGCAGCAAGCTTTGATTATCACCTCATCTAAAAGCTTGGTCAATTCTGGAAATAACTGTGATTACATTGTGGTTATCCTTGCAAAGGTTTTCATATTCAGTGCTGATTCAAAAGCAAAATACTACCGATGCTAGAAATTCAAAATAACAACAAAAAAAAACTGGAAAAAACTCAGATCAGGAGGTATCCCCTCAGATGTAAATAAATTTTTAAAACCTTATGTCTGCCCTAACATCCGTGTACATAAACCTATTTCTGTTATTATTTTTCTTGTGATATTACAATTGGAAACTGCTTCTGTAAGTACACTCTTGCATTTCTTAACTTCTCAATTTGTACTAAGCGGAAACCTTACTTTTCTGTCCATCAAATTACCAAAACGTTTGTTATTTAACTGTAAATTATATAAAATTATATTCCAAAAGAAGAACAGATGATTTCTTTAAAACAAGAACTGCTTTACATCTGTGTGACCTGCTCCAATTATCCTCTACATTCTAATCATGCTTCATCTGAAAACTACATCTGGTCTTGACTGGACATGGACTGGACAAATAAGCTCAGTTATAGATACAATTCTTTGAGCAAGTTTTGAGTGTTAGATTACTGATACTAGTATGCAGGGTTAAAAGAATAATTCTCCAAATTTAGACTCACCGGGTGATTCCTCTGCAATGTTTTCCAGGTCCTTTGCTTGAAGTCATTTACATTTATGGAATCCTTCTTGCCCAGTTCATTTATAGTTGTGTTTATATGGTTTTTTGTCACATCCAGCAATTTCTCCATGCTTAGCCATAGGTCATTGGGCTTGGAAAGGTCCAGAACCAAAACAATAGAAAGGGTCCTAGTTCAATTGGAACATTGCAAATGCTTTCAGTGTATTTAAAAATTGGTAACAAGTAGAACCCTTCCTTAGGGTTCACATCTTATTACATTCATCTAAGCTGATTACATAAATTCCAAGTGACAAAAGTTGTATATTCTGCTATATTAGCCAACAAATTGTATAATTATGGTACCTGACCAACATAACATAGATTTTCTTCCTCGCGAGGAAGACCCAATAAATTCAAACTTCCATATATTAAATGAAGTAATTAATGCCACAACTTTTAATGAATGAAACAAAACAAAATATAGAACAAGTAAACAAAAGTGAACTATTTTGTGAACCCTTATTATCTAAACCAGAAAATCTTAGATCAGTTCCCATTCCATGTTTAATTCCACCTAAGAGGTTTCTCTATACTTTTCAGGATCTTGAAGACTCTTTCAGTTCTACTGAAACGAACCTAAGGTGTGCTGCAGTTCTTAGAAATTCATTTTAATTCTCCTCATTTTCCCAGCCTGGTAGTTAAAGTTCTAAAGTTCTCCCACTCTGTGAGGAATCCACTGCTAATCTCTTCCAATACTGTTGCAAGGTCAGAAGTCACAATACCAGGTAACAGTCCAACAGGTTTATTTGAAATCAAAGCTTTCAGAGTGCTACTCCTTCGTCAGGTGAGATTCACTTAACGAAGGAGCAGCGCTCTGAAAGCTTGTGATTTCAAATAAACCTGTTGAACTATAACCGGGTGTCGTGTGACTTCTGACCTTGTCCATCCCAGTCCAACACTGGCACCTCCACATCAATACTATTCCAAGGCAGATCTGGCTGTTTTAATTTCTCATGCACTTTACTTTTCATTCTGAGTTTGGGCCCCATTGGCAACGTCTCCTTACTGACTCTAGATCAAAAACACCTCCAGTAAGAGGGTGGCACAGTGGTTCAGTGGTTAGCACTGCTGCCTCACAGCGCCAGGGACCCGGGTTCAATTCCACCCTCAGGCGACTGTGTGGAGTTTGCACTTCTCCCCCTGTCTGTGTGGGTTTCCTCTGGGTGCTACGGTTTCCTCCCAATGTCCAAAGATGTGCAGGTTAGGTGGATTGGCCATTCTAAATTGCCCGTAGTGCTCATGGATGTGTAGATTAGGTGGGTGCTCTGAGGGTCGGTGTAGACTTGTTGGGCCGAAGGGCCTGTTTCCACACTGTAGGGATTCTATGAAATTTCACATAGCCTCTAAGTTAATTGTTTTGGCTGCTGACAGATCCATAATTGCAAACTAACATCGATATCAGCTTTTCCACTGCCTTCCAAGAAGTTTCTGCTAATTTCTGGGACAAAACATACAGATAAATCCTGCATAATAGGGCAGTTCCTGCAAACTAGCCCATGGCATGGAAAGTCCCAGATTGAGATTTAAACTAATCATCTTTTACCTTCAAAACAACCCTTAGATTCTGGGACCCACATGAATAATTTATATTTCTAGTTGAAATAATGGGCCTTTTGCATTAAGAAACTTAGTGTTGACAAGTTGATTTTACCTTTTTTAATTTGGGAATCTATGCAAATAATTTAGACCTCCCCCTTTCTATTCTAACGTCAAAGCATTTTTCAAAATGTCTTACTATATCTGGGTGCCTCCAGATAGATTCCCAAAGTAATCATTATAATCCAAGGTGTGAATACCTCTTACCATCACTCTCGCAACACAATCAAACTTTCCCTTTGAACTGCAATTATCCCAGGTTTGCTTGAATTCTCTTTAGGATTGTTTACCAGTTTCTCCATCAGAAGTTTTCCACTTATTAATATTCTTAACAGTCTATAATGTGGATAGAATGCATTTCTTGTGAAAAGAAAAGCTTGTATAACTAAATTTTATTCAGCTTATGGTTTAAACTAAAATTGTAAACATTGTGGGTGGAAAAGTATATAGGAGCAACAGAGCAGCAAGACAAAGGCCATACAATTCCTTCATGCAAACAACTTCAACATTGCTTTCCATATTTCCAATGAGATATTAAGCAGTCGTCAGGTATTTCCCTATGATACAAACTAAAAAGCAAAGCAAAAAAATAGCTTGGTCGTACAGAACTTAAGTATTACTGAAAAAAAAGACATGCCAGCTGAAGTTTATCACATTGCAAATATTAGGACAGAACTGAGAATACCAAACCTCAAACGGAAAAACAATTTACACTACACAGAATCATAGAGATATAAGCATAGAAACAGCCCTTCAGTCCAACTCATCCATGCCAACCAGATATTCTAAATTAATCTAGTCCCATTTGTTGACATTTAGCCCATATCCGTCTAAACTCCTTCTATTCATATACCCATCCAGATGCCTTTTAAGCATTGTAATTGTACCAGCCTCCACTACTTTTGCTTGCAGCTCATTCAATACATGCACGACCTTCTGTAAGAAAACACTGCCCATTAAGTCGCTTTTAAATCTTTCCCCTCTCACCTTAAATGTATGCCTTCTAGTTTTATACTCCCCAACCCTGGAGAAAACACCTTGCCTATTCACTCGATCCATGTCCCTCATGATTTTATAAACTTCTATAAGGTCACCCTTCAGCCTCCAACACTCCAGGGAAATTGCCCCAGTCTATTCAGCCTCTCCCTACAGCTCAAACCCTAACAACATCCTTGTAAAATAAAAACCGAAAGAACTGCGGATGCTGTAAATCTGACCAACATCTCTGTCTCTGGCTTGCTGCAGTGTTCCAGCAAAGCCCAACGCAAGCTGGAGGAACAACACCTCATTTTCCGCTTGGGGACCCTACAGCCCTCCGGACTCAATATTGAGTTCAATAATTTTAGGGCCTAAACTCTCCCATGTCCCAGCCCCCTACCCCACACACCAGGCCTTGTTACCACATAGCCTGCCAGTACACACCCGCTGTTATTAGTCACTAACATACCCTATTAACAACTATTCACCCTCCCAGCCTGATTGTTAGCAACTCCTTTGTCTGTCCAACTGTCTTTCTCCCTCTTTGGGCTCTATCCTATTGTTTACTCCCTACTCCACCCACCTCCCTACTTTCTGCCACCATCAGTTCTCAGGAAGGGTCACTGGACCCGAAACGTTAACTCTGTTTTCTCCTTCAAAGATGCTGCCAGATCTGCCGAGCTTTTCCAGCAACTTTGTTTTTGTTAACATTCTTGTAAATCTTTTCTGAACCCTTTCAAGCTTCACAACATCGTTCCTGAAGCAGGACAACCAGTGGCAATAGTGGCCTAACCAATGTCCTGTAGAGAACAGTACAGCACAGTACCGGCCCTTCGGCCCACGATGTTGTGCCAACCGATTATCCTACTAAGATCAAACTACCCTGCATACCTTACATTATACTATCATCCATGTGCCCATCCAAGAGTTGCTTAAATGTCTCGAATGCATCAGACTCCACTACCACAACCAGCAGCGCATTCCACGCGCCCACCACTCTCTGTGTAAAGAACCTACCTCTGACATCTCCCCTATACCTTCCTCCAATCACCTTAAAATTAATTAAAATCACCTTAAAGTCACAGCCATTTCCGCCCTGGGAAAAAGTATCTGGCTATCCACTCTATCTATGCATCTCCTTATCTTGTACACCTCTATCAAGTCACCTCTCATCCTTTTTCGTTCCAATGAAAAAAGCCCTAGCTCCCCCAATCTTTCCTCATAAAACCTGCCCTCCAGTCCAGGCAGCATCCTGGTAAATCTCCTCTGCATTCTCTCTAAAGCTTTCACATCCTTCCTATAATGAGGCGACCAGAACTAAACACAATATTCCAAGTGTGGTCTAACCAGGGTTTTATAGAGCTGCAACATAACTTTGAGGCTCTTAAACTCAATTTCCCTGCCAATGAAAGCCAACACACCATACACCTTCTTTACAACCCTATCAACATCGGTAGCAACTTTGAGGGATCTGTGGAAGTGGACGCCAAGATCCCTCTGTTCCTCCACACTGCCAAGAGTCCTGCCATTAACCCTGTATTCTGCATTCAAATTCGACCTTCCAAAATGAATCACTTCATACTTTTCTGAGTTGAATTCCATCTGCCACTTCTTTGCCCAGCTCTGCATCCTGTCAATGTACTGTTGCAACCTACAACAGCCCTCCATGCTGTCCACAACTCCACCAACTTTCGTGTCATTAACTTTGAGCTGCAACATGACTTCCCAACTCCTATTCTCAATGCACTGACCAAGAAAGGCAAGTAGTCAAATGCCTTCTTCATTATCTCTATCTACCTGTGACTCCATTTTCAAGGAACTATGAACCTGTACTCCAAGATCTCTTTGTTCAGCAACACTCCCCAGGACCTTACCATTAAGTGTACAGGTCTTGCCCTGATTTGCCTTTCCAAAATGCATTACATTTATCTAAATTAAACTCCATCTGCCACTCCTTGGACCACTGGCCCATCTGATCAACATCTTGTTGTACTCTAAGGTAACCTTCTTCGCTGTCCACTACACCTCCAATTTTGGCGTCATCTACAAACCTACTAACCATACCTCCTTCGTTCACATCCAAATCATTTATATGAATGACGAAAAGCAGTGGACCCAGCACTGTAGCACACCACTGATCACAGGCCTCCAGTCTGAAAAGTAGCCCTGCACCAGCACACTCTGTCTAATACCATCAAGCCAGTTCTGTATCCACCTATGCAGTTCTCCCTCTATTCCACTAACTGGTCTACCATGAGGAACCTTGTCGAATGGCTTACTGAAGTCCATATAGATCACATCCACCACTCTGTCCTCATCAATCCTCTTCGTTACTTCTTCAAAAAATCTCAATCAAGTTAGTGAGACACGGTTTCCCATACACAAAGCAATGTTGACTATCCCTTATCAGTCCTTGCCTTTCCAAATACATGTAAATTCTGTCCCTCAGGGTTCCCTCCAACAACTTGCCCACCACCGATGTCGGGTTCACAGGTCTACAGTTCTCCGGCTTTTCCTTACCACCTTTCTTAAATTGTGGCACCACTTTAACCAGCCTCCAGTCTTCTGGCCTCTTGCTTGTGGCTATCAATGATACAAATATCTCAGCAAGGGGCCCAGTAATCACTTCCCTTCGTCCTGGAGATTTATCCATCTTTATGCATTTTAAGATGCCCAGCACGTCCTCCTTTGTAATTTGGACATTTTTCAAGATGTTGCTATTTATTTCCCCATGTTCTATATCTTCCATATCCTTCTCCAAAGTAAACACTGATGCAAAATGCTCAGTTAGTATCTTCCCCATCTCCTGTGGTTCCACACATAGGCAGCCTTGCTGATCTTTAAGGGGCCCGATTCTCTCCCTAGTTACCCTTTTGTCCTTAATGTATTTGAGGAATCCCTATGGATTCTCCTTAACCCTTTTTGCCAAAGCTATCTCATGTTCCCTTTTTGCCCTCCTGATTTCTCTCTTAAGTATACTTCTACTGCCGTTATACTCTTCTGGGGATTCACTTGATCTCTCCTTTTTTTCAAACCAAAACCTCAATTTCTCTAGTCATCCAGCATTCCCTACTACTACCAGCCTTGTCCTTCACCCTAATAGGAACATAATGTCTCCGGACTCTTGTCATCTCATTTTTGAAGGCTTCCCATTTTTAGGCCATCCCTTTATCTGCGAACATCTGCCCCCAATCAACATTTGAAAATTCTTGCCTAATAACGTCAAAATTGGCCTTCCTCTAATTTAGAACTTCAACTTTTAGACCCAGTCTATCCTTTTCCATAACTATTTTAAAACTAATAGAATTATGGTCTCTGGACTCAAAGTGCTCTCCCACTGAGAACTTAGTCACCTGTGCTGCTTTATTTCCCAAGAGTAGATCGGGTTTTGCACCTTCTCTAGTAGGTACATCTACATACTGAATCAGAACATTTTTTTGCACACACTTAACAAATTCCTTTCTATTCAAGATCTTATTACTATGGCAGCCCCAGACTACGTTTGGAAAGATAAAATTCCCTAACATGACCACACTATTATTCTTACAGATAACCGAGATCTCCTTACCAACTTGTTTCTCAATTTCCTACTGACCATTGGGTCTATAGTACTATCCCAATAAGGTGATCATTCCTTTCTTATTTCTCAGTTCCACCCAAATAACTTCCCTGAATATTCCCAGGAATATCCTAAGTAAAGGCATAATGTTTTCTCTAATCACAAATGCCACTCCCCCTCCTCTCTTGCTACCCTCACCTCCTCTCACGTAAAGGTCTGAAATTTCTGAAGAAGGGTCTTGAACCAGAATGTCAACTTTCCTCCTCCTCCTCTGATGCTGCCTGGCCTGCTGTGTTCCTCCAGCTCCATACTTTGTTATTTCCAAAACAGCATACTTGTTTGAGAAGGGGATAGCCACAGGAGACTCCTGCACTATCTGCGTCCCTCTCCTACCTTTCCTGGAGGTCACCCATCTGCATGACTGTATCTTTGGATTATTTCCCTCCTTACAACTGCCACCCATTACACCTGCTAGCTGCTGTAAATTTCTCATTGTCTCTAATTACCGCTCCAACCAATCCATGTGATCTGATAAGATTTGCAACCAAACACACTCCCCACTGGCATTATCACCAGTAACACTGAAACCCTCCCTAATCTCCGACGTCCAACAGGAAGAGCACATCACTCTATTTAAAGGCCATCTTTGCACCTTAACAATCTACAGACCCTACTACTTACTGCTCTAAAAACACTGCTCAAGGAGAACTTATTACCTAAGTTTTTTATATTTTTAAAGTTTAATCAAGAGACAGATCTCAATAAAAACATATAATCAAAAAAGAACTCACTCACTCCACTCACTATTGTAGATTTACAAAAAAAAAGGTTACACTTTAAAACTAGCTACTTAACTGCTCCCCTGCTGTGAGCTCCCCTACACAGGTTTCTCCAAGGTCAGCCATGAATTTTGCTGTTTGTTTATTTTTCTTAGAACCAACTCCAATGTCCAGAGGTCCTTGAAACCAAACTAAAAAGGCAGTTAGCTGTGCAGGTTACTGCTCCATTTGAATCACTTCCCATGTGGTCACTACCTCTGTCTCTCTTCCTCCTTTTTAAAGTGCCTTTGTTTTGAACTTTTTCCTCCCAAAGTTCCAAAACAATGCAACAGCTTATAATATAGTAATTACTGCTCCTAGAATTCGAGGAAATCAGCTCCAACACTGAAGATACCTCAAAAAAAAAGGAGCACCTCCTACAGACACAATTTTTTCCCATCTTCCATCTTAGATTGCCCAGAATCCATGAAAAGACGATGTTGATTAGTTGGCAAGCAAACCCTTGATTGATAGATGCAGCAGGGAATAGTTAACTGCTAAGGCTTTGTTTAGATTCAAATTGATTCTAAGGCATTGCCACAAGGAATGCACACGAAAATGGTTCTCCTCCAAGCTTTAGTTTGGTTGAAATAGGCACAATTTATGGGCTTTATCCTTCATTTGCAAGGAGTGCATCTATGGTACTTTCCCCATGGCAATGCCTTGACGAGTTACACTCAAACTGCCAGGTTTGAATTCAAACAAGGGTCTGGCAATCAATGTTCCAAGGTGCATTCTCCATGGCAATGTTTCAATCAATCGGAGTCAATCGATCCCTAGAGTCCACTTGCTAATTAATCAGCACTGTTCAGTCACATTGTATAAATTGTTGGTTCCTTTAAGATTTGGTATTCTTGTGACTCTATCCTGATGAGTGCAAGATGAAAAACTTCAAAAGCACATCTTTTCTCAGTGGTACTCAAGGATAAATGATTGCAACAAGGATATTCTGGTAAACACTGAATTTTGCTTTGCTTTCTAATGTTTTAAAGCAGTATTTAACCTCAGAATCACACAAATACAAACCTTATGCTGTCAACGGTGATTGGAATCTGAGCAAGATCAGATAACGATGTTCCACCACCTAGTTCCCAAAAATGAGCAATGTCCTTTGGCTGCAAAACAAGTTTTTAGTACAAAGAAAGATAACAAATTAACAGTTTCATATCACCATACAAAATCCTAAACTGATTGTTGTCCATTACTTCAATTATATTATCATTTCTTTTCATAAAAATTATCTGGCACCAAATCAATAATTATTTTAAAATTGGACATATGGTTACTTGTAGCACTTGAGAAAACACAGTGTGGAGGTGGAGGAACACAGCAGGCCAGGCAGCATCAGAGGAGGAGGAAAGTTGACGTTTTGGGTTGGGACCCTTCTTCAGAAATCTCCAGCTCCACACTGTGTTATCTCTAATTCCAGCATCAGCATTTCTTACTACACCTGAAACATTTGCACAGTTTCATCAGATTCTACCAGTAGGTGGCATCAGCATACTACACTTTGCAGTAAAACAAAATACTGGATAATGCACTACATTCCCAATTTTTCATAATCACGTTTTGTATGCAGGCCCTTATCAGAACTCAGTTCTTCAAACCCTCATATCAATCTACATTCAAAATGTTCGCCCATAATCATTTCAGATTTCCAGCATGCCTTTATGTTGATTGCATAATTGCTTATTATGTCAATGCCCTCCAGTGGCAGAAAATTAGTAGTATTGATCAAGCAATTATCACCAGAAATGCAGTTACATTTTACTTTTAAGACTGAACCAAAAGAAAAAAATGAATTTACGTTGCAATACAGTCGTAGAGTCACAAAGCACGGAAACAGACCTTTCTGTCCAACCAGTCCCTGCCAAACATAATCCCAAACTAAGCTAGAGATAACACAGTGTGGAGTTGGAGGAACACACCAGGCCAGGCAGGATCAGAGGAGCAGGAAAGTTGACGTTTCCGGTGTGACCCTTCTTCAGAAATGGGGAGGGGGAAGGGAGCTCAGAAATAAATAGAGGAGGGGTGGATCTGGGGAAGGTAGGTGGGATAGTGATAGGGGAGTGCAGCTAGGGAGTGGTGGGGATTGGTCAGTGAGGTGGGAGAGAAGATGGTCAGGTTGTATCAGGTCAAGGAAGCAGGGATGAAAAGGAGGGTTGCTCATGGTATGAGGCTGGGGGTGGGGAGATTTTGAAACTGGTAAAATGATTTTATATTGGACTTTATATAAGAGACATGTCAGGTTATAAAGAGATCTGTCATTTTTGTTAAGAATATCACTTGCATTACACAAGTCTTGAATACAATGTAGGTGCCTTCAAGTTAAAAACACTATCCAAATTAAGTGGGATATAATTAAAGGATTTTAATGCATTTATCAAAAAGAAATGCTTGATCTGGCAACATGTGGAAGAATAGATAGATCAGTAATAATTTTTTGGTACGTTTTGTTTGGAGTTCTAAAGCAGTTATAAGAGTTAAAAGGTCCAAATAAAAGTATATCAGTTTCAAGATCCTCAATACTGGTTTCCTTTGGAATACCATATCCCATGACATTGACAATTACAGAAGGTATATTTAACATTCTCCATATGGTTACTATAGAAAATGCCATCTTGAATAAGGCTGTATCATTAAAAGAGTATGGTTCCCAGATATTTAGCTATGCAAACCCATTTACAACCTCATCCACAACTCCAGCTACAAATCTTCTCAAAAACTTTGAACCCATTTAATCAATAATCTGCCTCACAATAAGAGAGTTATATCCTATTACAATTACTCAGATTACTTTGTCTTCTGATTGCCTTCTATTGATTCCTCATTATCGGTCAAGTTAGTAGGGTAGACAAATATCAGCCTTAGTTTCTTTGAGAAAAGGAACTTGGCATCAAAAGTTGACTCTAGGCAACAATACCTGTTGCTTTCCGGTATCAAATTAATCTGCTTTAACACAGAAATGCCAGTACATACAGTATTATGTCCTTTTGCTCTTCTTCCAAAAGTATATTCCAAAGCTAATGTAGGCTTCGGGATTTCATCCCTGTAAAGGTAAGTTCATGGCAAGCGTTATAATAATTTATTTAATATTGTCACACTAACACTATCAAGTTTTTATTGTTGCTCTGGACTTGTATCTAACAGTATAAAAATAAAGCCAAGTCAAACGGAGAGCTGGGGCAGGGTTTTGACTCCAAAATGGCAGCTAGAACAGGGACATATAGGCATAACATTTTCAAATACCAGCCACTGTGCCGGTTCCCTGTGATTGTCCCAATTCCTGGTCATTTTCCTAAGAGACAATTTTCCCCACATCAATTGAGAATTAGTCATCCACTGCCTTAAAAGCCATTGTTCAGAGTGTCCAGACACAAAGGGGAATATCACCAAGCTTTCAATGGTTAAGTTGCAGTAGGTCCAAATTCACATTCTAGGACTGGAGACAATGTGCTCAGCTGCTTTGTGACTCAGTCCACTGGATTTCAGAAATTAACACATACCTGTCAAGAAATCGGAGTATAATTGTAGTTTTTCCCTGTAAATTAATGCAAAATGGTAAGAATTTCATTTTTTACACGTACATTTTTTTAAACAAGCCAAGTTAAACATTACTCAGAATCAAAAACAAAGTTGCTGGAAAAGGTCAGCAGGTCTGGCAGCATCTGTGGAGGAGAAATCAGAGTTAATGTTTCGGGTCTGGTGACCCTTCCTCAGAACTGATGGTGGCTGGGAAAACGTCAGTTTATATGCAGAAAATAGGGAGGTGGGTGGGGTGGGGAGTAAACGATAGGATAGAGCCCAAAGAGGGAGAAAGACAGTTGGGCAGACAAAGGAGTTGCTAACGATCAGGTTGGGAGGGTGAATAGTTGTTAATGGGGACTGTTAGTGACTAATAACAGGGGGTGTGTAGTGGCAGGCTATGTGGTAACAAGGCCTGGTGTGTGGGTTGGGGGACTGGGACATGGGAGAGTTTAGGCCCTAAAATTATTGAACTCAATGTGGAGTCCGGAAGGCTGTAGGGTCCCCAAGCGGAAAATGAGGTGTTGTTCCTCCAGCTTGCGCTGGGCTTCACTGGAACACTGTAGCAAGCCGGAGACAGAGATGTTGGCCAGGGAGCAAGGTGGTGCATTGGAGTGGCAGGCAACAGGTAGTTCAGGGTCTTTTTTGCGGGCAGAACGTAGATGTTCTGCGAAGCGGTCGCCAAGTCTACGCTTCGTTTCCCCAATGTAGAGGAGACCACATTGTGAGCAGCGAATGCAGTAGACTAGATTCTTGGAAGCGCAGGTGAAGTGTTGCTTCACCTGGAAGGTATGCTCAGAATCAATTTGCTCTGAGAATAATCAATTTGCTGGAAATCAGTATACAAAATAAACATATAAATATTATCTAAATAAAAACCAAAAGAACTCCGGATGCTGTAAATCAGAGACAAAAACAGAAATTTCTGCAAAAGCTCAGCAGGTCTGCAGCATCTGTGGAAAGAAATCAGAGTTAATGTTTCACGTCGAGTGACCCTTCCTCAGAACTGATGGTAGTTCTGAAAATGTCAGTTTATATGTAGAAGTTAGGGTGGGTGGGGGGTAAGGAGTAAACGATAGGTGGGGATAGAGCCCTAGGAGAGAGGAGAATAGTTGGACAAAGGGGTGGATAATGATCTGGCTAGGAGGATGAGTAGCCATTAATGGGGACTGTTACTGGCTAACAATGGGTGTGTGTAATAGCAGACTATGTGATAACAAGGCCTAGTGTGTGGGGGTTGGGGTAAGGACATTGGAGAGCTCAAGCCCTACAGTTGTTAAACTCGATATTGAGTCCAGAAGGCTGCAGAGTCCCCAAACAGAAAGTGATGTGCTGTTCTTCCAGCTTGCATTGAGCTTCGCTGGAGCGCTGCAAATCCCCCCCACACCAGACCTTGAAAAGCAGAAAGGCTGATACTTTCCATTGACAAATCTAATGGCAAGGTAAATACGATACAGATATCACAGGGTTGATCTTTTATTCCTTGGTTATGACAGAAACAGTAAAGATTGCCCTCAATCTCTTCAACAGGGGACAAAACATCATGTTAAAAGAAAATTTAGAATAAAATCAATTCCAATTTATACATAAAGCCAAGCAAATTAACAGATTAAAAACGGCAATAAAATAAACTGTTACTTTAAAGAGCATTTTGAAACCAAAGTTTCATGGAAAATGAAGCAGCATCCCTGACTGAGATTTGGATGAATGCAACCATCAATGTGTCTCCAGTAAGTAACTGACCCCTTGATTTTTCCTGCCAATTTGTGAAAAAATAGTTTTCATTCAGCAGCTACTCTCGCCATTCATTAGAACTGCAGAGTGAGATTTGCAGTTTCTGCAATGCTATATACTACAGCTATTAGAATTCACTCCTGCACTCCTGCAATTGTACAACAGTATTTTTTTTGGAGGACGAGGGTTTGAAGACATATTACAAACACAGTTTTTTCGAAAGTAATCCTAGCCACTTACCCCACTTTTATTTCCCAAAAAGAATACAGATCTTTCCTTGACTTCCAGGTCTTCTTCATTTTCCTTCTCCTCGTTTTTCTTTGAAACTTGAGCCACAGCTATATCCCAGAGAGTGTCACTGTAGTTGAAAAAGACATCAATAATATTTAAAAACAAGAGAAATTGACATACCAGATCATTTTATCTTCTGGCACAATTAAAGCAAATTATTTCAATGCACCAATCATTGAAAACATTATACTACCAAAACTTAATTTAACAGACTCTTGAAAATGAAATTCTTATCCAAGATGAGTATGTTTTGTTTAGTGGTTTCAAATGATGACAAATTTGCTTGCACTGCCAATATCTTCTGTTATTATTATTCAAATGTTTCAATATTTTGGAGGATATTTTCTTTTTATATATTTACTTTGCAAAATGCTCTGGCCTTTATTTAGAAAATGGCTAACATTTGACTCTGCATATAATGCTTCAACTTTAAGAAATACTGATTAAAAGGACAAGATAATCCAGTTTTAAAAAAATTAGGACTGTTCACATTTCAGCAAAGTCAAGGAAGGCTCTTTCAACATGACTGTCCGAATAGACGGCAAAATGCCATCACGCCATTGAAAGAGCAGTTTTTTGATTTATTGACCAACATTTTAGCAGACAACCAAAATCACCAAAGAACATCACCTACTTATCTTTTGTCTCTGATTTAGTGACTATATTTCAACATAATTCAATGATTGGTAGTCCATTGCTTTGATTTACATTCCAAGAAATTTTTTTTAAAAAGCAGTAAACAATTGTACCTCTTTCCATTCCCCATAAATGCTCAGATTTTAGAAAGTATTAACAGAAAACGGTCGGAAGGATACCGGTAACAAGGGATATAAGCAAAGAACTATTCGAGGATAAAGGGGGAAGGTCATCGGATTAGCCGGATAATTTTCCAGACTGTTGTTAATGATCACATTCGTGACGACAGGTCACTACCGAGGCCAGGTAATCAGTGTTAGGAATGTAAGAGATTGGGAATGAAGAGGCATTGGGATGGAGGTCTATGGCTCCCAGACAAACAATGAGCTCAGGTTCCTCCTCCTATTGAACACTCCGCATCCAACTTCCCCCATAAGGGCCGTGACGGCTGCGCCTCCCTAACATTCCCTCGCCAAGGGCAACTACTCAGCGACGGTCACAAATGATCTTCACCTAGGCCGGGGCATCGCTTTAACCCGAGAATCCGACTCCCTCAAATCACAGGCTGCCCAGGCCCCGTTGCCGGGGAAACGGTGCTCCGAAGGCGCAGCGTCCCAACGCGACGCCGTGCGTCTTCGATCTGGGATTTGTAGTTCACCAAATCCACCGACATCATTGGAACTAAATTAAAAACCGAAAGCCTACTATCTCCAAAAAGTTCTGGAGATCACAGCGGATCAGGCAGCATTCATGGAGAGGAAGCAAGCTAACGTAGATGACTCTTCATCAGAGCTGGTGAAGTTTGAAGGGGACAGCATTTATGCAATAGCGAGGGTGGGGGCAGAGTGATGTGGAGTGCTGGGGGAGAAAGGGTGTTGATAAAGTCAGATAAATTGATCGGAATGTGAGAATGACAGAACAGTGGTGTGTCTAACAGTCAGACTGAAAAGGACAGACAGTCCCACTGGGGTGGGGGGACAGGAGAGAAGGTGACAGAGAGTGTAAAGGTAAAAGAAAGGGAAGGAATGGGTTCACAATTTGAAGGTGATGAACTCAATATTGAGCCAGAAGGTTGTAAAGTGCCTAGTTTTAAGATGAGATGTTGCTCCCCCAGTATTTAATTGTGATTTGCTGGGTAAGATGATCCAGCCGAAGCTCCTCTGCTCTGCCTGTTCTTTTTCTTTTTTTTTCTTTTTCTTTCCCCTTAGCCCCGGAGGTGAACCCTGGAGCAGCGAGTCCCCAGAGCAGCGCATGAGAAACCTGCCCCGGCACAGTGTGGGCAGCGAGTCCTGGGCAGAGACCGGCGTAGGGGAGGCAATCCTGGAACTTACCTTGGAGCAGCTGAGTGCTAGTACTGAGTGGACTGGAGGCTCAGAGTGGAGCATGGATGGCTATTGGACTGGGGTCTGGCGCAGGTGATCAGACCACGTGCAGAGGCCCTGCGATGAGCTGCACAATGTAATGTTTATTTGAAATTTTTTTTACCTGTCTTTGTAAAGTAATGCAACAACTTTTTATTCCTCTTTTGTATCCAAGATTTGTACCTACGTACTTGTACCTAAGTTGGTGCCATAAGTGGCAGACACTGTAAAAGCTTTTCACTGTACTTCTACAATGGACTACACATGACAGTAAAGGATATTCTATTATATTCTATTCATTGCAGCATGCTGAGGACAGACAAGTGGGCATGGGAGCAGGATGCTGTGTTAAAATGACTGGCTACAGGAAGGTTGGGGTCATGCTTGCGCATGGACTGGAGATATTCTGCAAAATGGTCACCTAGTCTGAGTTTGGTTTCTCCAATGTAGAGTAGGCTACATTGGATGCAGCAAATATAATACACAAGATTGGAGGAGGTACAGGTGAATTGCTCATTCACCTAGAAAGACCATTTAGGCCCTTGGATGGTGAGCGGGGAGGAGGTAAAGGAGCAGGTTTTGCACCTTCTGCGGTTACATGGAAGGGAATTGGTGTTGGTGGTCAAGGAACAGACTACAGTGTCCCAAAGGAAATGATCCCTGCGAAATGCAAACGGGGGAGTGAGGGGAAGATGTGTTTGGTGGTAGCGTTCTGCTGGAGTTGTCTGAAATGGTGAAGAATGATCCTTTGAATGCAGAGGCTGGTGGAATGAAAATTGAGGACAAGAGGTTCCGATCATGCTGTTGCGAGTGATGGGAAGGTGTAAGGGCGGATGCACAGGTGAAAGGTCAGATGCGGTTGAGGGCCTTGTCAACCAAAGTGAGTAGGAAACCACGGTTATGGAACATGGAAGCCATGTCAGCAGTGCTGTTTTGGAAGGTGGCGTCATCCAAACAGATACGATGTAGGCAAAGGAACTGGGAAAATGGGATGGAATCATTGCAGAACGTGGGTGGAAAGAGCTGCAGTGAAGATACCTGTGGGAGTTAGTGGCTTTGTAGTGGATGGCAGTGGACAGTTTATTCCCCGACAGACAGGTTTCTGGTTGTGAATTACATGCCATTTCTAGCATGCATTTTGAGCCACTTAATCAGCTTGACTACTTATCTGAAGTTGGTTGTTGGTGTACCTATCAAGACACTCAGGATTGTTCATCAAGTATTGCTCAACCACAAAATCGCATCCACCGGGAAACATTTCTTTTGAGTTTGCAACCACAGATTGTTTGAATCTATTCTCACTCTGCGTATTACTCAAACAGCCTGTGTATGCAAAACTCAAAACAAACCCTTAACTGTTAGTTGTAATTCCATGATGGGGAACATTTGCTGAACAATCTTGGAATTGTTAATAGCTACACTAACAATCCATTGGAGATAATCAGTCACATTCATAAAATGGCTCATTTCCGCTTCTCGAAACAACATACGTTTATACATAGGGATCCATATTCTGCAAAATGTTCAAGCCTTGCATGTTTATTGATTTTTTATTTTGTTGGAAGCCAATCATCTCAGTCCCAGGACATAATTACAGGGAATTCTGTAGTAAGTGTCTTGAGCCCTGTCATTTCTAACTGCTTCATAAAAATCTCTTTTTTTTTTCATTTGGTGAGATTTGGGGATGTTCTTTGATGATTGCACAGTATTCAATTTCATTTTCGAATAGTCAGATAATGAGGCAGTCTTTACCTTCAAGCAGCAAGATCTTGTGAATCTCCCAGCTCAGACTTTTAAATGTCAAATAACATTTGCACAATTGCACATGACACCACATTTACAAATTGGACAATGCTTAATTTTATAAGTCAACTTGTATGTCTAAATCTTAAGGTTTATTGTTTATTAGGGTTTTCAAAGTCAGCCCACTAGTGTAGCTTTAAAATTCTCGGCCTCTTAGGGATAACAAAAACAGAAAAGAAAAACATGAAAAAAGGTAAAGGAAAGCACCTCCCTCCCCTCCTCATCAAATTCATATGTTCACCAATTTTCCAGTAATTCTTAATTAGCTGATTAGATTAGATTAGAAATTTATTATCACATGCACTTTTACATGAAAAATACAGTGTAAAATTTTATAAGTCACACCACCACAGCACCTACATCAATGGTAGAAGTCATACATAATAACAAAAAAAAGTAAACTTAAGACAAATTTCATCACAGTTCAGTTAATGGCTCCTGGGCTCGGGAAAAGCCAATTAAGGAATGATGGAATACCAAAGACGCAACCGGGACAGGACCACCATTCAGGGACAAGACTGCCATGCCATGCTACTGGAATACTGGCTGGAAGCCTCCACTGAAGACTGCCATACCGGATTGAGGCTGCCACTCCTGAACAGCAAGGCCACTGGAATACCTGGAAGCCGAAGATGAAGAAGACCTCCACACGGTGATCACAGCTTCTCTAGGTTCTACTGCTTCTCACTGCCTACAGTGGGAAAGTTTGAATAATCAAGTCTGCTAACTTCTATATATGGTCCTGCAGATAGTTCAGGCATCTTAAAGATTGTAGGCCTTGACATTGTGATTACTTGAGGTGGGAACCACTAATTTTATGGTCTATTATGCAAGTCAATTCCTGGGAACCATACTTTTTCCTGAAGAATTTATTTGATTTTAACAATTCCCTGGTGACCTTCATAAGTTATATCTGCCACACATTGCCTCAATGATTATGGAGTGAAAATGTAGTCGCTGAGTTGTAACAGTGATGTGATTTCAAACACTGTGAAGATCTTGTAGAAGTGAGTGTTTTCATTTGTAACTCCTCTTTCAGTCATATATTTCCAGTTTCATTAATAAATCATATTGATTACTCTCTAATATTCTCTCCTAGTTCCCACACCACTGTATGGTTATCTTAAAACTTCACCAACGCTAGCAAAACTCTCTGTGAAGAACCTGGTCCTGGTGCTGTTCAGGTGTGAACATATGCCATGTCCCTCAGAGCTAGGTCCAGGGTCATAGAAATTTGAATCCCGCCATCCTGCACCATTTTTGCAATCACACTTTCATCTGTCCTAAAAGAGTTTAGTTTTCCAAAGGCTTTAGACTGTTTACAGTAGCAGAATATTCTATTTTGTGTGGATAAATATTGCTGAGGAAAATGACTTTGGACGGAAGCTATTCTGTCTGTGGGATTGCTGTTGTTGCTCTTCAGGTGGTTCCCTATCATGTTAGCAATGAACCATGTTCACGAGAGTTTAATTTGCATTATGTTAGTTACTGCTGACAGCCTCAACTTCAGTAGTTTTGGACTCTGAAAATGACAGAGATCTTGTTGTCCCCACCAATTCTGATAACCCTCTGTCTTTTTCAACTGTTTTTCCAGGTAGATGACCAGTGACACAACCTTTGTTGTTTGTGTTTTGATTTCCCACTTGGCAAGTTCAACATCACCAAAGCCTCATTTGGTTGTTATTTGCCTGAATTGTAAGCAATATTGGTGAACTATTTTGTTTGCTACTTGTTTAGTATTTTGGAAGGCAATTCTTTTGAAAATTGTATTTTTCTTGGGAATGAAATGGGTTCTTAGTGCGTTTTTGCTGAGTCAGAGATGTTTTTGTATTGCATGTATAAGTGCCTCAAAAAATTTAAAACAGAAGTAAGGCTTCTCTTCTTTTGTCATTTGTGAACAACACCAGCTATCACATCCTCAAAACATCGCGGCTACTTTTGCCAACATAGGAACACATGATGGCTCTAAAGGCACATCAGAACATCTTAGTTAGAAATGGAAAACATCATGCTGATCAGCAATGTGATGATAATATGTGATCAAGGATCCAGCGATAAGTCTCTCTGTAATGTTTTGACATTTTGGTTTGGATTCAATTGTTATTTTTGCCACTTTTTTTTTGCGTGTATGTGTGTGTGTGTGTCTGTCTGTCTGTCTACATGGTGAAGCACTTCCCAAGCTCATGTGCTATCTGTGTATCTTCCATAAATATGTGCAGAAAAAAAAATTAGTAAAGACAAATTTAGGTCCCTTGCATTCAGAAGCTGGAGATGTTACTATGGTGAACAAAGACATGGTATAAGAATTGAACACATACATTAGTTCTGTCTTCACGAAAGATGGCACAAATCACCTCCTAGAAATGTTAAAGAACCAAGGATCTAGTGAAAAGATGGCACTGAAGGAGATCAGCATCAGTGAGAAAATAGTGCTTGGGGAAATTGATGGGGTTAAAAACTGACAAATAATCTATAGCACAAACTACTAGAGGAAGTGGTCTTGGAAATATTGGACGCATTGGTGGTCATCTTCCAAAATTTAATTGACTCTAGAGAAGAATCATTCCTACAGACTGGAAGGTGGCAAATGTAACCCCACTATTTAAAAAGGGAGGGAGAGAAAAAAATAGAGAATTACAGATCATTTAGCATAACATTAGTCTTGGGGAAATTACAAAATAAGTGAAAGCAGAACATTTGGAAAACATTAACAGGATGGGACAAAGCCAGCATGGGTTTATGAAGGGCAAATCATGCTTAACAAATCCACTGGTGTTTTTTGAGGATGTAACTTGTAGAATAGAAAGGGAGAACTAGTAGAAGCAGTATGTTTGGATTTTCAAAAGGCTTTTGATAAGGTCCGACATGCAATGCTAGTGAGCAAAATTAAAACACGTTACTGGGGGTAATATATTGGTATAGATTGAGAATTGGTTGATAGACAGGAAACATAAATGTGAATAAATGGGTCCTTTTCTGAGTTGCAGGCAGTGACAACTGGATTACCCCAAGTATCAATGCTTGGGCCACAGCTATTCATGATAAGTATGTAAATGTCAGGAGTGTGATTGAGTACTCTACACTTGCCTGGATAGGTGCAGCTCAAGAACGTTGACACTAACCAGGCCAAACAGCCCACTTGATTAGTACCTCATCCATAAAATTTATTTACCCCACGCTGATGCTCAGTAGCAGCAGTATATTCCATCTGCAAGATGCACTGCAGAAATTTATGAAGGCTCCTTCAAAAGCACATTCTAAAACCAAAAATCAGCCATGATCATATTGAATAGTGGGTCAGACTCAACAGGTTGAATGGCCTACTCCTGTTCCTATTCACCAAGGCTCCTTAGAAAATCCCACAACCATTTCCATTCAGATGGACAACAGCAGTAGATAAAAGGTACCACCACCACCTGCAAGTTCCCCTCTAAGCTGCTCATCATCCTGACATAGAAATATATTGCGAATTCTTCATTGTCACTAGGTCAAAATCCTGGAACATTAGACCTGTTAATATACTTTATTTCCATGGGCTGGTAGTTTACCCTATGTTAATTATTTGTTTAATCACCTATGTGAATCACATTGCTCTAGGCAATGAAAATAGGGCAGGAACCCAAGATGTCAGAGCAGTCACCTCTCCCTTATTTCCTCTTGCCCCCAACTTCAGCTTGAGATCACCTGTTAATTTATTTCATGCTGATGATCATTTGTTAGCTCTTACCTGACATTTGTATTGATAAAAGGGTACAAAATGCTGCCCTATTGACTTAGGAATATGAACATGGAACTCTGAATCGGGAAACCGCAGCATTTCTAAAGATTGCTTAATATTTTTTTTTTAAAGAGACAAACATAAACAATTATCTGCCAAAGCGGCTTTAATCCATGACAACCATTACAATTTCACAGAATTCTACTGTTATTCTGAAAAATATCATGTATTTAAGGTCCTAATTCTCTCAGTCCCCTTTTGTGAAGGAAATACTTTACTGAAGTCTCATAAGTGATTTCCTATGAACCCAAGTACTTTTACAAACATTATAAAAACCGAAAGAACTGCGGATGCTGTAAATCAGGAACAATCAGTTCTCAGGAAGGATCACTGGACCCGAATCGTTAATTCTGTTTTTAACTTCATAGATGCTGCCAGACCTGCTGAGCTTTTCCAGCAACTTTGTTTTTATACTTTTACAAACATGTTTTTCTAATTTCATGATAAATCATCATTTCTTAACATGCTTGTGCCACTAGCAATATTTGATTACAATGGATGTATTTGGCCCTCTTCTTCTACCACTCACCTCACTCAACGAAATGCTTTACCTTTTGCATGACAGCTATTAACTTCGAGGTTATTAGCAGATAAATACATATAATTGAAGTAACAGAAGGACTTAAAAGATGCTCCAGCTCTCATTTCTCGATATCCATCTTGTGGGTTGTTTTTATTTATTGTTATTAATTATGATTATTTTGCCCTATCGTTCAATTGCTCCAACTGAGGCCCATTTAAGAGAGCTGGTTAGGTGACTCAGGCGGGGCGGAGCTTTGGTCCCGTCCAGAACCGGCCGTGGAGATGTGAGCGCCGTCAATAAAGTGTTCCTGTTGAGATTTGCCATTTGACTACCTGGTATATACTTTCTGGTTCTACACGAAGCACTAACATATCAATTACTATCTTGATTGTCTTCAATTTATCTGCGGACTATGTGCCCTGATGATGTAAAAATGTTTTCTTACTCTACAGGTCACATTACCCATTGTATGTTACACTGCTTGTCAAGTAGCTGAGCACGTCAGAGACTCATTTTCCTGTGCAGCATCACGATGCACTTCTGCATGTTAGGTACTTCATATGTAACAAATAGACTTGCAGTCCACCACAACTGTGTGTTCACATCAGTACCACAGTATTATGCCAATTTTCTTAAAAATGCTGCACTTCAGATGGTGGCTAACCAAAGCTTGACAGTCTTTTAAATAACTGTTTGTTGTGCCTGCTTTTTGCAATTATTGAACCTGAATAACTACATTTCTATGCTCATACAGTTCCTAGCTTTTTAGCATTTAGAAAGTACTCAAATCTATTCTGCTTAGTTAAAGAGGATGACCTTTCAATATTAAAATCCACCTGTCCATTCGCTTCAGCCATCAATGTTCTTCTGCACCTTTCTGCTGTCATTGACAGTAAATTAATGCTGTCAGAAAACCTATGTAAATGTTTTCGATTCCTCCAAACAGGTTATTTATGAATACAATGAAAAGCTGGCACTACAATAGACATTACTGGAGTACCACGAGTCATATCCTTCCGATTTGGACTCATTCATCCCTGGTGTATATCTCCTACTGTCCGTACAATTTCCTGTCTAAATCAGGGGTTTGCTTTTGATTCCATACTCATGTACTTTTTTATTCTCTTCTTCATTCTGTGTCACCATAATACTGGTTGATTACTCTTCTTCATAACCTCTGCTGAAACATCCATTCTTTTTCTAATCCCACTGTGTTTGTCTTTCACCACTGAATACTTCTGTTTGGTCTTAGGGATGACTCTTCTTTCCAGTCCAATCTTTCCTGCTCCTCTGATGCTGCCTGGCCTGATAGCACCACTACAAGCCCTCCTTCTTTTCACAACATATAATCATTCCATTTCAACTTCTCCTTGGCTACTTCCTTCAATGCTTCCACAATCTTCACTGACTCCTCAAGGTACTGGTTTCTGATCTTGTCCTTCCTCATCACTCCACACATCCATTGCGGCACCCAGATCTATTCAACGTACAATTGTTATGTTTCTCATTGTTGTCCAGGTTTGAGCACAAAATAAATTATGGTAGTGCATGTCTCCTCAGCTCATCAAAAACAACCTGAAACAGGTGTTGGGCTTTCTTAAATAAAATCATTAAGTGATCATTACTCCACCTACAGCCCATGGACAGCAGTGGTTCAAGAAGGCGGCTCACCAGCACCTTTGCAAAGGCAGCCTTAGGTAGGCAATAAATAGTAGCCCAGCCTGCAACACCCACATCCCACGAGTGAATTAAAAAAAGACAAACATTTATGATAAGTGACACCGTCTATCCAATAGTTTCAAGATTAATAAAACTGAGTTTGCTTTGATGAGGCACAATTTCAGTCTCTAATTACCATGCAGTACAAAATGTATTTCTGATAATGATATTTCACAGTATTACATTCACAACATATATCGCAACCAAGCAGTTTTATATTTAGCTATATTTATATGCGTCATGTACAGACAAGATGGTTAAGAAGGTGTTTGGCACACTTGCCTTCACTACTCAGTCCTTTGAGTATAAGAATTGGGACGTTATGTTGAGGTTGTACTGAATGTTGGTGAGGCCTCTTCTGGAATACTGTGTCTGGTTCTGGTTGCCCAGTTATAGGAAGGATATTATCAAACTATGGAGGGTTCAGAAGAGAATTACCAAGATGTTGCTGGGTATGGAAGGTTTGAGTTATAAGGAAAGGCTGGCTAGCCTAGGACTTTTTTCACTGGAGTGTAGGAGGTTGAGAGATGACCTGATAGAAGTTTATAAAATAATAAGAGGTATAGATAGAGTTGATGGTAATTGTCTTTCCCTAAGATGGGGAATTTCAAGACTAGGGGGCACATTTTTAAGGTAAGAGGAGAGAGATTTTAAAAAGACATAAGAGGCAATTTTTTTAAATAGAGGGTGGTTCTCTTGTGGAATGAACTTCCTGAGGAAGTGGTGGATGCGGGTACAATTACAACGTTTAAAAGACATTTAGATGTATGTATGAATAAGAAAGGTTTGGAGGGATATGGGCCAGGAGCAGGGAGGTGGAACTAGTTCAGTTTGGGATTATGTTAAGCATGGACTGGTTGGACCGAAGGGTCTGTTTCTGTGCTGTTTGGCTCTATCCCTCTATTACTAGCATTTGTATTTGGAAAACTAAGTAATTTTAACTTGATGGCAGATAACTTGTGAATCATAGGAGATTTAACATTTGCATAGTAAGAGGGTTAAAGAAACTGGTCTGTTTTGTGGACATTTTGTCAGTACTTTCCTTCTTTCTTAAGAGAAAACTTTGGGACATGTCTCAGACTTAGCCTTTTTTCTGTTACTTTAAAGCGGGTGTAAAACTACAACTCCCAGCGTGCTCTGTGTTCCCACGCAGGCGCAGTGGCTATTTTTGTGGTCTTTTGGCCGCAGTTCCTTTTTTAAAAAAAGTGCTATAAACTGCAATGGCTTCCAGGATATCATTTTCACAGTACAAATTAGAGGCAGAAATAGAAAAATGCAGAGGAGAATGTCAATGGGACAAAGTTCAAAACCTCGTGAAGCAACTACCTCCCAAAACTTCGGAAAACGGTAGGTTTTACGAAATCCAAGAGTACGCGGAGCAGTTTTGACCTTTGTTGCATGTTTTAAATATCTGTTTACATCTTTAAAAGTTGATTCAAGGATGAAGTCAGAGTTGAGAAAGCATCATTTTGGATGATCCATGTGAAGATAGATCTGGAGTTCTGAAATTAGCGCTGTGAAGATTATATATTGATTTGCAGAAACTCTGACATTGTTATTTCCAAGAATAAAGACACTTTGGAATTTCTCACCTTCCGCTTTAACTGTACCATATCTGAAGATACAAACCACAGTGACGTGTTGCACTTCTCTTTTGCCATTGAGTTTACTTCATAATTACTTACACAGAAGGTTTTCACCTTTCGGATTTTTAATATTTTTCTTAAACCATGTTGGAATGAATAAGGTTGCAGCCGTATTCTAGCTGTCAGTGGGGCCTCTTATAAATATTTATAATCTGCGTGAACTGTATTTAATTCTACGTTGATGCAACATGTTGCGTCTTTTTGGAAATGTGAAATAAAATCAGAAGCTATGAGCAATACTCAGATCAGGCAGCAGGGTTAAAGGGACCAGATTTTCATGGAGTGTGCAGGACTCCCTGGATATTTAAAAATGCTGCGCAGCACCCGAATGCAGAATTCCTGCCGTTATTTCTGACGAATCCCATTTTTGCCAGCAGGGGTATGCGGGTGAGGAGAGTTGGTCAGTCGGACTAGCGGGAATCCTGTAGTCAGTAGGGCCATCTGAATTTAATGCTGAGTTCAAATAGACCCCATTTTGACTGTGCTGAAGACCTTAACTAGCAGTGTGGCAATCATGAATTGACAGAGTTGGGTAAATACCCTTGAATGACCCATTTTAAATACATGCTCTTTAAATGTGAATTTGCTGAAATTGGCAATGACAGTAAAAAAAAAGACAGATTATAAATATTTACAAGAGGCCCCACTGATAGCTAGAATACAGCTGCAACCTTATTCATTCCTACCTGGTTTAAGAAAAACATTGATTTACAGCTCAGATGGTATAGGTTGGAAACAATACTGCCTCTGGTGGAGCAGTTTCAGGAGAGTTCTTCATTGACATTTCCCCAAGAGCTATTATTGTGTCATTGAGTCTTTGTTTGGCTTATTTTCAAAAGTTACTGTTATCTCTGGGAGATTGAGTTCACAGTTTGCTTGGAAGTTCAAAATTAAGAACATAAGAACTAGGAGCAGGAGCGGGCAGTTCAACCCCTTGAGTCTGCTGTGCCATTTAATACAATCATGGCTGATCTCCTTTCAGCTTCTGCCCACACTCCATTAACCCCTCAACCCATTACTATTTAAAAATCTGTTTATCTACTTCTTACATTTACTCGATGTTCTGGCATCCACCACAGTCTTGGGTTTGGGAATTCTACAGGTTCACAACACTTTGAGCGGAGTAATTCCTCCTCATCTCTGTTTTACATCTGCTACCCCTTATCCTAAAACTATAACCGCACATTCAAAGTACCATTAAAGGATTAGCTGTCTTTGATGTGGGGGTCTAATGGAAGTTTTTAATTTTGTAAAAGAATAGCACTTGAAATTTGAAAGCATTAGGTGGTTTCTCGGGTGGATGATTTTTCACTATCAAGCGTGTATGAGTGATGGCTGTATTTGACTGTTGGAAGTTTTTTTTGTCCACCTTGTATCAGTTGCATCAATCACCTTGACTTCCAATAAACCATACACAAGAGAAACTCATAGATGATGTCCTCCTGGAATCAGAGTGGTTTTAGGGCTAAATTTGGGATAGGTAATATGGTGCAGCAATGACAAAGTACAGGGAGCGATATCAGGATCTATAAACACTGGTTATATATGTAATTTAAGATTTTGTCAGTGAGCCACCTGCTGTTTGGTATTTGCTGTCCAAGCAAGATGACCAAACCAGTATGTCAAAATCCTGCACACAGTGTACAATATCATGGTTAGGATGTTTGTACCTATGGTGAGTTATCTGATGCCTTTGCTGTAACCAGTGATGTTGCTTCCCAACTCTTCAATTTTTGCATCTTTGCTGCATTGACCCAGATTTTAAGGTGTGACAATCTCATGGGAATTTTCACTCTATCCCTTTCTTTTACGAAAGCAAAGAGCTGCATTTCTGACAGAAGATTCTGATCTGGGCTCCTTTAAAACATGGAGCTGTACTTCCCTGAATTGTCAGGGAAAAACATCAGATTCATAATCCTTTACAATCCATGTTAATTCTCTCTGATCAGCTGGAAATTTTCAATGAGTGCGCCTTCTCAATCCTTTATTATAAACTCCAGTAATTTCCTATACCGATGTCAGGCCAATTTGTAATTTTCTAGCTTTCCCCTCAATACCTTGCTAAACAATGAGCGCAATTTTCCAATTGAAAGGAATGTTTGTGAAACCAAGAGAACTACAGAAGAGATATCAAAAACTGCAGATGCTGGAGTCAGAGACAACATAGCAGGGAGCTGGGAAATAAATAGAGAGGAGGGGTGGGGCTGGGGAAGGTAGGTGGGATGGTGATAGGTGAATGCAGGTGGGGAGTGGTGAGGATTGGTTAGTGGGATGGGTGGGGTGGATAGGTGGGAGAGAAGATGGACAGGTTGTGTTGGATCAAGGTGGTGGGAAGGAGGATAGGTGGCAGTGGGATGGTGGTAGGTTGGATGTAGATAGGGGGTAGTGGGGATTAGTTGGTGGGAAGGGTAGGGCAGATAGGTGGGGAAGAAGATGGACAGGTTGTGTCAGGTCAAGGATCCAGGGATGAGTGGGAGGGTTGGACATGGGATGAGGCCAGGGGTGGGGAGATTTTAAAACTGGTGAATTCCATGTTAAGGCCATCGGGCTGTCGGCTCCCGAGGTGGAATATGAGGTGTTGCTCCTCCAGTTTGCGTGTGGTGTCATTGTGGCACTGGAGGAGGCCCAGGGTGGACGTGTCCCTGAGGAAGTGGGAGATGAGGAGTTAAAATGGTTGGTGACTGGAAGATGTTGTCATTTGTTGTGTAGAGGGTGCAGATGCTTCATAAAATATTCCCCGAATCTATGCTTGTTCTCACCGATATAGAGGAGGCCACATTGGGAGCAATGGATACAGTAGACCAAGTTGGAGGATGTACAGGTGAAACCCTGTCGGATATGAAATGTTTGCTTTGGGCCGTGGATGGTGGTGAGGGGGAAGGTGTAGGGGCATGTGTATCACTTCCTGCAGTTACAGGGAAAGGTGCTTGGTGTGGTGGTTTTAGTGGGAAGTGTGGAGCGGATGAGGGATTTGAGGAGTGAGTAGTCCCTACATGGTGGGGAGAGCAATATCTAAATTTGGTCATGGGGTTGGATTGTAGGTAGCGGGAGTGGCGGAGGATTATACGTTGGATGTAGAGGTTGGTGGGGTGGTATGTGAGGACCAGGATGATTCTGTCTTTATTTTTGTTGTGGGGGGGAGGGGGTTTGAGGGCAGAAGTGCCGGAAATGCAAGAGATGCGGTCCAGAACTACATAAGATCATTGTTACAGCATTTTCCATATTATGACCTGTTCCTTCAAAATCCTGGGTGCAAACCAGCTGGTCCAGGAGATTTGAGACTTTTCAGTACTATTAATTTCTTCATTTACTGTTATTTTACTTTAAATTTATTGACTGCAAACCTAATTAAATAATTGATTCCTTGGGATGTCTGGCATTCTGACCTCTTTTCTTTACTATAAGTATTGACATATTTATTCAATGTGTTTGCCATTTCCTAATTTTCATAGATGCTGTACTGTTGTCCTGTTTTATGAAGCTCATTCTGCTCCTAAACACACTTTTTTTGAAAATGTAATTATACAAGTTTTTTCTTATACACTTTTTTTTTCATTTTTTTTGTAGCTTTTGCCAATTGTTTTGGTACTCTTTGCTGATCTTTAAATCTCTCTTGCATTTTTGTATATGCTTTGTGTTTTTATATGTTTCCTCTTTACCTTCTTGTCTAATACCTTATAAGCAATTTATCTAAGAAGTAGAGCCCTTCTTATTAGGGCTATAAACTTGTTCCATATTACATTCAATTTTTTTTTCTGAATATCTTCCGCTGATTTTTCCACTGGTTTGGCCAATTTACTGCGGACAGTCTTTGCCTCAACCAGCCCTACCTAAGTATATAATTTTAGTAGCTGTTTTGCATTTTAGTAGTTCGCATTGCTGCCTCACAGTGCTAAGGACCTGGGTTTGATTCCAGCCTTAGCTGGCTGTCTGTGTGGAGTTTGCATGTTCTCCCCATGTCTGCATGGGTTTCCTCCCACAGTCCAAAGATGTGCAGGGTGGGTGGATTGCCCATGCTAAATTTGTCTGTAGTGTTCAGGGATGTGTTGGCTAGGTTGATTAGCCATGGTAAATGTGGGATTATGGGCTAAGGTAGGGGGCTGGTTCTGAGTGGGATGCTCTTCGGAGGATTGTGCGGACTTGATGAACTGAATGGCCTCCTTCTACACTGTAGGGATTTTATGATTCTATGATTTCTCCCTTCCAAACTCTGTATTGAGCTCGATCCTTTTCCATATCTGCATATAGACAATCTACCACTTCACAGGGGATTTATGCATAACTTCGAATGCTGTCTGAAATTCTTTTGTGTTTCTTAATACTTTGGATAAAGTCTCTACTGACAACTGGACTCTCATTTTATCTATTTACAATTGAAGTGGTATCATCTTTAATGATGAAAGTAACTCCTGCGCAACTGTTTTGCAGCTGTTTCAGGAATGGCTACCAGGTGAAACATTTCAAGTTGAATTTGTGCCTGCAGTTCATTCAATATGTTCCTTTATCCGCCATGCATTTATATAAAGGCACTTAATAGGCCGCACATTCCTCAGCTTGTGTTTCTGCTGTAGTGTTTTCTTGGCATGTTTCTCAATTTTCTTTCTTGGTTTAATTACTTTACATCATTTAGTTTTCCCTTTTACATGAATTGCCTAAAGCGCAACTTCTGATTGTTATCCTACTCTCTTCCATTTTGTGTGTTTTAAAACTATTACTGCTCTGTTCTGTCCATTTGAGCACACAACTACCATGCATTACATAACTACAGGTACGTTTCTGCACAACTTTAATAAGGGATACACTGGGCTTTTAGTGATGGCTTCTGTGGTTGACTGCCACATGTTAAGATTAACTTCTAAGCATGCCCACACATTATAAGGTACTGGAAAGTGGTTGGTGTCTATGGGTTTTTTTTCCTTAGTCCAAACTGGTACTGTTTTAAAATGATGAGGAAAGCAATGGAGTGGAAAGAAGTGACATGACCACATGCTTTGGGCAAAAATGTGGTTTTCATTATTGGAAAAGCTGTGTGATTTTTTTAATGGTTTCACGTTGTATTGTTTTGAAGCAGATAATGACTGAATGCTACCAGCTGGTATCAATGGTATGCTTGTTCCCATAGCAGCTGAAAAACAAACAGTGATATCTTTAGTCACAAGCTGCAGAAATCAGTTGTGGTAGACCTGAGAACATTTTGGATTTATCTCACTTGGGATCAAGCCAGGGATAATATTTAAGCCTTTGGCTGTTAGTATAAAGTCCTCAGGACCACTCAGACTAATCACAGTGAAAGGAGATGATTTGCATTTCTGTAAAGTCTTACTTTATCTCTCAGCAATGCCGCTGATGAGATTGTTACACAACAGCCTGGAAAATTCAGAGTGAACTTCATCATAAGAACTCTTAATACATATGTATCAAATTAATCTCTCTACAAGTTGATCATTGGCTTAAATTATCTATTCTTAAATAAGAGTAACTCAACATAAATGTATTTAGTGTTCTGACAATGGTATTGCATAAGCTGCTTTTCAGGTTGTACTTTTTTCCGAGTTTGCTTGAATTAAAATGAAAATTATATACCTCCCTTAATTTTGAAGTTTTAATTATTTGTTGTTTCAATTTTGAATTTTGCTCTGCTACGTATTGCATTATGCAATAATACGAGTTATATTTAGTTGAAAGACAACGTTGAGCTATCAGAAATAGACAAAACAACTGCTATAGATGTGACAATGTTAACATAATGTACTGCTCCAAAATGCTTCAGCGGAGCATTATAAAACAAAATATGACACCAAGTAGATGTTAGATCAGGTCACCAAAAGCTTGGTCAAAGAGATGTGCTTTTAAAAAGTGTTCTAAAGTAGAAAAGCAAGGTAGAAGGGTGTAGCAAGGGAATTCAAGAGCTTAGGACTGAGGCAACTGAAAGCATGGCCACCAGTTATGATTAGGAATGCACAAGAGGCAAAATTAGAGGAGTGCTAGTATCTCTGAGGGATGTGGGACTGGAGAAGGTTAGAGATGGAGAGGAACAAGGTGAGGGAATGACTTAAAATCTAGATAAGAATTTTAAAATCATTCGGTAAGGAGTAGCAGCCAGTAAATAATAAATAACCAGCAGCAAAATAATAGTCACTACAACTTCCTCTTTACGCCCTCTCACTACAGCCTACATCACTAATGATCGGGCTTAGAACCCAGTACGGGTCATGTACTGAGTTTGTTTTCCTTGGACTTTGCAATGGTACAATAGTAAAATTGATTTATAGCGATCAGTTAAATACAGCAGGTTAATTTATGATTGGGTTTTAAATCAGCCTTGTAATAAATAAGTTACACCTATGTATATTTGGAAGTATTTGTACTCATTCAAAACTATAAATATCATAGGATTTGTGGGATTTTTTGCACTTATGAAAAAACTCATTGAAAGCCTTAACACTGATGTGTTATCTCAAGGTTGTTTCCCAAATTGTCTGCCACCTTAAGTTAATTAAGTGTAAGCAGCAGTGACTGGAATCCATTAAACTGGATGGCTGTGAAGAGAAACCTCTCTTAATTCTATAATACCAGTGTTTCCAAACCACACATTAAGGAAGGGTTTTTTTCCAAAATCTTCTTCACTCTGTTGGAAACTCGTCATTCATTTCTTACCTTTTATTTCCAATCTTTCTCAGTACAGTATTACCTCACTACAGCCCTGGCAATTATAAAATCAATCTTCTGGTCACATTAAGGAAGTGAGATAATTGTAATACATATATTCTTTTAGTAACTAAGTCTTCTACAGATGAGATATTTGTTATAATGGATTGGAATTTTTAGAGAAGGTGGGGAGGACCCAAGAGAGGAAAAAAATCTTCAGGATCTCCTGCTATATATTGTATATAGTATAGTTAGTGTTCTGATAATTTTAAAAAGTAGCCATTGAATTTGGAAATTGTGTCACTGTGACTGCGCTCACCTGGGCAATTAATAACATACTCCTGACTTAACCCTTTTAGATGTTGGAAGAGATTGATCACATGCAGACTCTATGCTGCTGCTGAAACTACATTGTTTATATGGCTCTCAAATGATGCTTCCCTGCATGTTAATTGCAAAGTTATTGATGGTAGTGCCATTGAAAGTCATGACAAGGTAACTGAGTTTTCACTTGTTTGAGATAATCATTATGGATCTCTTATACTTGCTGCTTGTCAGCCCAAGCCTTTTGAAGGCTTTACGATAAAGGTATATCGGTAACAGCACCAGCAATGCCTGAGGTTGGGCACCAACTCCATGAAGTTACTGCACAGGACTGTTTATTGGTCATCTGTGTCCTTCCTCACACATACATGGAATGCCTCCAATGAAAATTAACGTGTAAATCTCTTTATGGCTTTGCTACTCCCTTTCTAGCCTCTATCCAGACCTACATTCCCACCTGAATGCTCCATGCTCTGACAATGTTTTTTGCAATTTTCTTGCTCCTGCTGTCTGCATTTGGTGGACTTGCCTTCAACTGTTTGGCCCTGTGTGTTTAGATCTTTTGTTTAGCATCTGTCCAAACAAACCCTTCCCTTAAAGCCCTCCTAATAGCTCCTTCTTTGGTGTAGTGTCCATTTTTGTTTGATAACATTTCTGTGAATCATCCTGAACTATTTTCCTACATTAGTACGTTGTAAATAATAAGCAATGTAAATATCAGTGATTAAACATGGATTGGGAGTAAGCTCTGGCACTGAAATAAATTCTAACTTTTGTTCTGTGACAATGCTAATTTGTTAATTTTTTTTTCATGCCGAATGAAAGATGATTTTGGGAATCTGCTGCTTGCTGAAGTCCTCTTGGAACAGTGCCTGAAGGAAAATACAGCCAAACTGAAAGAATGCACTCCACTAATGGAAAAGAATGAACCCAAAATAAGAGAAGCCAAGAAGCACTTGAGCAGTATATTAAACAGCGGCAAACTGCAAGTGAGTACAGAATATGAATCTATTGAGGCAGAATCTCACTAAGGTTATAAAATTAAATTTGGCCAAAATATTTGAATGTTTGTAGACTGTAATTCCTTTCAAGATGTCTTTTCTATTATGGGCCAAGAACATTTAATTTCTGAGTTCATTGGTCAGTTACATTCTCCTTGCGCATGGAAAATGTATTTTAGCTGAACTGTTGCAGCCTTCACTGTTAACTGCAACTATTTTTTTCATAAATAGGAAGAATATCTTCAATCAGATTATTGGTTGGCACCTTGTACTTTGTTGCTTTCATTAGAAAACTGCTAAAATGTTAGAGCTCCACAATACATTATCAATGAGCACTGGAGTGTCTGTTTAATTCTTCCATTTTTGCTCACATAGTTCTTCATCTTGGACCCGATGCATTGAATGGTCTTCTACCCGCATCCAGCTGCCATGCTATTCTATACCCACCGGCACCTTACCCCCTCTGTCACCCTCTCCCACTTATGTTATACACTTGCCTTCTCTCGCAGCTGATAAAGTGATTTCAGAACCTTTAAATTCTGAATGTGGCAGTTCATGTAGATAAAAGGCATGGGTTTTTGATGTGAATCTATTCTGCTGCTGGCTATATAAATACCTGGCCTGGACTAGACTGGTTTTGGCTGGGAATGCTCAAGGCAGAAATTTTGCACAGAAGATTCCTCCAAAGGTAACTGTGTTTATTCTGTTCTGACAGTCTTAGAAATAAGGTTCGTTTTACAAAAATTGCCTTCTGTTGTCACTCTTGAACTGCTTAGCTCGATTTCTAAGCCCTCTTGATCTAGATGCTTTGAGGAATGCAAGCTTCATTTGTGCAACATGTTGTCATTATTTAACCCATTCAGCTTCAATATCTTTCTACAAATCTGCACTGCAACTCCACCAAAGCCAATATATCCTTCCTGAGGTGCCCAGGAATGAAATTTCAGATGTAGTTTAACCAGAGTTTAATACTACTATAGCATAACTTTCATGCCTTTAAAATAAAGGCTAACATTCTACTAATTTTTTTACTATCCATTAGCTTTTAGTGAATTCCAAACATGGACTGAGAAATCTCTATTCTCTTCCAAGTTCTGAATTTTTTTTAAACCATTTTGAAACTATTGTGATCCATCTTTCTTAGATCCAAGGTTACCCTATCACTTCACTACGTTAAACTCTATCTGCCAGAGTTTTGGCTACTCACTTAAAACTATAATTGTTACAACTTTATGTTCCTGTTTACACTAGTTACTGTAGTGTAGTTACGAATAGTTACTAAACTGTGCTGAGAATTAGATCAGGGAACCGATCTGATACTCTATACTAATGTTTGAAATCATTGTATTGTAAATAACAAACCTAATATGTGTTTTAAAGTACATTTTAAATTTGGCACTTTTGTTCAACTGTGTGTAGGAGAGAGACTGTTATGGTTATAGAGAAATGGTTACAGAAATAATTCCGAGAAAGAAATGTTGTGAATGAAGGCAAACCCAATGCCATTCAAACATTTATTCTGTGATATAAAAGCAAATATGGTGGTTGGAAATATGAGTAAAAATATAAGTTGCTGGAAACATTCAGCAGGTCAGGCAACATCAGTATAAAGAGAAACAGTGTAAAGGGCAGAATTTTGAGCACTCACCAGGCACAGGAAGGGAAGTAAGCAGCAGCTAAAAATTGCCCAACTGGCCAGTCACCCAGCTATATCTCATCTAAGGGCCAGTTTTGGAATAAAATGGAGGTGTGTCTCCATTGGTGGGGAAAAGGGATTGGATGCGGTGTAGAGGAATGAGGTAGCCAGCCCTGGGGGAAGGGGGGAGGTTTTGCAGTGGGTCAGTATCACCAGGACTGGAATGGTGGAAGCGCTTTGGGATCTGGGGATGAAGGTGGTGAGGGTGAAGGGTGCTCTGCAGAGCGGGCGAAAGGAGATTTGCTCCTGAGGAGTAAAGCAGGGGTGGAGTTGGATGCAGAGCAGGGGCGTGGTTGGGTCGGGTCTGACGGTTGGGGAATTAGCGACTGGTCCCGGGGGTATCAGATAACAGTCTGGCATGTATGAGGGGTTTAGCAGAGGTGTAGTTGGGGCATTTGAAGTAAATATAGAGTTAGGAGTTAGACTATGTATTTAATAGAATAACCTTTCCCAAGTCACTTTTACATAATTTAATTGGAACCTTATGATTAGTGTGGAGACTTCTGGATGGTTCCAGGCACAGAGGAATAACCTAATGGAATCTTCAGTTTCCCAGAATTCCCCTGTACAACTCCTACCTATACTAGCATAATGACAGAAAATCTGGGCCATTGAGTCTTAGAAGGCAGTTTGATGTTGGAGACCAGCATGGCTAAATTATTTCCTGTGCTAACTTATTTTTCTATTTCGCTTCTGTAATCCTTGACTTTGGAAACTTATTTGGTTGTCCTTTTCCAGACTTACCTTTTTGCTTTATAACCATTATTTATTTATTGCAAATGTCACTGGCTAGCGTCACAACATTTATTGGCTATCCCTAATTGCCCAGAGGGCAGTTAAAAGTCAGCCACATTACTGTGGGTCTGGAGTCCAATGTAGTAGTCATACCAGGTAAGGATGGCAATTTCCTTCCTTATAGGACATTAGATGGTTTTTTCTGACAATTGACAAAAGATTCACAGTCATCATTAGACTCTTAATTCCACATTATTTTCCATTGAATTCAAATTATATCCCTCTAAAACCTACCTATTCATATACCCATCCAGATGTCTTTTAAATGCTGTAATTGTACCAGCCTTCACCACTTTCCTTGGCAGCTCATTCCATACATGTACTACCCTTGGAGTGAAAAGGTTGCCCTGTAGGTCCCTTTTAAATTTTTTCCCACTCCCTTATGCCCTCTAGTTTTGGACTCCTCCAGCCCTGGGGAAAAGACCTTGTCTGTTTGTCCTTTCCATGCCCCTCATGATTTTATAAACCTCCATAAAGTCACCCCTCAGCCTCTGATGCTCCAGGAAAGATAGATCAAGCCTATTCAGCCACTCCCTATAGCTCAAATCCTCTAACCTTGACAACATTCTTGTAAATCTTTTCTGAACCCTTTCAAGTTTCACAACATCCTTCCTACAGTAGGGAGACCAGAATTGCACACAGTATTCCAAAAGTGGCCTAACCAATATCCTGTAGATCTGCAACATGACCTTCCAACTCCTATATTCAATGTGCTGACCAATAAAGGCAAGCATACCAAATGCCTTCTTCACTATCCTGTCTACCTGCAATCCCACTTTCAAGGAACAATTAACCTACACTCCAAGGTCTCTTTATTCAGCAACACTCGCCAGGACCTTACCATTAAGTGCATAAGTCCTGCCCTGATTTGCCTTTCCAAAATGCAACACCTCACATTTATCCAAATTAATCTCCATCTGCCACTCCTTGGCCCATTGGTCCATTTGATCAAGGGCCAAATGGTGGCAAATGGGACTAGATTAATTTAGGACATCTGGTCAGCATGGACAAGTTGGACCGGAGGGTCTAGGCCCGAAATGTCAGCCTTCCTGCTCCTATGATGCTACTTGGCCTGCTGTGTTCATCCAGCTCTACACCTTGTTATCTCAGATTCTCCAGCATCTGCAGTTCCTACTATCTCTGATACAATTTTAACCCCACTGCGAAGCCTCTTCTAAGGATGCCTAGCCTGAAGAAGTTACCCCCCTCCCTCTGGACAAACCTCAGGCGATCTCTCTCTCCCACTGCAACTCTCTCGTAATCTCTTCGGCCTTGAAACTGCTCGACCATGTCCTGAAGCAAACCAGGTACTACAGCCACATCACCTTTCTTAGCACCTGCCTATGGAACCAGATCATCCCCAATGGACTACAGTCCACATCAGGCCTTCCCAATTTGGCCCCAACCGTGACAATGTCTACATTCACAGCATTGAGATCCTTCAGAAGCGTTTCTCCCTGCAGTTCCTGAAACAAGCATTTCTGATGAAGGGTCTAGGCTTGAAACGTCAGCCTTCCTGCTCCTATGATGCTGCTTGGCCTGCTGTGTTCATCTAGCTCTACACCTTGTTATCTCAGATTCTCCAGCATCTGCAGTTCCTAGTATCTCTTGGACCGAAGGGTCTGTTTCTGTGCTGTACATCTCTGTGATTCTAAATTCTACCATCTGCCATGGCAGAATTTGCACCCAGGTCCCCAAAACATTGTCTGGGTCCTTGGATTAGCAATCCGGTGATAATGTCACTAGGCCATTGCCTCCTCCCACACCCCCACCTCTTATTTGCCTAAGACAGCGAAGTACAATATTATCATTGATCTTGGCATCTTTATCATCTCTTTGCCTTTATGAAATATGAATTTGTATAATCTATTTTAAATGTTGTTTCAACTGTTGAAACTTAATTATTTTTTCAGCCTCATTCCCTTGTTTCATGTTGTTCTTTTTCCTTGCCATCCAAAACCTTTAAATGGAAAATTACATTAAAACACTGAAATACAGGCTTTCTGCATTGGCTGTTTCCAGTTGTTGATGTGCCTGATATCTGAGAAATTTGAAAAATGTTCCCTTGATCAATCCATTATTTCCGAGAATTTTCAAATTTCTTCACCTTGGCTAGAGGCCAACTTCAAGAATGCATGTTTTATGAAATTTAGCTGTTCACCTCTGTCCTTCACTGTGGAGGCTAGTTCTATGAGGGAGAAGATATTAATCTCTTGTGTACACAAACTATGTTAGTAATTGACTTCCGTCTTTACACACTTTCAAAGCAAGCTTTGATTTTCTTCCAATGGGGAATGTTAGCTTGCAGAATGGAATATATTCCATTGCAACAACTTGACATCAACCAGTCTTAGGTTAAGTATAGTGACCATAAGATGTAAGAACAGAAGTAGGCCATTCAGTCCATTGAGTGTGCTCTGCTATTCAATGAGATCATGGCTGATCTGATGATCCTCAAGTCCACTTTCTTGCCTTTTCTTCATAACCCTTGATTCCC